GGCTTATGCTCATGATTGAGGATTACAGTGTGCTAGCCTGGTGGTTAAAGCTTGTCATGCTGAAGGACCAAGCTCAGTTGCTACATGAGAACATTGGGTATACTTCCATGTCTTTCATAAAGGCACTGTGACCACAGACACTCAACCAACTAACTTAAGCCGGGTAGGGAAAACCAGTTCTTTCAGTCTAGTTGAATGGTTAATAGTTCATAGTTTTAGATTCCCCAAAAATACAACAAAATTCAAGCAATGGTATTTTATTGGTAAACTCACAAATAGTAAGGCCAAAATCAAAGATATGTCCATTTCCTATTACATGCTTTTTAGAAATAGGTTAGGTGGGTCGGTTTTATCTTCTTCTTTTTTTCTTTTTTTTTATTTCTTAGTGGCACCAGGTGGGCACCTGAGGTCTTCAAGAGTACCATATTATGTAGTGATAATGCCTTATGATGAAACATTGAAAGATTTCTATATCAAATCATTATTTATGTTATTTATTTGCAGATTTGGTCAGTGAGGACCCATTATGCCAATTCAATGCAACCCATTTTAGCCCTACGTACACTGAAAAACATGAAAATATCATACTCGATTTGGATGAAAATGATGAGTTGAAATGCACTCCAGTCATGATATTGACTTGATTAAAAAAAGATTTAGCGTTGGGGGGTTAAGATAGGGTCGGTCGGGTTACCGGAAACGGACATTATTTTTTTTGGCCTAAGGATAACCATGGACCATGTATGAGGGATTATCTCAACATGTCTTCTTTATGAAATATGCAAGTCTAGCTGGCTTTTTATGAACATGATGAAATCAGTATTAGAAACAACAGGTTTTCTTTAAGAGGGGAATTGGGTTGGGAAACATTTCAGACTAAGTATCTTGAAAAGAATTGACTCACACTTTGCATGATTATGAAATATAGGAGTGGACAAAGAGATGACCTTAATAAGGGCAGAGACATCCCCCTTGTGTGTAGTCATGGCTGGACATTACCCAGCGGGCCTACAATATATGCACAGTCTATAAGACAAGTGTTACAGCCTGCATGTATGATGTCTGTATGTCTGCTACAGGATACCAACACAATGGAGAAGCATGTGTAACCTGGTATGAGTAAGGCTGACCTAGGTGGAGCTGATGACGAGGCGGAGACTGTTTGACAGCGTTGTCAGGATATCCGCAGTCGCAGCTCACGGCCACATTCCTCGGTGGACACTTGAAACATTGCTGCTGCACACAATATCATAACATAATGTGGGATCATGCAGCTCCCTACAGGAATAGGAATTTCCTTCCATTTATCTGAATCAGTGAATGCCAGAGTTGAATAAACAGTACTGCAGAAAGAACAGTGCTGGGACAGTTTCTGAAACGTATATTACTTTGAACGCATGAACGTGATAAACTTCCGATTTTTTTCAAAACAACGTTTTTAGAAAATAACTTTCCGCCCTTATCGGACATTGTGTTGAGGTGGCCCGGTTTCATGAACAGCTATGTGGAGTGGACTAGTCATCCTGTACATTGTTAGTTTGCTGGAGCCAGGTGAAGGTACATGCAGCCTGCTGGCCAGCTTTTTGTGTCATTCAGTCACTTAATATTCTGGGTGTCTTTCAGACTCAGGGTTCGAAGGTCAACATACATTACCAGTTGAAGGTAATGAGGTCCAGTGATTTTTTAATCAAGGTTGTTGATAGGTTGGTGGAAAGTATGAAATGTCTAGCTTGAACAGAATGACGGTTGAAAGGGTGGGAATTTGGGAGTATGTTTAGGACATCAACATGATGAAGGCCTGAAAATTTCGTGAAATTGTTCAACAATAATGTTTTTGGTGTCTTATAATGTTTCTGTTTGTGGAACTGATGCATTTGGCTGCCTAAACTACTTCCTGGAAACATGACATGTATGTATCCCCATGTGCTATCACTGGGTTACTAAGCCTGCAGCATCACACCAGGTTGATATAGCTAGAGACGTTCACCTGAACAACACATCCAGGAGTGAAATGTCTATGCAACATGCATGTCTATCTCTGGCTCCATGAATGACTATGGTTATATGCAGCCTTTTACTGTTTTAGCAATACTCCATCAATACTCACATTGTGCCCATGTGGGGAATCAAACCCTAGTATTTTGGTGTGACAAGCAATGCTCTAACCACCAAGCTATCCCATGGTCCCCCATCTTGATGAATGGAAGTATATGATCGAGGCCTGTGTATGTATGTGTTCCTTCCCTCAGAATCGGTGATCCTGTAGGTGAACACACACAGTGTTCTGTAATAACCTGACTGGTGTCACCACTAGGCTAGCCCATGGTCCCCATCTTGATGAATGGAAGCCTGTGTATATGATCTGTAGGTGAACTGTGTTCTGTATAACCTGACTGGTGTCACCACTAGGCTACCCATGGTCCCCATCTTGTAGGTGAACACACACACACAGTGTTCTGTAATAACCTGACTGGTGTCACCACTAGGCTAGCCCATGGTCTCCCATCTTGATGAATGGAAGGATATGATCTGAGGCCTGTGTTTGTATGTGTTCTTTCCCTCAGTGATCCTGTAGGTGAACACACACAGTGTTCTGTAATAACCTGACTGGTGTCACCACTAGGCTATCCCATGGTCCCCCATCTTGATGAATGGAAGTATATGATCTGAGGCCTGTGTATGTATGTGTTCTTTCCCTCGGTGATCCTGTAGGTGAACACACACAGTGTTCTGTAATAACCTGACTGGTGTCACCACTAGGCTAGCCCATGGTCTCCCATCTTGATGAATGGAAGGATATGATCTGAGGCCTGTGTATGTATGTGTTCCTTCCCTCGGTGATCCTGTAGGTGAACACACACAGTGTTCTGTAATAACCTGACTGGTGTCACATGGAAATCAGTACAGATATCCAGGGATTACGTTATTGCTTAACACCACACTCAGCAAAGTTCCAGCTGAATGATCAGCAGCCTGTCAGTAATAGAGTCTGGACCAAACAAACCTGTGATTGTCTTAATATCTCCACGATCCATGCTGTTGGGGTGCGGTTACATTTAACCAACTCATCGATCATCATCATCATCCATTTTGTCACCTGCTTTCTGTCAGCATAGGACTATTTCTCTAATCAACCCGTCTGTCTGTCTGTCTGTCTGTCTGTCAGGGGACTGCTGTTACTGTATTGTGTTGCAGTGTGTGGGCAGATGAAATATTCTTGTATTTATATTTTAGATAATTATGATGTTTAAATACACTATGGCCCACATACCATGTTTCCAGCATTGTCCATTGAATGTTTAGAAGTAACTGCCAACTCAAGACAAGAATGTGTTGCTTTAATACCGTAATATGCCATGTTTTACCAATATGTTTACATGGTGTAGGCCTATATATTAATAGTAAGTATTTCAGTTGTTATCTTGTGATGATAGTAAAGAGATAACTGTATCGGGACATTCTGACAATAACCTCATAATCTTGCAATCACATACATCTCATCACTGATCAGAACAGAGCAATAACATGCTTGTAACTGAGTGGGACTGTCATAGTAGAAGGTTGTTTGTCTAAAAGTAAATGATTTCAACAGAAAGACACATTGGCAGAAGTGCAGGACATTTGTATTTGCTGTTGCCTGCTTTGTACAACTTGCTTCTCTCAGTATACACGTTATCCTCCCAGATTAGCCCTGGTTACAGGTTGTGGACTGTCAGCAGCCTGCCTCTGCTAGTGGGTTGCTACAGGCTTCTCTCCCATGTAAACTTGACACATGAAGTGATCACATGGAATACACTGGACAGCAGTGTTAAGCCAAACTCACTCAAACACTCATGAATTTGATTCACTTTCTCATTTTCCTTATTGTTTTCAATCATGACCTTACGAACAAATTATCTTGTTTGGACCATCTAGTATGCATGACATTGTTAATTCAGTTTGTGGTAGAAACCCTGACCTGAGTAAAGTACCGGGTAAACCTTAGTCCAAGTGTCCCTACAGTACGTGTCAGAGTTCAGTCCCATTCAGTGACCTGTTGCAGCAGTGTACAGTCCGGCAGATTTGATACCCAAATATGGCCATGTGTTGAAGATTTCATTCTAGTCTATATTCAGTGCTGAAGTAACTCAACATCTGTCATACAGAATATAGTGGCATTATGTATATAGTTCAACTGCCACAAACACGGACGTTTGACCTGGCAGTTTGTTCACAAGGCAGTGTTACATTCCTGGTTGTTGGTTTGTGATCAGACCCTGTGTACAAAGAGGATTATGCTGTATCCTAACTGTTGGGAAAGGTTAACCTTGACCTTGGTTTGTAGGTATTGCAAGTGGGTATAGGTTGCCCTTAATCTTGTTTTGTTTGCATTGCTGTTGGTTAACTGTTGGTTCCATACTGACTATGTTTTGTTGGTATAGTATGCATGATACACTGATCTTTACCTTGTTTTGTTGGTGTTTGTAGTGAGGATTGTTTTGTTGGAATATTGTTGGTGTTTGTAGTGAGGATTGTTTTGTTGGAATATTGTGTTGACCTTGTTTTGTTGGTGTTTGTAGTGAGGATTGTTTTGTTGGAATATTGTGTTGACCTTGTTTTGTTTGTTGGTGTTTGTAGTGAGGATTGTTTTGTTGGAATATTGTGTTGACCTTGTTTTGTTGGTGTTTGTAGTGAGGATTGTTTTGTTGGAATATTGTGTTGACCTTGTTTTGTTGTTGGTGTTTGTAGTGAGGATTGTTTTGTTGGAATATTGTGTTGACCTTGTTTTGTTGGTGTTTGTAGTGAGGATTGTTTTGTTGGAATATTGTGTTGACCTTGTTTTGTTGGTGTTTGTAGTGAGGATTGTTTTGTTGGAATATTGTGTTGACCTTGTTTTTGGTGTTTTTTGTTGGTGTTTGTATGAGGATTGTGAGTTTTGTTGGTGTTTGTAGTGAGGATTGTTGACTTTGTTTTTGGTGTTTGTTGGAATATTGTGTTGACCTTGTTTTTTGGTGTTTCAGGTTGGAGGTGAAAGCAGGGATCGACCAACTGACCAGCCGGGATGGGGAAGATCTTGTCAAAGGTGTTCGGCAACAAGGAGATGAGAATACTCATGTTGGGGCTCGATGCAGCAGGAAAAACTAGTATCCTTCACTCAAAACAAATATGCACATGCACGTGTTGTGAGGAAGAATGGTGGTGGGTGGTGGGTGTTTGTGAAGCCACCATTGATGCAATATACACCACTGCTACAGGATTCCTCTGTGTGAAAGGCAGCTGACACTCCCTAAAACAAACTATGCGTGGGAGATACCTTTGTCAGAAAGTAAATGACATTTGATGTCAGTGTGCACAAAGAGTCCTTATGCAAGTTGCCCTTCAACCAGATAGGTAGTCATGTAGATAAAACATCATGTATCATCATATATACTACCTCCCAATCTACTATCAGGCTCCCTGTGGAAACCTTCAAATTGATGTTGTAAACATTTCAGGAACAAGGTGTAATTGCTTCCAATAGAGGCATTTTTGTATACCTATCTGTAGTGAGACGTTTCTTTAACTTTGTTGCTGAGTGTTGTATAAACAGTAAGGCCTGTGTCTATGCACAGTGAACATTTGTCGCACAGCTCCAGTGTTCAGGCAGCTCATCCCACATGGCCCAGGGTAGATCTCTCATTGTGTTGTGAGAACATGCAAACATGTCTGATGTACCCTAGAACATCAAATTATTACAAACTCTATTGGTCTCACATCTTTGATAACTACAAATTGGGGATTTGGAAGACATTTTTTATTTATTTATTCCTGTAGTGAAGTTTTTGAAAGGCATTTAGAAGTTTGACGAACAAGAATACATGACACGTTTTATGGATATCAACTTCTTTTTTATTCTTTATACAACGTTTCAGTGCTAATTCTTGCTCCCTGAATGCTGAGTCGAATTCATATTCCTGTAGTGTTTTTATCTTTCATGTAATTTCACAACGATGTGACGACCAAGTTCAGTTCAACTGGTGCGTAACAAATCTTGGTCCTCGTCTTCTCTGTTGGTGGTTATTATGCTCTGGCACATTCCGCAGTGACTTTCAGTTATTTTCATCGTGGGTTTTGTGATCTGGTTATCTTTTGAACAGTTATACCATTTAGAACATTTGGATGCTGTGTTGAATTGTCAGACATTTCATACAGATAAAGCGGCTCGAGGTTAATCCAGTGTATTGGTCCATTTTCATTCATTGTGTAAATTACTGATGAAAGAACATGCAATATATTCATCTCTACTTGTACATGTATTACAGAACAACGTTCAGCATAGCATAGCATACTGTAGTTGAACATTGGCCATAAACACTATGGTAGTTGGGCAGGCAAGAGTAACTTCTTCCAGTGACCTTTACCTTGGCCATGGTGGTAGTCTTCAGTCAGGTGGGAATGGTACATGGTTGTAGGTCTGTGTTCTACAACATTCTTGAATCATATGGTATATGAATACATGACACATTTTATGGATATACAACTTTATTCTTTATACAATTCTCAGCATTCACCTGATGAAAGAGCAAGATTTAGCTCTGAAATGTCCTATAAAAAATATTATAAAGTTGTTATCCATAAAACCAGTCATGTATTCATATTCGTCCAACTTCTAAATGTCTTTCAAGGTATAGTTTATATATATCTGTGCTAGTCTACTAGTAGTTCATCATACTCAACTCCGTGGCTACAGGCAACGTATAGGCCTAGATTAGATCTCTCACTGATGACATTGACGGCAGCCAGTTGACATGCATGCACGAGGAATGCAAGAGGTCACCTCATGCACAACCTGATGATTTCTGCCTGTGGGCAGACTGACACCCAACCTGTCAGTGCAAGAAGTGTCACAGATGTTTCCACAGTAAAAGTTTTCAAGGTTTATATGACATATTTCAGAAAGAGGTTTGCGGGATTTGTCTGTGTGTACAATGCATTGCTAGTTTTTAGATCAGAATCCTTCAGAAAAAAATGAAAAGATGTGTTGATATGCCTCAAGGTCAGAGAGGCTTTGTTCTACAGTTATTTGCCTAAGCTGTAATCTTGCTTCAACATCAGTATGTGTAGACCATCACTTTAAAAAACTACTTCTGGTGACTTAAATATATTTGTTTAGTTGAGAAAGAAAAAATAACTTGGTTGACATTAACTGAACCCTTGTTTTTGCTTGGTTTTCTGATTGCAACATATATATTATGACTTACATGATTTCAACTCAATAAACACAAGTAGAACATTGAGAATGCCCCAAGAAGGTGACAATTGAAGTTAATTCAAAATTGATTGCTGTAAAAAGAAAACTATGCAAAATATGACAGCATGAGTATATACATTATTTTTTCTTATCCTCACTCATGATCTTTTGCTTATCTCCCTTTTCCTATCGAATGATAGTGGAACACTTGAATCCCTTGAAGTTCCCGAAGCGCACGTAAAAATACACTCACCGACGAGTTACCTCTCTTTTCCCCGCGTAAACAGTCATGTGACCAGCCTTACTTGTCACTCTCTCCCTTTTCGCCCAAGTGGAAAAATTATTTGTATTTGTGTCATAATTTCATCGTTATGTAACTTTGTTTACATTTCATGACATCTTGCAGTGTTTGCAGGCACAGGTTATCCATGGCTGATCCTCACCCCCCAATGCCTTTTGTGCATAAAACCATGTTCTTCCAGCTTGCGTTGTACTTATTATGTTGATTTATCAAATCTACAATTTAATCAATATTTGTCTTATATCTATAGACGTGCCATGGATCGGGTGAGGAAGTCATCTCAAGTCCTGGCTGATAAAACTGGAGATCAGCCTGCAAACCAAGTTGCATCAAGGAAGTGGTCCAAACAGAGCAGCATTTTCATATCAATCTGCTGGAGATGAAAGCTGTGATCAACGCCTTACAACTATGGTCGAGCTCGCTGATCAACAGAATGCTGATGGTCCACACGGACAACTCTACAGTGGCATTATCTATAAATCGGCAAGGATCTACAAGATCATCAAGCCTACTACAGCTCACATTCCAGTTGTTTGACATCATGGAGGAGGCAAACATCTGGATAAAGGCGTGTCATACCCGGAACCAAGAACGTGCTTGCAGACGCTCTCTCCCGACCACTGCACCCGTCACCTACAGAATGGATACTCAATCCAGAAGCATTTCGCTCATCATAAGGGAAATAGGATCCCCATGCACAGACCTGTTTGCCACGAGGTTCAACAAACAACTACAGACGTTTGTCTCACCAGTTCCAGATCCTCAAGCTTGGGCAACAGATGTACTGAACACATCATACCACTGATATTACTACCAAAATGTACTGTTGAAGATCAAACAGACACAGGCGCTACAACTGACCTTGGTCGTGCCATACTGGCCAGCGAGAGTATGGTTCCTAGACCTAATAGAAGATCTCGGAAGTCCAACAATCAAGTTACCAGATTGGCCGAACCTACTCATACATCCGCACACCAAGCAAGTCCACAGGAACCCAACACTGTTCCAGCTACACATGTGGACCGTATCAAAACATGTTTGAAGAAAAGAGGATACTCCGCCAGGGCAGCCAAGGCAGTAACGCTAGCGTTACGCAGATCTACTCGTAACATGTATGATGACAAGTGGCTGAGACTTAGGCAAGGCGGAAAGACTTCATTACGATGAAAGCTACTCATGCTAAAGTGGCGGAATACCTGTGTCATCTTAGACAGACCAGACATCTGAAAGGTTCGACATTATCTACATACCTCGCCGCCATCAGTACAGTGATTACCATGAAAATATGCATCAAGTGGACGAGAGTACCAGAATTACTTGCTCTGCTGAGATCTTTTAAACTGGAGGACCAGCAAAAGAAGTTCAGAGCTCTGGCCTGGGATCTGAATGTAATTCTACGTCATCTTACCAGTGATGCCTACGAACCTCTAGGCCTGACTACCTTCGAGCTGCTGACACAGAAGACTCTGTTCCTGCTTGCGCTAACCACGGCAGCTCGAAAATCAGAGATACATGCACTGGACTTTGGTCGAACCAGATTCGACACGGGGCAACATGCTGCAGTTCATCTAGGACTTAGATGGGACTTTATTGCCAAGAACCAGCTACCTGGTCAGCCAGATAGACAGTTCTACGTACCAGCGCTACCTACCAGCGCTACCTACAATCCTCGGACCAGAGGATATAGAGGACCTTTTACTTGTGTCCGGTCAGAGCCCTGAAGATATATCTTCAAAGACTAAGACAAGGAGACGAAAATTCAAGTGCCTATTCATCCCATTATCCACAGAGACATCAGCAGAAGTCTCAAGAATGACGATATCGTTCTGGATGAGAGCCGTCATATTGAGAGCCTATAAAGCAGCAGGACTAGAACCTCCAAGAGCTTCCAACCCACACGAAGTCAGAGCATTGGCGTCAACACTAGCCCTGCATGGAAATTGAAGTCGGACACAGTGTTTGCCAACCACTACCTCCGAGACATAGCCACTGAAGACGTCTCAGGCATTCACCAATTTGGGCCTCTCGTTGTAGCACAGCTACTTACGGCTCACAAAGGCGCTGAGTTGAAAATTCTCACCCTTTATCACGTTGACTTGTTGATAACTTTTACTAAAGAAAAGTATTAGTTTAAGAGTCCATGCGCACAGTCTAGGTCAGGCTAGCATGATTAATAAAAGATCCTGTACGGGTAAAGATCTTGGGTTGTATCTAAGGACAGCTGATGGATCCAGGAAGTGGCCTGATCGATCACCAATCCGTTGGATTCTATAAGCAAAAGATCATGAGTCAGGATAAGACAAAATATGTAATTTTTCAAGTAAAATTGATATTTTTATACTTATCCTGACTCATGAGGTCAAGCCCTCCCGACCTCCCCGCTGGAAACACTTCAGATTGCACAGCTGATCCAAGTGCTTGGGCAGAAAAATCAGGAGAAAGTGACAAGTAAGGTTGGTCACATGACTGTTTACGCCGGAAAAGGGAGGTAACTCGTGAACAAATTACATATTCCAAGAGTAATGCTGTGCAATATTATAAAGGGACTGATGGCTGATAGGTTATCTCCCTTTGGTTGAGCAGCTGCTAAAACATTTCTTCCTCTCACACCTGGACACCATGCTACTTCCTTCCTTCTTTCCTACCTACACCTGGCAGTCCACAGACACCGAGGGGGAGGAGATATTTCTACCAGTTCCATTGTTCATATGCAGCAGTATTTGGAGACTCCATACGTCCCCTATTCTCCATGTATGCTTCAGGGCTCCTGCCATCTGCTTTCTTATCTGTGTCACATAGTATTATGTCAGTGATCGTCACTGTATGGGTGGGGCAAGTGTGTGAATCAACTTCCTCGTTTTGTATGGTTCAGGAAGTAACGTTCGTGTGAAAATGACTAAACGGTTGTTCACCCAGTGTAGCGTTGATGATTCATGAATATGTTTACATTCATGCATGGAAATGACGTAAATGATTTCATCCTACGGCAAAGTTCAGGTTTAATCAGCACAGGTGAAAGAGGTTGATCTGGTTTGATCTCATATCCAGAAGGTTCATCCAGTTATCTGATGATGTTATCAAGCTTTGGCCGATCTGGTTCTCATGCAAGGACAAAACCACTACCCGACATGACAAGCAGGGATTGCCTGGATGCAAACATTGTTGACAGAATATCTCACATGAGTTGTGATTGAGATTTGGGCAAAAAAAGCATTTTGGAGACATCAACCTCCAATACAAACAGCTCATTACATTAGTTTCTCTGTTTATTAAACATTGCAGGCAATGTTAAGAGTTGTGGCAACTCCCTACAGAGAGGCCTGTTATCACTAATAAGGAACCACAGTGCTTGAAGTCTCATACTGGAAGTTATTCAAATTTACAACAAGGCATACTTTAACATGGACTTACAATAGCTGGAGCACTAGGACAATCATAGCTCCCATACTTTAACATGGACTTACAATAGCTGGAGCACTAGGACAATCATAGCTCCCATACTTTAACATGGACTTACAATAGTTGGAGCACTAGGACAATCATAGCTCCCATACTTTAACATGGACTTACAATAGCTGGAGCACTAGGACAAATCATCATAACTCCCATACTTTAACATGGACTTACAATAGCTGGAGCACTAGGACAATCATAACTCCCATACTTTAACATGGACTTACAATAGCTGGAGCACTAGGACAATCATAACTCCCATACTTTAACATGGACTTACAACAGCTGGAGCACTAGGACAATCATAACTCCCATACTTTAACATGGACTTACAATAGCTGGAGCACTAGGACAATCATAACTCCCATACTTTAACATGGACTTACAATAGCTGGAGCACTAGGACAATCATGAGCACTAGGACAATCATAGCTCCCATACTTTAACATGGACTTACAATAGCTGGAGCACTAGGACAATCATAGCTCCCATACTTTAACATGGACTTACAATAGCTGGAGCACTAGGACAATCATAGCTCCCATACTTTAACATGGACTTACAATAGCTGGAGCACTAGGACAATCATAACTCCCATACTTTAACATGGACTTACAATAGCTGGAGCACTAGGACAATCATGAGCACTAGGACAATCATAGCTCCCATACTTTAAAATGGACTTACAATAGCTGGAGCACTAGGACAATCATAGCTCCCATACTTTAACATGGACTTACAATGGCTGGAGCACTAGGACAATCATAGCTCCCATACTTTAACATGGACTTACAATAGCTGGAGCACTAGGACAATCATAACTCCCATACTTTAACATGGACTTACAATAGCTGGAGCACTAGGACAATCATAACTCCCATACTTTAACATGGACTTACAATAGTTGTAGCACTAGGACAATCATAGCTCCCATACTTTAACATGGACTTACAATAGTTGGAGCACTAGGACAATCATACTTTAACATGGACTTACTCCCATACTTTAACATGGACTTACAATAGTTGGAGCACTAGGACAATCATAGCTCCCATACTTTAACATGGACTTACAATAGCTGGAGCACTAGGACAATCATAGCTCCCATACTTTAACATGGACTTACAATAGTTGGAGCACTAGGACAATCATAGCTCCCATACTTTAACATGGACTTACAATAGCTGGAGCACTAGGACAATCATAACTCCCATACTTTAACATGGACTTACAATAGCTGGAGCACTATTAACATGGACTTAGTGTTGTTGTGGATGACAATGTTGAAAAGAATCTGTTGCAAGTTACTGTTCTCTGAGATTGAGACAGTGGCATCACTTCCTCAACATGGATGATGACGGTATTCAGGGAGGGACATGTCACTGAAGCATTTCTTGTACCTATATGTTGTCGTCTCCTCAAGTTGTCACAAAGTCCTTAACCATGTTCTCAGCTGTGCTATACAAGTTGAAGTTAGGCCAGTCAGTTACAACCATCCCAACAGTGGGCTTCAACGTGGAGCAAGTCAACTACAAGAATGTCAAGTTCAGTGTCTGGGTAGGTACACAAGGATGATGATAGGAGTGTATCATGTATCCCTATATTGAAGTGATGATGAAAGGAGTGTATCATGTGTCCCTATATTGAAGTGATGATGATAGGAGTGTATCATGTGTCCCTATATTAAAGTGATGATGAAAGGAGTGTATCATGTGTCACTATATTGAAGTGATGATGATAGGAGTGTATCATGTATCCCTATATTGAAGTGATGATGATAGGAGTGTATCATGTGTCCCTATATTGAAGTGATGATGAAAGGAGTATATCATGTGTCCCTATATTGAATTGATGATGATAGGAGTGTATCATGTGTCCCTATATTGAAGTGATGATGAAAGGAGTATATCATGTATCCCTATATTGAAGTGATGATGATAGGAGTGTATCATGTATCCCTATATTGAAGTGATGATGATAGGAGTGTATCATGTATCCCTATATTGAAGTGATGATGAAAGGAGTGTATCATGTATCCCTATATTGAAGTGATGATGATAGGAGTATATCATGTATCCCTATATTGAAGTGATGATGAAAGGAGTATATCATGTATCCCTATATTGAAGTGATGATGAAAGGAGTGTATCATGTATCCCTATATTGAAGTGATGATGCAGTGGATATCCTGCTACAGAAAGAATGACATGCTTATCGTATTGCAGTTATGGCACCATTGAATCATGTGTTCAGCTGGGGTAGCCTTACTGTTTGTCAGGCACAGTACATTCTGCTGGCGCTGTGTCTGAGTGTCTGTTTGTGTTGCAGGACGTTGGGGGGCAGGACAAGATTCGACCTTTATGGCGGCACTACTTCACAGGAACACAAGGTCTCATTTTCGTAGTGGACTGTGCTGACCGGGACCGTATTGTCGAGGCAAGACAGGAGCTGCATCGCATCATCAATGATCGCGAGATGAGAGATGTGATTATTCTGATATTTGCTAACAAACAGGATCTCCCAGATGGTAAGATATAAGGCAGTGGTGCATAAGGAGATTCCTTTTGAGATAATGGTATTTGGAGAGATCCTTTTGACACACATATTGGGAAAGTGGTGTATAGGGAGATACTTTGGGCCTTGTTGAGGTTAAGATATTTTGGTTAAGGGTATTGGGAGAGAGGTGTGTATGGAGATCCTTTTGGCAAGAGATTTGTATGTATTAAGAGATACCTTTGGTCAGAGAGAGATATTAAGGAGATCGTGTAGGCAGATTGGTAAGTACAGGAAGAGCAGAGGACCAAATTATACCAGATTGTGGAGCTGAGGAATGTAATGCCTGTCAAGTAAGTTGCAATCTTGATAAATATACAAACATACAAAGTAGGACAATACTTGATGTCCAACGCTAGCAGTCAAAGCCAATACTAAGCTTATTTCTGAAAAGTAATATTCAAAAACGTTATTGTATGTTCGATATCATCGCATCTTGGTTCAATATTTTCACACTACACAAGTCCCATGTCATATTTAATTACACATTCGAAAAACCCACCTTCACCAAACCTCTGCGTAAACTATTGCTATTATAATATCAACAAAGTTTACATCACTTTCATCACTTGGCAAAGAGAGAGAATTTTATTTAAAAACTGTCATACCTGGAGAACTCTTTCATTAGCAACTGTAGGTGTTTAATATTACCACATATATATGGGGGGATCCAAATTAAATTTGAATAAACTAGTCCAAACCAGGACACAATAACTCATTTGTCCTAATTTATTGCACTGCTCGATTTAAGGAAATGAAACCTATTTGCACCTGTTGCAACCTTACTTAATAACCTTGTCGTACCACACAAAAACAGATTCTCCTGCTGTTCAGTATTAAATTAATATAGTATTGGGTTTAGTACTGATGATATAGAACATCATTATAACAAAATCATTCTGGGTCTGATAAGATTATTTCATGTTACTACATAAACTTTCATGACCTGAACAGTTACAGTCATTAACTGTCCATTTAATCTTCAGAATCACTTCACCAAACCAGTTCCCCACTCAGTTTCTCAACTGAAGTCTGTGTTCTTAGAACAACACAATATTACATGCTCTTGGAGCAAGTTGGTAGAAAGATGAAATTGCATGTTGCAGTTTTCAAGTTTCTATTTGTTTCACTCAATACTGTGGTCTATTAGCAGTAAACAGGGGAGGCCATTAAAAAACACATCACATAATTAATTTTGCATTTGCAGGATTTTGAATCTTGTCAGGAAATTTATCACTGATATATTGGCCAACTCTTCCATGTCTTGATTAGAAATATTGTAATTATGTTTCATGATCGGCATTATTTAGCCATTGCATCAATTTTTGGGATGTATGTAAGTTCAGATTCTGCTTATGAGTGCATATTTTCAAGTATTAATCTTGTTTATTTAACTTAAAAAAACGCATGTTAGGCCACACACTCACATGTCCTCCATGGCTATCAGCAATGTCAAGTCTGAAGGTTTTTCAAACGAAATCATTTACAAATTCAATAAATATGCAAATGCTTTTAAATTTATGTAATCACTCCTAGCAAGTTAGATGTATCAAATTGTTGAGTTCTTTATTTGTTGCCATTACCTTGATCGTTCTGGTTTATCCAATTGGTGGTGTAAAAATTAAGATAGTCTTTTTTTAAGAACTAATTAAACTGAAAGTTGCTAATTTTTAGAAAATCAAAAATTCAATGTTGACTTTCTCCCAAGAACAAAAACCTTCCCCTTTTATGAATTTAAAGTTCAGCGAGCCAAATCTCCTGTGAAAGAGCAGGCACCATCTCAGACCAATAGCATCCTTACAAAGAGAATTGGTTGGCTTTATCTAAGTTTCAAACCTTTTGAAAGGGCAAAAATGAACCAACAAGTTACACTCTTCCCTACCCACTTATTTTGGGAGGAGATTGACTCTGCTAACTGCTGTAGCTTACCTACTTTCTGTAATCTGGAATGAACTCTGCTTCTCTAGGTAAATGTCAATAGATGAAGTCACCTTTTCCTTGGTGTATTTAGTCCAGTAATAAGACTGTTTGTTGTTGCAGCTATGAAGCCACATGAAATTCAAGAGAAGCTAGGATTAACGAGAATACGTGACCGCAACTGGTATGTTCAGCCGGCTTGTGCAACAACGGGTGACGGACTCTATGAGGGCCTAACGTGGCTCACTTCCAACCACAAGTCTTGATTGAGGCTGGGCTACATAGCACCAGTCTGTTTTATATCACAAACTCTGCAAAACATACTGACTAAACAGAGTGGACAGAGACACAGTAGTGGGCCAGCTCTGGACACTCATGCAAGTGACCTGTGTATAGACACTGACAGTGACAACCTTCAAGCTTGACTCGGCTTGTGCAGGCTTGTCACAAGGGATTTATTTCTGGTTTTTTTACGGTGCTTCATTTGATCCTGTAAAAAGTGTTGAAAGGGGCCAGAGTGTATATTTTGCAAGTAGACTTTTTGTATACTTCCGACTTATTTGCCTCTCTGTACAGTTAGAATGCATGTGGCCATGTGGGCACGTACCCAGCGCTGTAGTCAGACTGCATGGTTTCTCTAATTCTCCCAGATAGTGACATAGTTGGCCCACGATGTCCATATCACTCATGTTACTCTCATATATTTATTCGTTGCGTCGTCCTGTTGGGAAAGACGATCCTGCCATGGAATGTGAAGACGATGATGCAGCATGGCCTGGTGTGTATCACCTCTGACATATCGCTACACAAACTTCTTCACTTTTTTATTGGTCAGGAAAGAGTTTTGTATTATGTTTTTTGTGTGAAATTATCAGATTCATTGAGATCTCATCCGCTGAAAAACTATACAAGGCTTGGAGGGGAATCAGCACAATTCTACCCGCAGCAGATGTCTCATATATACTCATGTCACCGTTACAAGAAGACTGTGTGTGAATCACTGGTTTATTGTTTGTAATTCAGAACCAACTCAGCTATCTGTCAGTTCTGGACACACAAGAACTTTACTGTATATAAGAAATTTTAGAGATTATTTTGTGTTTTTCACTTGTAAAGAATACTGTTTAGGTTCACCTACAAGTAATTAGTACTGGCTGTCTGATTCTGTCTGTGAAGAATAAAGACAGTCATCAAGAGTATCCAGATTTCAGCAGAAGCTTGTGATGCAAGGTTAGCCCAGGACCTTCTTGATGTCAAGGTATATGCTGAAAATACATTTCAAATATCTAATGTGTCTTACAATTGTTAAGAATGGAGTAAACGTGAAGGTAAATAATATAACAGTATTGTTTTTCCCTGTTTGGAGTCGATGGAAACAACTTGTATTCTCCTCAGCACAACATTTTCTATTTTTCATCAGCCTTCACCGCACACACTTCCACATCCTCACCACACAGCTCAACTCAATAGTTGTTATTATACTGGACATATTAGTTAAAAACACGGACCTCATCATCGTCTTGAGCTGTGAATGGAAAACATGTAAAAAGCTTATAATGATCACATGCATTATGGATGGACGTTGCGCTTGGTCATCCAAGGAACCGTCATCATGGAAAATAACCTGTCGCTGTGTCTGGTGTCGAGACACTGGTATGTAGCTGTCTGGTGCAATGTCTGATGTCTATCTAGACATTGGTCTGTGTCTGGTGTCCATCTAGATATTGGTCTGAAGCAGTGTCTGGTGTCTATCTAGACATTGGCCTGTAGCAGTGTCTGGTGTCCATCTAGACATTGGTCTGTAGCAGTGTCTGGTGTCTATCTAGACATTGGCCTGTAGCAGTGTCTGGTGTCCATCTAGACATTGGCCTGTAGCAGTGTCTGGTGTCCATCTAGACATTGGCCTGTAGTAGCAGTGTCTGGTGTCCATCTAGACATTGGTCTGTAGCAGTGTCTGGTGTCTATCTAGACATTGGCCTGTAGCAGTGTCTGGTGTCCATCTAGACATTGGTCTGTAGCAGTGTCTGGTGTCTATCTAGACATTGGCCTGTATCTGTGTCTGGTGTCCATCTAGACATTGGTCTGTAGCAGTGCATCTAGACATTGGCCTGTCTGGTGTGTCCATCTAGACATTGGTCTGTAGCATCTGTGTCTGGGCCTCCATCTAGACATTGGCCTGACATTGGCAGTGTCTGGTGTCCATCTAGACATTGGTCTGTAGCAGTGTCAACACTGGTGTCCATCTAGGCCTGTAGCAGTGTCTGGCCATCTAGACATTGGTCTGTAGCAGTGTCGGCACTGGTGTCCATCTAGACATTGGTCTGTAGCAGTGTCAACACTGGTGTCCATCTAGACATTGGCCTGTAGCAGTGTCTGGTGTCCATCTAGACATTGGCCTGTAGCAGTGTCGACACGGGTGTCCATCTAGACATTGGCCTGTAGCAGTGTCTGGTGTCCATCTAGACATTGGTCTGTAGCAGTGTCTGTTATCCATCTAGACATTGGTCTGTAGCAGTGTCTGGTGTCCATCTAGACATTGGCCTGTAGCAGTGTCTGGTGTCCATCTAGACATTGGCCTGTAGCAGTGTCGACACTGGTATCCATCTAGACATTGGTCTGCAGCAGTGTCGACACTGGTGTCCATCTAGACATTGGCCTGTAGCAGTGTCTGGTGTCTATCTAGACATTGGTCTGTAGCAGTGTCGACACTGGTGTCCATCTAGACATTGGCCTGTAGCAGTGTCTGGTGTCCATCTAGACATTGGTCTGCAGCAGTGTGGACACTGGTGTCCATCTAGACATTGGCCTGTAGCAGTGTCTGGTGTCCATCTAGACATTGGCCTGTAGCAGTGTCGACACTGGTGTCCATCTAGACATTGGTCTGTAGTAGTCTGGTGTCCATCTAGTCGACACTGGTGTCCATCTCGACACTGGTCTGCATCTAGACATTGGTCTGTAGTAGTGTCGACACTGGTGTCCATCTAGACATTGGTCTGTAGTTTTGGAAGGTACAGGGTTGCTAGGTATCATTCCCAAATCATCTGTGCCTGTACAAGTGTTGGGTGAATTTGAGACACTTGTCTGGTACAGCATGTCCTTTTCTTCTCACAGTGACCTGGCTGCTGCTGATATTCTTGACACTTGTAATAGACACAGACACTGTCTAATAGTGTCATGGTTTTTGGTGTATGACAAGGTGATCCGGATGTTACAGACATTGATAATGACTGTTTGGTACATGTTGCTTGGTGAATGTTCAGACACTTCTGTCAAAGACACTGTTGTAAAAGTTGATCCTTGATGACCTTCCAGAGACTTGTATCCTGACACTGTAGGTGTCTGTTGTCCCCATCGTCACCTGGTGGCTTGCCCATGTCTTCCTCCACCGCTGCAGTATGATGCAAGCCAGTGTGTCTGTGTGCATGAGGGACCTACACTAAATCACTGGTAGATCCTGGTGTGTACGACTGGTACCTTGCACACACCAAGATCAGTGTTTGTAAAGAATGGTATCCTGAAAGCAGAACTTGAATGTGAAATGTGATGTATGAATAGGATAGATCATGCTTTCTGTACATCTAGACCGTAATATATTACCCATGTTCAACAGGCTAGACGAGGACTCAGGGCATCCCTTTCTGTAAACCGGCTCATAGTGCTCTTCTTCATTCCATGCGAAACTTTCCTTGTAGTGATGGACATAGCTTCTTATCAGATTTATGTGCCCATTTGCTCCAGCTTCTAGAGGCATGTAGCTTGACAGTGTCGACTGTCTCGTCACTTGTTTGGCCGAGTCAAGATTAGATCTGTTGCTGCCTCTGTCCAGACATTCTTCTTAGGTTTTCAGATAACCAAGTCAATTCAGACACATTTACTAACTTAACATATGCATATTTTGTGCCTCTCCAGACTGGAGCAACATTCAGATGACTGTTTTTTTTGTACCATGTATATAACTGGCTTCCTACTCAAGAAGCTTGTGTTGTCTTTGTAACCAAACTCAGTTTTAAGTTCATGATTTGTTTTAATAACCAATTTGTTTCAGAGTAAGGTATGAAACATAATGCTTGCTTATGATGGTATTTTTGTGAAACAGCAGTGTTTAATATTTTGAAAACTGATCGATGTCATCCCAGTATTTCAGGATTTTGTGTGATGGCTGAGTGTCAAAGTTCAGTGTCCAGCTGCAAGAAATGTTTTGATTTGAAGCTGGCCACCATGGGTATTACTAATCTGTACATTTTAATGAAAGTGATTTGTAAATGTGTGATTCTGTGAGTGGTAAGTGTGTCGATTGGTTGGTCTTTAGATATTGTTATCTGTTACTCTTTTAGCATATATATGTGTATGGTGTTAGCAGCCGACTGCATGCGTCTGTTAGGGGTTTAGATATAGTGATACCACATCGTACTGCAATACTTGGCTGATGGTACAATTCCTTGTCTTGTCATGTGATACCAGATGATACCAGTAAAATTATTTGGAAATGAGATAAAAGTGTCTTGATATCAAATGTTGCACCATGAATGGATTAAAGTAATCAATGTGGCAAGGATTGCTACAGCAGTTTTTAGAGAATGGTGTGATGACTAAAGACGCAAGGGTTCTATTTATTGACCAACATGAGCAACTTTCATGAGAATTTCTAAGTACACTATGCATCTGCAACTAAAAATAAAGAAGTTACAATTCAATATTTCTATAAGTAAGGAAACAGTATTTGCTGATTAATATAAGGGTAATGCTATTTTTGAGGGCATTATCATTTGCAGAAGCCCGAGGTCTTCCATTAACTGCCTGACGAAGGAGGGCAGTTGAAAAAGACCGAGGGCTTCTGCAAATGATAATGCCCTCAAAAATAGCATTACCGTTATTATTACTAAAATACATGGAATTTGTGTTTAAAAGAAAAAGGAAACAATGAAGGAATTTGACTGTAAGTTTAACCAAATCAACTTCTGATGGGGTTGACTGCCCGAATGTAATTACGTCATCGAACAATTCAAGTGACGTCACAACAGAAAGTGACGATATCCGACCTTGGCCTTTGACAAGACCATAGCCTGCAACATGTCAAACTATGTCAGTGTTCGGTTTTGGTCCATCAACAGTCTTAATAGTGCAATTGTTAATATTATCGCTATTTAAAGCGGGAATTCGGGTTGCTTTGACTTGTTTGACCCAGAATATCTGCCAGTCGAAAGCCAATTAATGTCGAATGAACCGTAAGCCAACGCACCCACTATGACGTCACTTGACAACAGAACTGATAGTTGCCCGTCGTTAAGGTTGAGCGGTCCAATATCATTTGCAGCGGACCGCAAATTTCTGATAATGGGAGGGCCGTTTCATGATAATTCCATGTATTTTAGCTATAAAAAGGGTTATATTTGTGTGTGTGGTATGTTGCTGCTGGTATGGCAATACGTGTTGTATCACACCCCTAGTGTCTGTGGGAGGACAGACAGCACGAATCTAGACTAGCATAGTTGTCAGCATCCTCGATAATCTCCAGGGTATACGTTACGATCACTCTCCACTATACCCTGGATGCATCCACGGCTTGGGGCGATGATTTTATTACCTCCCTAACGTATACCCTGGAGATTATCGAGGATGAGTTGTCAGGTATCCAGGGCATATTTATACAATTATTAATGAATGTTTATTATAACGTTGCATACCTGTTGTTATTACCAGAGTAAAAGCTAGATTGCGATGGAGACAGTAGTCATACCTGTTGAAAGACAGGTGTGGAGAATGAATGACATCACACAAGTATCCTTAGCCCCCACCACTGTAGCCTTCTGTGTGCTAGTCACAGAACAGAGAGTCAATCTTCAGCTCTGCCTTGAAACCATAGCCAAGACCGTGTCCTCATGATAAGCATACTTCCAGGAATTATTACCAAACTGTGTTGTTGATAGGACTAAACTTTGTATACACTTTTGGTTGGGGAATCTTTTGATAATTTGGTGCAAAAGAGATTTGTATATTTAAATGAAAGTGTTCACAGACATTTATGATGGCGGAACATGTTCATAGCAGCTGGACAGAGAAGTCACTGTTCTTAATTTGATATAAGACGGCATCAGATGATTTTACAGTTACATATGGGGTGTAGCAAATATACTACTGAACTTTGATAGCAATCAATATCTTGTATTTCCAGATGGGGAACTGAATATAACTTGTTGCAAGTTGTCATATGAATAGCATTCAGTATTGCAATCCAGCTGATAGCTTCTAAGCTTCATATGAGTTGGTATTCATATGAAATATTCCTCAAGTTCTCTCAGTTCTTAAACAGTAGCAGATATCTATATGTATACATGTTCAGTGGCATAGATCCACTTCCTTCAAGAACCAATCTTTAAATACCTTGATTGATGTTGGAAAATAATAATGGTTCCTGAGCGTGTGACAAGATCTGGCACTGAATGCTGTAAGCAATGCTAACCCAACTATCATTCTTTAGTCACATGCAGTGCTTTCAGTCCAACAGTTAAACTTCAGATTACTGTTTGAAGTTAGCTAACTATAGCACTTCATCATAACATGTTGAGGTGAACTTCAGAGCCTGCAATGAACAGATCTAAAACGTGCTTCTTATCTCATGCTTTGTGGGGCTTCTACCATTAGGCACAAACTAGGGGAGGAAGGATGTTAGTGGTAACCTCATGTCAACATCGCATTTCATCTGCATTTAAGTCCAAGATTAACATCTGCAGCTTTAGATTAATCTTCAGAATTAACTGTTCAAAAATTATGCTTTGTTTTGATAATTAAAAGACGGTTTGGAAGAATTTCTTGTTTGGATAGTTGTGTGAGTTCAGTCAGTGTCTAACAAAGCCCTGCTACTAATGACTACAAAAAAGAATACACTTCATGTGATTGGCTTTGGATCTTAGTCCACTCTTCTTCTTCCTGTGGTAGGTTCCTGTAGATGGGGTATACCTGGTACATTGTACACTCCCTTGAGGTGTATTGTATAAACGTTGGTGAGCCACCCCTCAGACTCTGTAAATACTGGCCTATTCATTTCACCAACATTTTATACTCCTAAATAAACACAGATTCAATCAGTATAAATGTGTTTGTTGTCAAAATATGTAATGCACAATTGCATTATTGCATGTCTTATGTTTTTAGATGGTACTGTTGCCTGCGCTGCATCATATTGTGTGCATCGTATCACTGGCGCTAGCACTATTATTCCAGCAGCCACTCGTACGTGCATGCACAAAACTAGCAAAGATAACACTTAAATGTTACTTACACCACACTTCATCACTAGCCTTATTCCTTGTTACATGACATTTGCAGGAAGTACAATTAAAAAGGTCATCATTTTTATCTCAGTTATAAATTACTGACAACCAAGACTAATTCGATATACTTGGTCAAGATCTGACATACGAGGTTCACCATGAATGGAGTTCGATCAACGGATGAATGGGTTCTTGAATCAATCAACTTTCTAAAAAGAACTGACATCATTTCTCCTCCCTCCCTTTACAGCACCCTCTTTGTAGATGCCATGTTCTGTGAAAGGGTGGGTTAGAACAACACAACACAAAGAGATTCATCTTCTTGGTATTTTTCATTCAAAACTGTATTCATATGTTCCTTTTCAAGATACAGAAATCTGGCATATTCTAGAGCATGTACCAAGAATTTAGGAGATCCCCATGCTGCTTAGAAAGTTTGAACCTGACATGACGAGTTTGTCAGACAGTCATAAAATCAGCACTAAGATGTAAAAGTCCACACAGCCTGAGATATTTGTGGAAGTGTTAGTCATGTTGTAGCGATGAGGTTTACATCACCTATGACATCATGTCACAGGCACTCTTATCAGTGCCACATGGGACAAGGAAACTCAGTCATGATCTAAATTGTGTCTCAAAAAGAATAGGATTAGAAAACATAAAAAACAATAATCTTCACCCTGTGAAATCATGTGGAAAGTCTCTTGTCCAGGCTAAAGGAGTTACAAAATGGATTCACTCTGGCTAGCCAGTCTGTAAATTGTACATTTCTTACATAGTATTTTAAAATGTTGCTGTGAATGATTGATGACAATCGTCAAAGATATACGTGTAGCTATGTTGCTGGAGGCATGTATTACAAGTGATATCTGTGCAAGTGGCTATAATAAACAAGAACTCAAGTCAACAAACTTTATTAACAATGAAAGAAGATAATATCTAACTGTTTGATATAATCTCAAAAACAGGACTTCCCTGACTTCCACCACAGACTAATCTGTACAAGATGAACACTGAGCTGTGGGTACTAGGTAATACAAACAACAGATTTGTCATCACTTACAACTGTATGTAAGAGTAGGAAGAAACAAGATGTAAATATACACACAAAATTACATCTGTAAAACATTCTCATTTTGATTTTGCTCATCTCAAGCACAACTGAGGCTCTAAATATTTTCATTTAGAAAAAAAAAAACTTCTAAGATTTCGATAAACTTGTACCGCAAAAGAAACTTTCAATATCGTCACTTAAAAAAACATTTCGGAGCAGACAGTTGGCTCTGGCTGTGAGTGAGTGAGAAAGTGATCCTTTAGCAATATTCCAGCAATATCACGGAGGGGGAGACCGGAAATGGGCTTCACATATTGTACCCATGTGGGGAATCGAACCCAGGTCTTTAACCACTAGGTTACCCCACCACCCCCGGCTCTAGCTGTGACATACCTTTGTCAAGTTTGTTAAAAAACAACCAGTTGTATGTTATCTCTCTGTGGTCATGTTCATGTGGTTCACTTGCTGGCCTGAAGCTTCCCACTCAGCTGTTGATGGGGATGTGCCTGTTACTCGATGATACTCATACAAGTACTGACATGTAGTTTGGAAGTAATGAGAAAGATTCTCAATATCCACATCAAAAGTGGGGACTACAAGTGTTAGTAAGACTAGACATTAAAAATCATCTTTGCAAAAAGAATATGTTATGAAAGTATGGAAAAAGTAGAGACCAACTTAATTAATTGTTACATAGATGTGCCTGTCCCCTTTGTAGATATTGTTCAAAATACAGGATCCCAAACAGGAATCATCTGGTTACCTTAACCTCAAAATGAACAGTCACATTTCAATAGTTTCTCACAATCACGCTATCTTCACTAATTTGGGGATAGAAATCCATAAACAATTAATTTATTTGGACTGTCTCAAAATACAACAACAATACTTCAAGTCCAACATAACGTCATAAATGAAGACATTGTAGTTAAGAAATATTCTATTGATAAGATATTGGAATGGATGCGAGTGCCACCGCAGCGATGATCATCAAACCAACTGTACATAAGGAAATATCTATAGCAAATTTTAAACAAGCTACACTGAATCAAACTCTGAAAGTATTTGAAAAGTATGAGAAATGGTTCCTTGCCTTAACCCTCATGTTAAAGTTGACCCTCAACTCCAATACCATATGAAGAAATATGGAGGCTTCCAGGAACCTCTTACTTTTGAATGCTGCCTGGTTGTCAGACATTGTGACAAATGAAGCATCCCTGACCACAGGTAGAGGAGCTCACCTTTAACAGATCACTTAACATTCAAAATATACTGTCAAATTTTGTAATATAGTTTTAAAATTTAATGCCATGATAAGTTTACTTCAGTATACATTATTTTTCAAGCCCTCTAATGCCATTCTTTAGTCAAATATGTTAAATTAGTTCTTTAACCACATTCATGACATACTTAATACCCTTAAAATCTATAACTGTAAACAGACAAAAATATTATGGCTGAACAACAAAGGGCACTAGCTCAACCTTACACTGTCACAATGTCACAAAAAACCTGCTGCAAATGACATGTTCACATCTAAAAAACAAAACAAATAAGAGGCTTAAGAGCTAGTTCATCTTTCAACTGTTCAGGACTTCTGACACTGGAATATCAGCCCGCTACATATCTGGACCAGAAAACAAGAATACAAATTAAAGAGCTCCTTCCCATGCCACATTATAACTATCAGGTCACCAAGATGATACAAGTCATCAGCAACCTCAGACAGATGACTGATGAACACATGATCTGTTGTAAGCATAAAAGTCATAAACTAGTATAAATCACCCACAGATCAAAACATTTCACGGTTAATAAAACTGAAAATGGAATTGTTATCTTATGATACTTACATTTTCATACAATCAATGTGTAGATTAAAATATTGTTATTAAAAACATTATGGAGCATCTTCCAAACAAGACGCCTTATCCATATTTGAATATTGAGATAGGCTTGTATAGCTGTTCCAGGTAATCATTCATTTCACTCAATATAACTTAATGTTTCAAATAAATGAATTCAGACTTTCCAAATAAAATTCTCTTGACCAATCTCATACTTTAATAACACAACTGACAAATGATTATACATAAATAAGTTAAACAAATTGATGAAACAATATATAAGAAATAACATGCAATAATATTCATAAAACAAATTGAGGTATTTGGGGGATGCTAAAATCTGACCTTCATGCTCAGTATTGATAAAACTTTGTTGACAAATAATGAAGCAATCAACAAGAAGTCAAAATTAACCAACTAGAAAGCAGCTTTTAACAATAATAGCACTAGTAAAACACTAGCGACTTCCATTCCAAACAACACACATATGTATATACTTTGACAAAGTTCTCCATTCAAAGTTTCAAAACTGAGTACAAGAATTCTGGAATGTCCTACAGATGGCTGATATTGTAAGCAAGTACTTTCCACAGACTAGGGATAGTCACTTCACTAGGGATGCCACAATACATCGATACATCGATGCATCAATACTTTTTCTAAGACAATAAAATTATCGATACATTCAAAACTGTATTGATATTTAGTTTTGAAAGTATTGGTTTAAATATGTTTATGTATCGTTTACTTTTTTTGCAATTGTATCATGTTTTTTGATGTTATGAGAGTTTTAAATGATTATTTCTCATGCACAAAGATGGGAAATTAGAACTTTTTAATCTCTGAGAATAAAAAATGTTGATCTTTTCATACAATATGTAATATTAATGTTCAAAATGTAACTAAATTTACGCAATAATACCGCAAAAATAGGTATCGTGATACATATCGAATTGTGACATGGGTGTTGTGATGCGAATCAATTCATGAAACTTATGTATCGTGACATCCCTACACTTCACTTTCAATTGTTTATCCCATCAAAGCAAGCAACTGATGATGTTGACTGAATCAGCCCTACAACGCATAACTATTATTCAGAACACCCCATGCTAAACTTTTTGACTATGCATTCTGACTGGCATTTTCTTGATCTATTAAGCACGGTTCTGATCGGCCTAATGAAACTTTGTTCAGGCATAACAGTAGCAACACTAAGATCAGATCTTAGTGAGTCTGAACATCACGTAACTTCTCAAGAGCACAAATGAACAGATTTTCTACAATTGACAAAGGACCCCAAGCATTCAGACCACAACATTTCAAAGGTTCTTGACTTCAAATTTTTTTTAAAATATTAGACTTAATGATAATTTCAAGGTTTCATTAACATTTGAATCATCAGAAAGATGTTAATAACAAGAAAGACTTCCATACGGACTTTTCAGTATGTTTTATCCATTGATAAAATACCTTAGCCAAAGTCATCATCAAAGCTTTGTTTTGGAAGTGACCTCTCTATCTCTCAATTATCTATAACCAATCACAGAATTTGTCTCATTCCCCATATTTGTACCGTTGCAAAACTTTTACTGTCATGTTGTTTGGCCTGAAATAAATGCATTGCCCCATGTATGTATCATGCTAGGATGGAAATACACTGGATAAACAAGGATGCCACAAGACCTAGCCCTGTGCACAGTGCAACCAAGAAATGTCATCACTGTTATGAAGAATGCTTTCAAAGGTTTGCTGAGGAATCAGCCCTCATAATGTGTTGAGTATACTCTATTCAATTCCACAAATATGTTCAAGTTACAAAATCACTCAATCACATTAGTTTCCACAAAATGTAATATTCTTTGAGCAGATTGTGATTAACCAGAATCTAAGCAGAACGTGAAGGTGAAGCGTATATCAGCCAGGCTGAAGCTGAGACAAACGACTACTCAGCACAGACAGCCACCTACTCAACCAATAAGACAAGAGATGTTACAGACAATATAAATAAGATGCTCTACCCCAATGAGGAATGTGAACACAACACCCATTCAGAAATATCACAACTTGAGCAAAAGCATGAGCTGACTGTAAAAATGATTAATCTTGAAAACATGTCTGAACAAGTGTTCGAAGCCAAACATTTGATTCTGATTTTGATCAACACGATGGAATGAGTTGACTAGCATTCATGTAGTGAGTCACCTTTGTAGCCCAGAAGGCCGAAACACTCCAGTGTCTAGCGTAGGATCGACGAGTGTGGGGAACACAGGCCATTTATTGTGGGTCATGCACATGAGAATGATTACAAAAGTAGCATGAATCTGTGTTATGAATGAAGACATTCTTAAATAAGATCACACTGTCTAGCAAAACCATTAAACAGATCTTCTTTCAAGGCCTTTAAAATAGACTTGGAGTGTAAAGTCAGAACTAACCAATATTTCTTTGGCCTTCTGTGAATACTTAATACATATCTTTGGTAACAGGATCATACAACATCAGGAGAAAATAAAATCTATTGACAGGAACAATTTGTTTCAGGGAAACCTATAAGCCCTTGATGAGTATGAGAGTACAGCAATCACTGACTGTCAATGCTACAGTTGAGTGTAAAAATATCCCTGGAAAAGGGTTTCCCTGGATGAGAGTACAGCAATGCTACAGTTGAGTGTAAAAATATCCCTGGAAAAGGGTTTCCCTGGATGAGAGTGAGATCAGTGGACTACACATATGGCAGTAGATACACATGAGTAGATAACTAACTCAAATAGAAAACAATTACATGATGAGCATCACACACATCAACAGACAACAACTCGACTACGCTCATTGGATTTCTTAAATGAACAAAGTTAAAATAATGTCTTAAAATATCAGATGCCATGAGGACTGTCAGATAACTAATTCCAGACATCAGCAAATTGTGACATCTTTTGCAACATATTTTGATTAATTTTCTGTACTGAAATACATGAGTATTCACAACAGTATAACCCCTTGCCAGTTGGACTTGTACTCAAGGGCCTGCTCCATAAAGTGATGGTAGTACTAATACCATATCCATTCTGTAACATGACACTGACAACTGTAAGAAAGAATATAGAACAGTGCACTGGTAACTTGAGGGTATGCTGATGTCCATAACTCCTGGAATGGGAACTGAGCACTTTTACCTAACATTCAACTGAGCTACTGACAGAGCAAGCCACATCTGTCTCAGGATGAAAACATATTCTGTTTACATCTGGAAGAACAATTTGTTATGAACTTTTGGCAGTTTCACAAAATGATTATCTGGACAAGTATGATCCAAATAAATCAAAGATGAGTTCAGTGTAAAAGTAGTGGTAGTATGTCCAATAATATCAGGACTTCTTACTGTCAAAATACACATATGACCACATATTATTAAATATTTAAAGATAGGGAAAAGGGCGATAATATTTTAAGGCGTTTCCAGACAGAACTGTTAATCACAACATAAAAGAAAATCCAACTGGCAAAGGTTAACAATGTATACAGACTTTGTGAGTATTTAAGGAATGACATCAGGATGAGGCTGCAGCGGTGGTACTTCCAACAGCTCACCTCACGTTATCGTTCCGGCAGTTCAGGAATTGAGTCTGCACTTGGCCAAGAAGAGAGAGATGTTCTTGCAGAGCTCCAGGTCAGTGTCTTGTGGGAAGAGGCAAATTTGGTTTTCCAATGAACACATGGCTTTGAAGTTCTTCGCGCATGGTTTGCCTTTCATCTGCATCTTGATGTGCGAGTCCAGCTTCATGTTGTTCTCATCAACAAACATGATACGGCGCTTGCCCTGGTGGAAAGAATCAGGGCATGTCAGACTGCATGGGTCTGTCAGGTTTAGAAACAGTAGTCATGTCACAGGTTGGAAAAATTACAGTGCTACATCTCCAGACTGTGTCCCAATGCCAGCATTGACATGTGTTGTCCTCGTGATAACATATATAGCAAATCCTTTAAGAAATATCCAATATGTCCTCATGATAGGACAGTACAATAAGGCCTAAAAAATCTTGTGCCAATTTTTTTTCACTGTTTTGAAACAATTTCATACATGCAGCATTCAAACTGAAAGTGACTGGTGGGGTAGCCTAGTGGTTAAAGAAGTTGCTTGTCACCCTAACACCTGTGTCTACGAGCCCAAATGGATACGATGTGTAATGCATATTTCTGGTGTTCTTTGTTGCAATGTTCCTGAAATATTGCCACCACCCAAACATCGTGCCCCACAGACACACCATTTGCCATATACACACATCATGCCCATGTGGAAAACACAGGTTGAGCCATCACTTGCTACTCAACCAGTATTTGTATGACAACAATTAAGTGTTTAACAAAATTGACAGAAAGGTTATTGGATATTTACAGGTGAATGAAAAGCTGCTCTTTATCAATGTCAGGATTTGATGAATAAGATGATTTCTGTGTTATTTTGGAGGATGTGTATCATAACACCTTGTAGAGACATGTGTTAACTTCCATGCATAGTCTATCCACATCGCTTTGACATATCGAAGGGACCCAACTCTATACTGCAGACTGCCATATCTTAGATAAAGCTGACAGGTCTGCCAAAATAACTGGCACAACTGGCCTCATTTCATACCTCTACAGTCATCTTCTTGTCCAGTGATGTCCCTTCAAGGTTGACAGCAAAAGCTTTCACAGTTGGGTCATATTGTTCAATCACATGACTTATAGACGTGAGTATCTTCTCCTAAATAACATAGGTGTATTAGTTTAAACCAACGGCTGCCACGCCTGTCAGGTACATGTCAGTCATGATGAGAATTTAAAGGATATTTTTATATTTACCAGTATCAGTGTTAAGAGTCCCAAAACAGGGTATTGTGGTGAACTGTGAACAATATGCATAGAATTTATGTTGGCAATTTGGAAATCTTGTAAATGTAATCTCAGTGTAAACTACAGGCAGTTTTTATTTACAAAGAGAAAATGATACTTGAAGTTGAAAACTCAGCAAGTGCAGTCAGTCATGAAAGTGAAAGGTTTTACTTACAGCAGGCTCCTGCGGATCCTGAATATGTTCTCTCAGATTCAGTCTGTGAATGCAGTACTGGCCCAGCTCTATATCTTCTATGGTGCTCTCATCTGAACATACAATATGTACACTACAGAATGATTCAGTCATTAAATACAGAACTGGCTCAGCTCTATCTCTTGTACGGTGCTCTCTTCTGAACATACAATATATACACTACAGAATGATTCAGTCTGTGAATACAGTACAGGTCCAGCTCTATCTTTTGTACGGTGCTCTCGTCTGAACATACAACATATACACTACAGAATGATTCAGTCTGTGAATGCAGTACAGGCCCAGCTCTATCACTTCTATGGTGCTCTCGTCTGAACATACAATATATACACTACAGACAAAAATGTACCATACAGCAAAAACGGAAATTAATCAAAAACATCTACCGGTACTAGCCTGAATAGTGATAACACACAATTATATTCCCCAAACTTTAAATTCTGCTAGCCCTCAGGAAACCAGTACCTTTCAGACTGACAAAACGGGACTGCACTTGGAGGCAAATGCTATTTTCCATAACTATTCAAACTGAGAATGAATCCCAAATATGCTATCTTCCTTTTCAACTTGCAACTTGTAAATCAGCGGGGCGGTGGGGTAGCCTAATGGTTAAAGCGTTGGCTCGTCACGCCGAAGACCCGGGTTCGAATCCCCACATGGACACAATGTGTGAAGCCCATTTCTGGTGTCCCCGCCGTGATGTTGCTGGAATATTGCTAAAAGCGGCGTAAAACCAAACTCAGTCAGCGTAAATCAGCGATCTATCTGCTCAGTGGGAAGTGCTCATACTTCAAGAAATATATGACCGCAGCATACAAACATCTCTTGAGATTTCATATTATGAATAAGTTCTGCTGGATATCTTGGTGAGTGAGGGGGTGAATTTTGTTTAATGCTGCTTTGAACACTATTCCTGTTAAACACAGCATGTTGGTGAGATGTGGGAACAGCCCCATGTGATGCAGTATGGTGCTGACCAACCAAGAAACCTAATCAGTGGGAAGGGTCGGAACTCTGCACACTCACCAAAAGCAAAGATGATGACAGTGTCAGCATTAGCACAGTTTGTGATTTGTAAGTCAAAGAAGACCTCACACATCCGTGACCAGATCAGATCCAGCATCCCACATGACACATCAATGTTGACAAGGCGGCCAGACTTCTGGAAGTAGTCCACGAATGGCCGCACGCTACTGTCAAACAGGGTGGCTCTTCTCTGGGGAAACAACATAAATCACATTTACAAATATCAAGAAATAATATGTCATTCCTTAAATCACAACTTCAAGTCAGAAACCCAAGTTGTTTGTCTGTCTCTTGATTAAAGTAGCACCATCACAGCTATAAGACAGCTTCCTGAAAATAATTTAGTTTGGACCAGATAATCCATTGATTAAAATCACGAGCTATCGCTGCCATTGTTGTACATAAAATAGTTATCAACTTAGTCACCGAGTCTGACCATCTGACCCATGCTGACAAATCTAATTATATGCTTCTGGGTACTGGGTTCATCAAGGAATATGAGAAACAGTATTTCAGTCAACAAACATAAACTAATTCAAGGCAATATTTTCAGATTTCCCAAGATTCATAAACACATCTGTTTACCAGTGTACTTCTGAGCTAACCTTGGTTCTGCCTGAGTCGGCTTCATCACTTTTCCCTGCCTGGTTGCCTCCTTCCTTCTTGTTCTCCGCCTCAGGCGCCTTCACACACTCAGGTTCGTTCTTCTTCTTCACCATCTTGTCCAGGGGGATGGAGAAGTTGATGGCAAACGATATGGGAAACTGGGGACAATCAACAGCTCAACACAATCAACATGTAAATCAGGGATTGATTCAGCTATGTATAACATGAACCAGTGAAACCTATTAATGAAAATGCAACCTAATATCTATTTCCAAAATTTATACCAAATACATGTCAAAATGTGTGTGTCTAACCATTACAAGTCCTTACAACTAGCCCTTTTTATGTGTAATTTATCTTGCTATTTAGGTCTGGTACAGGGTGTAACTTGTCTGGTTAAATGTAGGTGAAATCCTTATAGTCAAGTAGCTTATGGAATTCCGTGTAAGTTTTTTGATGAAAGCAAATCATATATTCTTTTGTGTTTATATGTTAAAGGAGTTTTAAAGAATGTTTGGTTCCAATCTGAATATTAATGCGAGAGCTATTTTTAGCTCAAAATCCAAGATGGCCACCAAAATTTAACTGGGAACTGAAAGAGTTGCAAAAACCGGAACAAAACAATGGTTTTAATATCAAATTCCATACATATTTGGTTAAGGAATATATTTCTCATATGATTTAAGTCACCAGATCTTTTTAGTTTGCTTTTAGTCTTAAATTTACATAAAAGAGTTATTTTTAGATCTAAAAGTCATAATGATGAATAAAACCCCCATTTCTGCACAAAGCATATATTTTTTTATAGAACTAGTACAATATGAAAAAGGAATATACATCTTACCCTGTTTATCAACTAAAGAAGGTCTTTACATGAAACTGCGATCCAGAAATATACTCTTCAAAAAAGAAATGCATAGCCATTTTTTAGAAGAATTCTTGCGTTAGTTTAAGAGCAATTATTTCATGTAATCCCAATGGTAAAAAGGTAAAAATTCAAACGTCTATAGACCTTTACTGTTGTGTTTCTGTTTACTTGAGTCCACTTTGCATGGCCACCATTGGCAGCAATCACTGCTCGGCACCGTCTCGGCACAGACTGGATAAGTTGACGAAGTAGCTCTTATCATCGTAGGTGACTTCAATTTCCATTTTGACAACAAGGATAATCATGACACTAAACCAATACTTAATCTTCTTGAAGTCCACAACTGTGTACAATTCGTGTCAGTGGCAAGCCACAGAGGTGGACACACTCTGGACTGGATTGTTACCCGTGCTTCAGACGCATGTGTCAGTTGTGTATCTGTATAGGACCCACAGCTCTCCGACCATTTCCATATCTTTGTGAGCTTGGACCTCTCAATACCCAGTCCAAATGTGAAGATTACTCACTGTAGGAACATGCGCTCCCTGGATATGGATACTTTTAAAGACAATTTGCTAAACTCAGACCTTTTACTTGAGCCACCACCTGCTGCTGAGAGTCTTGTTCTGCTATACCACAGAGTTCTATCTGAGCTGCTAGACAAACATGCACCAGTGAAGGAAGAGTCGACTTACTCTTACCAACATTAGTGCTGATTATTAACTCTTCTACTTCATCTCGTTATGTCCCAAGTGTACTCAAGTCAGCTCTAGTTAGGCCACATCTGAAGAAGTCAAGCCTTGATTGTGAGGATCCAAAAACTACAGGCCTGTTTCAAACTTAGCGTTTATATCCAAGCTCATTGAACATGCAGTCTCCAGTCATCTCATGGGCCACCTTTCCTGACATAACCTCTATGAGGTGTTCCAATCAGTCTACAGAGCACACCACAGCACAGAGACGGCTCTGTTGAAGATCCTGAATGACCTACGATTTGATATTGACACAGGACAAGTGGCCCTGCTCACATTACTTGACCTAAGCAGTGCCTTTGACACAATTGATCATCAGAGACTCCTCAAGAGACTTGATACAAAACTTGAATTCAGCATTATCCTGGCTGGCAGGACTCAAACTGTTGTTTTGGGGGAGTCTGTGTCAACTGCATCTAGGCTTGAGTGCGGAGTCCCTCAAGGATCCGTGCTTGGTCCGATCCTCTTCAATCTCTACACTGTTCCACTTGGCTCTGTTGTAGCAGACCACAATCTTGACCACTGCTACGCAGATGACACGCAGCTGTGTAAGTTATTTCAACCAAACACAGAGTCAGCTAGAGCGTCTCTCCATCAGACATCAGACTGTTGCCAGAAGATATTCATGGATGTCATCAAATGTCTTGAAATTAAATTAAGAGAAAACAGAGTCCATTCTTCTGGGACAGGCTGGAAAGCGCAAGCAGTGTGACATTACTAGTGTATCTGTCTGTGGAGCAACCATTCCTCTTTCTTCCACTGTCAAGGATCTGGGTGTTGTCATCGATCAAGATCTCAGTATGACAGAACACGTCAAGTATATTACTAAAACTTGCTACTTCCATCTCCACAATATCAGCAAGGCCAGACTGTTCTTACCAAAGATGCCTCCCAAACTCTCTGCCTCAGCCTAGTCACATCTCGTATGGACTACTGTAACAGCCTTTTGGTCGGATCTCCATCTTGTGTCACTGACCAACTGCAAAGCTTACAGAATTTAGCTGCTCGCATTACTTCCCAAATCTCCAGAAAACAGCACATCACACCAACTCTAAAGGACCTCCATTGGCTGCCCGTGAAACACAGAATCTCCTTCAAACTCCTGTCTCGCATACCAGTGCATGACTAACATGGCTCCAGTCTACCTCTCAGATCTTCTTCCAGCTTACGCACCATCTAGATCTCTGAGATCAGGGAATCAACACCTTTTTGTTATCCCCAAAGTCAAACAAGCTAAATATGGACACCGTGCCTTCTCCTATGCTGCTGATAAAAAAATTTCTCCCCACATTTAGTTGAATAAAACAAAATTCAAAGATTATAACCATTTTAGAATGATCCGATCCGATGACTTGAAAATTATTTCAAGGGATTTAATTGAGAGAGTGGGAAGCAGAAAATAGTGTTTTCGCCCCATCATTTCATTATATTCTTATCTATTTTCAAAGAACTCTGCTTTTAGAAGAAAAACTTTACATAAACATATTAATAAGAAATTGATAGTCATAATTTGATATTGACCAACTATATTTTTAAATAAGGACTGCTCCCTTACCGACAGTCTCACCAAACAGAAATAAACATCTCTTTTTAGTTTCAAATATAACTGTTCTTTCACTTTTATTAATAAACTTGATTTACATTGATTTGATAAAATGAAGCAATCATATACTTACAAAATGCACAAAACATACATCTGCTTAAATTCGTCTGCTAGCTGCCATTTTGAGAGAGGGAGTAGGGCTGGGACGGGTAGGAAAAAATGGAATCGAGTACCCGCATGTATTTACCCTAATCGAATCGAAAATACCGAAATGTAAGGAATACAGCGCTCTGTCAACTTTCTGAATATCCAATCACGATTTGACAGAAATTATTATACAAAATTTGAAAGGATGGCAATAAGACATTGAAACTGATCTTAGACTATTTAATTTACGCCTGTTTAACTAATATAGAGAGTAACACCATTACGCATATTCCACAGCACTTTTCGTTCGCACTGTTACTGTGACATGACAACTCATTGCTCATGTGCAACTAAATAACAATCGTTAATAATAACATCCATTAACCGGACAATACCAAAGATGTAAATGTGTGTTACGTCAATGAGAAAGACACGTTATTTTGTCAACTAGTACACAACTACCTTCAGGTGTGATATTATAACTGAACCTATAATGTTTTACATGTAGATTTATTGTAAACTTACCTAGAATAAAATTTGATTGATGTATTTACTGACTGGAGAAGTCTATCTGAGAGATATACAGACGACAAACTGTAATGCAACTGAGTTAGCAACATAGCAAAATGCTTCGCCGCATGAGGGAAGACTGGTCATTTTGCTCTGTTGCACAAACTCAGTTGCATTACAGTTAGTCTATTATACAATACAAACTAATACAGTGATTAAATTTTTATCCTTCCAGAAGATTATTAAAAGTTGCATTGAAATACTTTTGTGTGAATGTAGGGATAAAGAGAATATATCTAAATGCTATATTTTCACGTTTAAATAAATAAAACACACAAAAACTATTGTTATTTAAATATTCTAAATTTGTATATATTAAGTGAACATATGCGTATCTTCATTGGAATAACTGTATGCTGATATTATTTGTTAAACTATAAAATGTATATTAACTAAATGGTATTATATGTGATCTAAGTGAATTGTGCTTCTATATATTTCTGATCACTTTCTTCTTATTGTCATGATAATCAGTCGAACATTGTATTTGCAAATCAGAATGTGCTCTTTCAATAAACGTTAGCTTTTAATATGTTAATTCATTAGTTTTAATTGATATTCCCAACACATAGAATCATTTAATTACAATCTCTATATAGTGTGTGAAGCCCATTTCTGGTGTCCCCGCAGCGATGTTGTTGCTGGAATATTGCTAAAAGCGGTAAAACCAAACTCAGCCAGTCAGTCAGTCTCTATATAGTGAATGTATTCAGCCTTGACACAGAAGTAAAAGATGTGTTCATGAAATTGAAATAACAAAATTCAACGTAATCTTAACAGCATTTAATGAACTAACTTAATAAGCAATTAGAGTTACACAATGCAATGAACACCTTTATGTTTTACGTTGTGTGTTAAAGCAAGATGTTTGTTCATTGAACTTGCACTGCTTCCACAATAAATAACATGGTACCACAGAGTTGGCATTTCGTTCTCTTGCCATTTGCATCAAGCTCAAAATGAGCCCAAACACACTTAGCATGTGTGAGTGTTCATTATTTTTATTTCTTTTAATTTTAAAAAATATATTTGGGGGTTCTTTCAATAAAATATTTCATGAGATGTTTTATTGAAAGAACCCCCCAAATACACTTGGATAAAGTTGATAACCTCAAACATTAAATATTCAACCATTATGACCTTCTGACCTTTTAGCAACCTTATCCATAACCATTTTGTACACTGCTCAAAAGTACTATTTGCACCATATTTCAACCTGGAACCAAAGTTGTATTTAACAAGCATGTCTGATGAATACAAAAAACACAATGTCTTGCTTTCATCACAAACTTTCACGGGACTTGAATGTTGTACCCATCCTACCAGACTATAACATCTAGCCATGCAAATGACAGCACAGTTGAGACAAATAAGAGTGCAATTTGTTGAAAGTCTCCACAGAATCAACATGTAAGTGACACCACCACTGAGGTAGTCACAAGAAACCCTTTCATAGCTCAGCACTGTAAACTATATTTCACACTGCTGACCACCTTAACTTCTACCCATACTGACACTGTACTTTACTGAGAAAGTGTAATCCCAAATATATAATGTATATTGCATATGACCTCTTTCTAAAAGCCATTGTGTATTCATGCCTTCTGGCAAAGGGAGACGTGCGAATTTACACATGGCAGCGGGGTAAACGAAGTATGTGATATAGACTACCGACTAAGAGGATTACCGGGTAGATCCCACATGGGACTCAACCTCACAAAACTATAAGAACCGGTATTTTTCTGAGAAAGTGTTACATATGACCACTTTCTAATTGACACTGTGTATACATAATTGATGTTAGTTATGGTTTTGAAAATGTTCTAATATCATAATTCAGATTCTAGTCTTTAGCCAGTTTTGCCACCGAATACCTGATGTCTTTTTTAAAGTGGTCAAATGTAACCTAAACACCTCACTAATTTGGGTATTGGCATAATAACCGGCTGCTACCGACCACAAATCAGGGTATTAGTGAATGTGACTTACTTCACAACTTCATAATTAGAAAAGCAAGATTTATGGATGTCAATTTCTTTTTTGTGAATAATACCGAAACGTTGTGTTATTCACAATAAAGAAGTTAACATCCACAAATCTTGTTTTTCATATGCATTCCACTTCTAAATGCCCTTCAAAGATTTGAACTTCAAAACTCATCTTTAAATGTATATCAGTGTTTCAAAAAGTTAGTGTCAATTTTGTAATCAATTTTGTAATCTTGATTTTGTCAGCATTGATATAATTTGGATGATTTTGTAGCCAACCTGTGTTAAACTTCACAGAGGAATTCTTATGGTATAATCAATGAGATGTCAAGGTTTAGACATCATAATAAGTGATGTGTTTGAAACTGAGACATTGAATGCATTGTATGTATAAATATTAGTTACCATATTGTCATACTTCTACTACACAAATGTGAAGGCAAACAAAATAATTGTTGAAGGACAAATGACCCTAAAACACTGAAGCACAGTTCCTCTTACTTTAGCCAATGAAACAACCTTACACAATGAAACAACCTTACACAATGAACACTTACAGATGTCTCAAAGTTCTTCAGTTCGAAGGTGGGGTCTTTGACAAGTCCAGCACTGCGTACAAGCCCCCTGAGATTGGGCATCAGATCGATCACATAGCTTCCCTGACGGTCAGCCTCCACTTCCTTCTTGATTTCATTCAGAGCCCATCTCAGTGTGATTTTCTCTGGACTCTCCTGTACAGTAATACAAGCAAAATGACTGATAGAACCGCTGTTGTATCATGATTAGAAATTGCTACAATGTAAGATGTTCATTTCTATCAACACTAGTTTGCTCACCTACAGAGTTATCATCTACAGTAAAACCTGCAGACTTGGACCAGCAAACACATGTTTATTGCAAACCTGCTGTCTGATGGCAACACTCAATGGCTTCAGGGGTTTATCTTCAGACTAATAGTCATTGGCAACAAGCTGGGAAAAGTAATGTCCCCTTGCTCAAAGCCTCACACAGAAAGATTTACCCCAAAGATAGCTTCATACTTCAATATAGGCTAATCTCATCCCGCATTGCAACACTTTTGTCAGCATGTCCAAGAGATTTCATTCTATTTTAATAACAGTACTTCTACTTGCTATCTAAACAGTTCTCCACAGCTGCTGTGATGTCATCATTCGGGTTGGAGCTTTCTTAATGTTTGAGAACAGAGGGAACACTGACATTGAAAGATCAGACGATGTAAGACGGCACACAGGTGGAAGAGCACACCTTTCTCAGCTTCCTGTCTCTCAATCTTATACCTTATCCCATAGCTGCCTCAAAAGTGTCAGTGTAATCTGCTTCACCATGATAAAACTGTTAGCATCACAGACTGAGTGAGTGAGTGAGTATGGTTTTATGCCGCTATTAGCAATATTCCAGCAATATCACGACGGGTTACACCAGAAATGGGCTTCACCAGCATCACAGAACACAGAGGTCAGAACCTTTCTAGCTGATTGGACAGCCTTTGCCTCCTTTGATGGTCGCTGGCTGTGATGTCAAATGCTTCCAATGTTTCATTGTTTATTGCACTAGAAAGAAGTGTTACAGGTCTCATCTCACACACGTCTGTCTGTCTGTCTGTCTGTGGGTGTGTCTATGCGGGGACATACAGGAAGACAATTGCTTTTTACTTAGGAGTAATTAAAGCAAGCACAGAAATTTCAACATGTAATATGTTTTTACTTTAATTTCAGAAAATTCTGTATGTTGGCTTCACAAGGGAACACTGACTGAAGCTTGAACATAATATATCACAGACAAAAAGACGCAAAGATGGATCACTTCGAATAAGATTTTCATGTGGGATCGTGTCATGCCATTTATTGCTGAAGGAACTAAATCTACTTTTCTTTACAACGAAATAGAATTATGGTTTTGTGCCACGAAAGCCCAACCTATGTATGAATGGAAGTATTTACATATTATAAGTACACCAATGGAAACAGTAATTTGTGAGCAAGAGCAAACACAAAATCAATAATTATCTTAGCATGCCAATGTATAGGTTAAAGCGCCATTATGTTGACCACTGTGATAAAAGCCCTCAAACTAACTACGATCTGCACATGTTTTTCAGTGAGAAAGGCTTCTGACAATATTGAAGGTGTGGGCTTATCACATGACCAGACTTTTCTCTTGTTTGTATACAAAGTGATCATATCAGTAACTACGTTGGCTTTGGTGACTACAGGGCTTTGGTGGCAGCAAGTAGAAGACAAATATGCCAATAAAAATAGTTGTTCACAGTTAAGGATATTTTCTCAGTTACATTCAAACATTTAATGACATGTTCATCTACATGTCATCAAAAATGAAGAAAACAATGAGCAATATATTGAATGGACTGTGTAAGATATGATAGGTACTAGGCTGGCTGGAAGTAACTCTGTTTAATAGAGTGACTGGCTTCATACAACTGAGGAATATATATTGTAATCTAGGCTTTGATAAAACACTGGCTTCCAATCCAATCAAGCAATTATTATTCTGAAACTCATTCATAAGAAAAACACACAAGCATTCTCTTCAAATAGCCTGTAATACAAGCATGACTGAAGCTAGTTTTTGTGTGCCTCTACAGTCCATTTGAGACAAAATGATACCGATGAATTGCAATCTAACACAAAAACAAATCAACATAAAACCAATGCGAACTGCAATAAAAACAACAGACCAACTCCAGAAAAAAATCCATAATTTTTGTCACAAAAATAAAAAAAGTTGTTTAAGAAACTGTCATCATTTATTTGTGCGTTTTCCCAGTTTGTTACAAGGGCAGTGGCAACTAAAGGAACAGCGCGAAAAGAGATGCACGTGCATTAACTGGTTCTCAACAAACTTTTGAGCTGGCGAGATGACACTACCCCAGCTGCACAGGCAGTGCACTGTATGTACTTAGTAATTGCATACTTGGGTCACCCCCAGTCATTTTCATCCTTGAAAAAATCATAGACTTTGTAAATTATAGACTTTCATTTTCTCTCACTTTGTCACTCAGCAGGTAATTACATGTCTCTGACGTCACTAATGCACATGCATCTCGCTTTTCGAGCTGTTCCTTTAGTTGCCACTGCGCCCTTGTAACAAACTTGGAAAACGCACAAATAAATGATGACAGTTTCTTAAACAACTTTTTTATTTTTGTGACAAAAATTATGCAATTTTTTTTTCTAGAGTTGGTCTGTTGTTTGTATTGCAGTCCGTGTTGGTTTGATTCTTTTATGCCTATTTGTTTTGTGTTAGGTATCATCGGTATCATTTTGTCTCAAACGGACTGTAAGTGCCATTGCAACAACCTTTTACCATAATTGGTGTAGTGGTAGTGTCATGACAGAAGTACACGTAACAAATTTGGACACCGTGAATGGACACAGCACTGTGTTAACAGAATTTTTCACCCTGTCTGAGCTTGGACACAAAGCCTGTACGGTCTTTGCCTGCGCGATGTGGTCTGACAGTGACTGAATGTAAACCACACACCCATCACCTGCAAACATTCCCAGCTTCAGGTAGCACTTCAGAAGAATGGTGGGCAATACTAAGGGCAATTATATACAAGTTTATCATCATAATGACAATAATGAGTCGGTCCATGCATCACCCTACATGGGGGGGACACACCAGATATTGATCTGCAAGTCAGAAATGAACTTTACAGACATTTATTCAATGTCATTACACCTTCACTATCATTTCAATGTTTCTAACATGTTTGTAGGTAGTTTACTTCATGCCTGATTTACAAACATTCAGAACCATGAACGTACTGGTCCTTCAAACAATATTGCATGAAAATGTCTTGGGATTTGGGCATGTATCAGCAATGAGAATACTTCTTAATTTCCAGTGTCTCCATGGTGTACAACCTCTGATAACAATGTAGGTTACTGACAAAGCCTAACTGAACAAAGACAAATACTGTCTGGCATCAATAGCATCTAATGGGATGCTGCAATGATCAGATCAATACTTGAACATGTACATGACAACGGCAGCCTGTAACCATTGATTATCAATATCTTTCCTCTAATAGATGAAAACCACTCACTTCACCAAGTAAAAGATAATTGGAACTATGATAGCAAAACATCACTGTCATTTGTCCTGTGGGTAGATGTTCTCTATTGACACGGTACATGTACACAGTTCAAGCTTAGCTAGATGCTGTGCTACCGTTTAAAGTCAAAGAGATCTTTCAGACACATGACACATGTTAGTATGTGATTGATCTGAGGGTGGTATGTTGACAAATATATACTCAGCCATTGATTCAACATTGGCTGTTCCACATTGAAAATATGCAGAAATCTGACATTGTTTCCAAAATGATTGAACATTGGCCTTTCTATATTTGAAAATATGCTGATATCTGATGTTATTTTCAACACTGAAAAGTATGACACTTCATACTAGGGCTGTTACGATTAACTCGCATATTCAGAGAATCAAACCTTATCCCTTCAAGAATTCAATTCATAATTTTCGATCACTAGAATTGAATATTCATGATTTATTTTTGGGGTTATGATTTGAATTTTGGGACCATTTATCAACAGGCGATATGCAAAACTGGATATACCCATGCCTGGCAGGATAATAGTTATCACTGTGATATATCTGATTTGGCAGACAAGACATGAGGTACTTGGCATCAGGTGACTAACTTGAGCCAAATCATGAACGGGGATGCTCCTCACAGATGTATTTTCCTAATAATTTCATTTAAGACAATTAAAACAATCCTATCCAGTAGAATATCAAATTCAAATCCTCATCCCACTTGTTTTTCGATGACGTCCGAACTGAAGAAACTTCATGTCATAAACAATTAGGTATAACTCTTCAAAATGATGGTTCATGGGATATTCATATAAACGATATCGTTAAAAGGTTTAGTCCCATGATAAACTGCTGAAGAAGCTTAAAATATCGACTAACAAGAAACACCCTAAATCATATGTATACATTGTTTATTCCTCCGATCTTTGACTACTTTAACCATATTTATGACAACTGCACCAAAACTGAAGCAACAATCTTTGAGGTGAGGTGAAATTGGGTTTTACGTCGTGGCTTGAGAATATTTCGCTCATATGACGACGTGCATGCGTGTGTATGTTAGGGGTGTCGCGATACGCGAATGTATCGATGCATCGATACATTTTTACTGACGATACGACACGCGATACATGCTTGCGTGTATCGATTCCTATTTTAAAACTTTATCGATTCAAATTTTTATGCTATATCCATCTCCTTCAAAGTCTTGATAGTAAAATTATACAAGACCGCTCCGATAAATAGATGTAGCTAGCTTTACTTAAAAAATAGGTTGGAAACTAACAGCTTTTGTGATTGGCTAGACTATTTTGATGGACCAATCAGCGAGCGCGTACGTTGCCGGTAAGGTAATGCTATGAAAAGGCCTGAAAATTATGTATCGCGATACGTATCGTATCGTGACCTTAAAATCATGATAAGTATCGTATCGTGAGATTGGTGTATCGTGACACCCCTAGTGTATGTGTATGTGTGGCAGCTTGTACTAGCCCAGACTTAAGCTGGTTTTATAGTGCTAGCCCACTGAGATACCATGCCGCAGTGAAGCATGAATACCCCACTCAGACACATTATACTGACTCCGAGCCGACCAGTCCTTGTTTTACCCATTAATGCCGAGCGCCAGGCAGGGACCAACAAGTACCCTATTTTAACGTCTTTTGGTATGAAGCAGTCGGGGATCGAACCTGCGACCTTCTGCTCTCCGGGCGGACGCTCTAACCACTACACCACGGAGGTGGTCTCAACAATCTTCGAAAACATGCCCTTAGGCGTTATGTACAATATGCGGAGCTGTTCACAGCACCAGTCACAATAAAATCTACGATGAAACATCCTACAAAGAATAGCAAAGACAGTCACATTGTTAAAAATATGTCATAACACATTACCCGACTATCTAAATGAACTTGTTCCTCCCATCGTCTCTCAAGTCAGTAACTATCCGTTACGCAACACATCACATTTGCAAACTATTCCATGCCATACTGTTATATATAGCAGTTCATTAATACCACACTCAGTAAGCTTATGGAATGCTTTACCACAAAATAATAAATCACTTACAGACCTCAATGACTTCAAATCTGCCTTAAATTCAAGAGCTAAAAATATTTATTTTGACCCAAATATTCAAGAGGTTGTCAAATCCTTCACTGTCACTTAAGGTTAGGATGTAGCGACCTCAACGCTGACAATTTCAACAGATATATATCAGATATATATTGTTTGTTTGGCCACGCCACTGAAAATGCATGTCACTACTTCTTCGTATGTTCCAAATTTGATTCTATAACTATAAGAGCAAGTAAATTTTATTATACCAATGGCTTTTCATCAGAAACCCACCGTGGTATTGCTGGAATATTGCTAAAAGCAGTGTAAAACCATACTCACTTATTAGAAACAATCTTAAAATGGAACTTCTTCCATGAACCCTCTAACTCAATCTGATATCTTAAAATCAGTTCATCAATTTATGACTGAAACTAGACGTTTTGACTAAGCAACTCACATACTATAACTTATATTATAACTCTCAAAACTATACTACTAGTGATCCCGACTGCAAATGTCATAAATGTATCTAACCATCAAGTTCTCAACTTTTGACTACATGTCATAACATCTATTATCATTTGATATTAATTGTTGTTTCCTTGTCATGATAATGTTTCATACATCTTATACTGGAGTGGTCTTTATATAAGTCCTTTTGAGCTTGACCAATCCAGTTCATGTACTTTTCAATAAATGAAATAAATGTTTAAACCAATTTCATTTAAGCAGTATCAAAAACTTGCTATTTGGTCAGGCAATCACTTGTCTTGTGTCTGTTTCTTGGGTGCCCAGTAACAGAACTGACATGATAAATATAGCAACACACAACAGTAGTGTGTTCACACAACGAGTGAATTGCAATAATTTGCTGGGTGAAAGATAAAGTCATCAGAAACATATTCCCAAATTTTCAATTAAAAATTATGTATAATCACGAAAACAGTTTCTGTAAATCTCAGCTTCGGCCATTATGCATATTTCGCTGGAACCCACGTGACCTTTCCGCTCGTGACGTCAAAAATGCCTGGAGTCCGCCATATTGCCAAAGACCAAACGCTACAGTAGTACAAATCGTGTTGTTTCTGTCGTTCTTTAAAATGGTACGATGGCGTATTGCGTTGCCTGGAGATGCACGGCATCATCGAACATGAGAAAGAACCACCATTTCTTCCGTTTTCCAAGTGAAATGACAGATTTCGGCAGGAGAAATGCGCCGATCAGAAATATTACTTCCTAATAACTTTTATATGAAGAACATAATATCATAATAAGTTGACAAAAACTATGCATTTACGGCATATATTCAATCATTATAAATAAATTTGAACAAATTAGAATGAATGACCAAAGTGAAAGTTGTTCTGTATTCTTATTGGCTGACAAGATGTCATTCTAAGGCTATGACCGAGTACCATAACTATTTCCATAACCAAACAATGGGGAAACATATGTTGTCCTGACTAGTATTTTATAATTCACCAGTTTTCGGGGAATAACTTATCTGCGTCGCAAATATTATCACTGCTCGACCAGGCTGGGATCTTGTATCGAGACTTGATACGTTATTAATGAGAACTAGGATCCTAATTTTTTTCAACAAAATAATTCCAGTGTAATTTTTGAAGCAGATAATTTTTATTTTCCCTCGTCTGAAGCATAATTATTTTGTTTTAAATCCCAGACACCCTACAGTCACCCATTTGACACAAAATGAACTGTAATCACATTTTTTTTAAATAATTCTTAGTGACTGGTCATATATTTATAGGGGTGAGTTTGCTGGCTGGAATTGTATGACATTTTGCTGACAAATAGTAATCTTGTTAAATGATATGGTCTATTTTTAAATTTATTTTGACCTCAAGCGGTGCCACCGTTTCGCTTGATTCTTCTTCTTCATCTTCAGTGGAAGATTGTTTCGCAAGATGTAAAATCGGATCGTATTGATGCGGTCTAACATCCATTTCAGAAATGACACCGGGTAGCTTTTACTGCTTCAGAATCCACGCACACTGTTATGTTGTGAGGTAAAATCAAAGAGAAAGCCATCAGCAACAGGCACTTATGACGTCATGTCACGTGATACCACGTCAGCTCATTAACTGTCGGGGGTTTCCATAATAGGCGGAAATACGAGTACGTTTTTGTGTTTTTATTGCTATTTTACAAACTTTTTGTTCAATTTTAATCATGGAATGTGACTTTTAGAATATCCTTTACAATATATCAAAAAGTTTTGTTTTCGTTTGTATTCTCCTTTAAGCCTACTATCGTGGCAACTGATGGTGTTAGCCTATACTTTTTGTTCCAGGTCTTGTCAGTACAATGTATTTTCCTTACACATACGTTGTCACATCAAAACGACACTCATGTGAGTCACGTGCAAGACAGTGTCTGTAATTCAATTCATATGGTCATTGTTATAAGCCTGAAGTTAAAAGTGAAACTTTAGGGGGGTCATCAGATTGAATTACTTTTGCAGCAGATTTCAAGGACATGCAATTATGTCAGCCCCTCAAGATGGCATAGTAGCTCACCTTCACATAGTCAATGATTTCACTTGTTGCAGCTCCTCCAACTTCATCAGGATCTTTGGCTAGCTCCTTCAGGATGAGTTTTTCTAAATTTATCAAACGGAATCCAAAGGTCTGGATGAGGTCTTCCACAAGCTTGCCCTTCTTTGTTCCAGGACCACCTAGAGGAAAAAATCAAACATAGGCAGTTTTTCACTTCAGTTGTTGGGTTTTTTTTCCACAGAGTATCAGAGAGACCAATATATATTCAAGTATATGCTATTCCAACACATACAGGCTGTAATTAGATACAGAAAGAAAACTACTCAATCTTGTAAGGAATACATGCAAACTTCAAAGTCATTTCTGTGGGTTTACATAAGTAAATCATTTATAAACTAAATAACCTTGGAGGGCAAAAAGCAACATCTTTAAAAAAATTGAATTTTTGAAAGTACACACCATGTTCCTCCATCACCATTCTGAAATTCATCAAATTCATCACAAATGTACTACCACAAATCAAGATAAATAGATACACACATATTACACATAACACTCACCAAAGACAAATATTATTTCCGGAGCATTTTCATGCAATTTAACTTCATTTCCTATACGAATGCTGACTTTCTGTCGATTGAACAGGAATCCAGTACTACTCTTTCTTCTTGGTCCCTTCTCAGGTACACTCTTTCCACATCCCATTGTCAAGTCTACAGATGGCTGACTTGGTAGTCCTGCAGCAATATTGATGCAGACATGGGAGTAAAATGTACCTAATTACAAAAGCACAGAGGAACTCCATGAAGCAGTGATCATCAATGATTATCTACCTCAAACAGTATGTTAACAAGTACTTCCAGTAAACTGTGTTTCCACTGAACACTGTATTGAGGTTTGCTGCTGAAGCATTTGAATCAGAGATGATCAAAATCTTTAACCATAACATTAGGGTTAAAAAATTTAAATGTACCACTCCAAAAATATCCTACGAAACATTTGCCCATAATTCAAGTTTCCATCGGAGATTAGGAGATGTTTATGACTTAATAATCTTCCAATCACACATTATTACATATCAAGAACAAACTTAAAAAATACTATCAGACAATTGTGGATTTTGTACATAAATTGGGGTTGTTGTTTTTTGTCATTTCACATTGTACATGCTTTTCCATAAAAATCATCACCAACTCCCCCTAGCCATAAATTATGAACGGTCCCTAAATGTCCCAACTCACTACATACCCAGGAGTAAATCATGTGTGAACTGAGCTACTACAGGATGTTGTCTACATGTACAGGTAACATATGTTATATTTGGGATTACACTTTCTTAGTAAAGTACAAATTCTAGTACTTTTTGAGTTGGGTCCCATTCGGGATTCGAACTCACACCCTCAGAGTCAGGCACCTAATCGCCAGCACACAAAGTCAGCCGCCTAACCCGCTCAGCTACCTCGACTTCCACGTCCAATGGAAGTCGGACAACTGGTAGTCTAGACTGCGGGCTTTGTGTACCCCTCTGATAAGTGTACATGTACAGAGAAAGAAATTATTCATATAAATATAATTAAGTTGAGGCAACGCTGTAGCAAATAGCTTTGCTGACCGATGTGAAACTAAATTGATGTCTACCACTGTATATGTATGTGGGTAGGATACAGATTGTTTTGCTGTCATGTATCGACATAAACTTTCAATTCTTGGGATAGTGGTGACAATCACTGTATCAAACTTGTACTGCCACATTCTCCAGTTTGTTGAATAGAAATTGATCAACAGTTATCAACATTAGTGTCTTAGTTTGAAGTATTTAGAGATTGATTAAACATGTAATTTCAATTGTGACATACCAATTTGACATAAAACAAATTCCATTACCCTACTTTGTCCATTCGCTGAGAAAAGCGTGTTCTGGGTTATAAACCATCTGAGATCGTTACCAGCTGATTACAGAACAAAACATGTTGGCTTTACATCCACGCAAAGAGGCTGACAATAGAGAGTCCGACAGTCTTGCCTTGACCGTTAGGAACACACTTATCGCTCTTCCATAGCACACACATATATATATATCTTGATCATGGCTTCATCAAAATAATTGAAATATTTCATTTCACACAAACTATTTTTCTGTATTTCCTGCTGTCATTGTGGGTGTTCACCTTTCCATCATATCATGAATTTTCAACTTACAGCTTCGCTAAATGATACAGCACTCCAAGAACACGGACAGGTTCACATTTTCACCAACAAAGATAATGAAATCTCGAGTTCAATAACACATTTGATGAAGTTTATCTTCTCTAAGTGTTGTCATGGCTGCGATTAATATTCGTCTGCTAAAAAGATGGAGATGGCGGTAAAATTCGTGACGTAGAGCACACAAATGGTATGTACTACTTTCTTCACCACAATGATGACACAGTGTTGAAAGAACAATTTCTTCTGATGACCGACTAAATAATATGTTAGAAACATTGCAAATAATACTTTTGATGCCTTCTACTTCCACATGGGGAAGTAAGGGTGCATTGCCGAACATATTAGTATTTGCTTTGGGGTTTTCTAGAGCGTTGTGTATGGGACCAGGGATACTCTACCCCCTTATATAGTCTCCCTGATGGGACATAGTCCGACATACACTCAATCGGCACTGCGTCCAAATCGCATTTCCCTTTTTCGAATCTGAAAATTGAATTCGTTAATGATATTCACGCCTCATTTTTTATATATATAATAACAGTGGCGTTTAAAATATACTTTTACTTTATACTTACTTTTTCTGGCTTTTTCTGTACAATGCTGGTATGGAACCTTGTCCCTTGAAAACAGAAACCGTCTCACCAGAATAGTTTTATTAGCCAGTAAAATTGCAGGTGTATCTTATGCTAACCTAAATGAAATATATGAAGAAAGAGTTCTCAAGTCAGCCCGTAAGATTATATCTGATCCAGATCACCCCATCCACTATGAGTATAAATTACTGCCTTCTGGGCGCTGTTATAGTTTAGCCCGTTTTGAATCCAATCGTGCCATGAAATCCTTTGTTCCTGCCAGTATTCATCTTTTAAATGATTCCTAGTGTTTGTCTTCCCTTGTTCGGAGACCATATGATAGTCTCTGCCTTGTTAGCGTGTTATATGTGTGTTATTTATTGTATGACAATAATTTAATCATTTTATCAGTGTTGAGCTCTGCACTTTACACAAGAATTCACTCACGGGTAATAAAGTATTGTCATTGTCATATAAGTGGGGTTTGTTTAGAACAGACGTGTCATGGATGTGAGGATACATGTACCCAGGGATACTCTACAACTCTTATATAGTCTCCCTGATGTACCGAATCAATACCTCGTGCTTCAGAGTTTTTTGTGTTTACCTGCATCTTCCCTTCCACCACCCTGATCAAATCAGTAGAGGCGTTAGGGTTAGATTCGAGCTCGCTGGCTTGGTTGATACACGTCATTGTATTCCAACTGCGTAGATCGATGTTCATGCTGTCAATCACTGGATCGTCTGTTCTTGATTTACAGCCTGATATTGCTGAATGCAAATAAACTAAAGACATACTCACGGACGTCCTGCCCATACAGTGGAATCTAGGATGTCGTCTGTCACCTAAGATACTGATAACGCACCATGCACCGGCCGTGCAACTCATCCACAAAGCACTATCAGGTATCTGTGAGATTATGGTGGGTTGTATACATTTACTTGTTTGAAAAAGAGGGCAGTTATAGTATATAATGCACTGTTAACTATTTCAGACACAACTGTTTTCACTGTTAAGTGGCTGGTCCATTGTGCGGGCTTCCGTTTCGTTTCCTAATCTAGGATGCTCATTGTGGCTTGTCTAAACTGCAGTGTCATTACTTGAACACGCCACTGTTGTTTATCGACAAATGCAGCAACCCACCAATAACTGTACTATCTAGACTCACAGAAGCCTTTGAAGGCACATAGAAGTTGGAGTAACATACCTGACTCACATATATAGTTGTAACAACTTCACGCCATACAGACACGTTAGGCAATGATACATTCATTACATAATGTGTTGGTTGTTTTGTTTAAATAAACTGCTACAATCATTTGATTAAACAAACATTATCGGCGTCCGTCCATATAAACACGAAGTAATGTACAGATGTACAGAACGTGATAATCTCAGCTTCCAGAACAGAATATTATTGCGCTCCAAAGCCAAGGAAATCTGACCTCTGGATAACTAGATATTCCTGCCCCTTGGATATATACATGTACGTATCGTGTTATATTACAGAAGTGTTCTGAACATGTACACAATCGATTTGTTACAGGGTTTGAGTGACAAAAAGTCACATGATCATATTGATTTGATTACTGTGCAAATCGGACATGATTGTTTATGAAGATATCGAGACGATGGTGAAGCAGCAAAAAAAAAATATACAAACGGTTGAGGTGTTTTATTGACACATTTACTCTCTGTCTTATTTCCATTTCAAAAATACAACCACATGGCTTCACAACTTCTTATGTTAACTGCAACAGAGGTTTACGAGGTTACTTTTAATATATATTGGTAGTTGTACTCAAAGTAGTTTACTCATCATAACAAATTGTCACGTGAACAAAATATGGCCGACAGCAGTAATCGGTGAACGAGTTGTTACCGTGCGTTTAAGTTACATCCGACTACTACTGTCTGTGACCATAATTCCCAACATTTTCTACAGGTAAAACATTCTCAATAGCTAGACGCTCTATACGTAGATATATATTTTTGGGATAGCTGAAAGGCGCATGAATAACAATTGCCGGATGTCAACGTGAAGATCACCGTGTCGTTTGGAGGACACAGATGTCACGAGTGCTGAAATAAACACTCATGTCAGAGCTTTTTAGTTGTATTCGACATTAGTTTGACATTAAGCTTCAAAAGGTTATTTATTTACGTTCAACACGTCATTAGCACGTGTTTTTTCAAATGCCACCTTCATGAATTTCAAGGTTTTTCTCTCAGGATGAAACCCTGAAGCTTGACCGTGTTCATGCGACATAAGTTGAAATGTTAGGTTTGGTGGTCGAGCATATGTCGATAACATACAAAGAAACGGAGACACGTTCACATTTTGGCCCCCACATTTTTAATGTCCATAACAAATTGTCTACAGAACCGAACGACTCTGCAAGTTTCACTGCACCAGTATGCTTAGTTGGAGTTCCAAAATTTAATTTCCCTATCAATGGGTGTTTTTCTGAAGAGACTAACGTTCTTTCTGAGAATATGGAAGGTTTTTGGGCAAGACTTTTGTGTCACAGCATGGATGTGCACAGTGTTATTGTTTGCTTTTATTTTATAACTGTTTCATGCCAAATGCTTATTAACATAATTATTCTATATGATTGTCTAACTAGCCTCCTTTCTCATTCAGATAGCTACATTCTCACCAAAACAAAATGTCAACCGACTTCTGGCTTATCTCAGCACCAGGAGAGAAAACTGTGCAACAGACATGGGAGCGGCTAAATAACAATACAGCTCCAGAGAAACTCTCCAACAACTACAAGTTCCAGATTCCAGACCTTAAGGTAGATATTCATCATGTTGTTTTTGTGACTGAAGGTTCCTATGCTACTAGCATTACAGCTGTGAACAACTACTGCCACTGCTATGAAGGGTTTCTCTTCACATAAGCATGATGAGAGACATTTCTGTCAACAAACGTGGCAGATGAAACTAGGGCTGGCTATCCATATAGATCATTGAGATCGATAATTGTAACTAAATATCAATTGATTATCAATATATGTCGTAGAAGTAACTTTGAGCAAAATATGCCCCCCAAAAGCCTGAATGCATCCCATGAATAAAAACCTAATTTTTGTGTATTGTCATTCTCTTCCCACAGAGGTTACTCCTGTCATATCTTCCTACATAACTTCTGTTCTAATACGGCCCTTTCATGGTGTGAGCGTTCAAGACTCGTGATTGGAGGCAATCAGATTTAGTTGTGCAATCAGCGACGTTGTTTCAAAAGGGATCATTCGCAAGGCCTCGGTAATTTCCATATACTTCGAGAAAACTAAACCTCTTCCCCTGCGCGATGCGCAAACGTTTCTTCTAGACAGAACTCAGTCATGTTATGGCGGATCAGTGGCGTCTCCATCGCCCTCGTTGACAACGGACAAGCTTACCATTAAATGTCTTGTGTGTAACATCAACACAAGTCCCCGGCAGATGGGGGATATTTGTGGCCTCACGTTTGCTTGTGTTAGTCAAGTTGAATCTAAGTCGATGTAACACGTGTTCTGATTGGATAGAAAGAAGGGAGATCATTCGTCTTGCGATCTTTTGCCGCTAGGGGATTTTACGAGAACCGGGAAATATGGCCGTATTAGAACAGAGGTTACGTAGGAAGATATGACAGGAGTAACTTCTGTGGGAAGAGAATGGTGTATTGTGTGAGTAAATCAAAACTTTATGCAAGGTATTGATGACACTATTTCATGTCAAATTTTTTCTTCTGACTATATTTCTGATTATGTAGCCAGCCCTAGATTAAACAACTTTAAAGCAGACTATCCTTTTGTCACATTTGACATCCATCCCCATGTTAGGGATTCTCCATGTTACATACCTGGCCAGTATAAACAAAAATCTTTATGTGGCTGGGTAAACATAGAGATAATGGTGTTGGTATCTAAAACAAAACATTGCATATATTGTTATTAATGTTAGTAGAAGTTGTATGTCCATAGAACTATCCACCTTGTTTAAAGGTATAGTTGGTGGATAATTTACTGAGGTCACTATATTTTCACATTATGCCAAATGTTTCATCAGTGTCTCCCAATCTTGTGGTTCTTTCACTGATATGTTGCAGACAAACTGTTTTATCTGTTGGACCATGATGTTCCATTAGTTTAATGATATTGGAAATAGACATACATATGAGTATTAGTATAGATATTTATCAGGAGAGGTTGCCATGAACGTTATGTTCCCATGTTAATGAAATTGTTTTATTCGCAATCTTAGGATATACACAACTTAACAGGCAGACATTTTGTTTCAGCTGAACATGATTTTCTCATTTTACCCCATATACTGTTGGTTGCATTGACATATGGTAGACGAGCCTGTTGTATGGATGATGATTCTCTTGTCAAACTAACGTCTTGTGGAAATAAAAGAGATTCGATTTTCTTCTTCATATAGGTTGGAACTCTGGATATTCTTGTTGGTCTGTCAGATGAGCTCGGCAAACTGGATGTCTTCTGTGAGAGGTGAGAGAGTCAGGGAGCTCACCAGGAAATTGTAGTCTTTCAATTAAGCCACAAGCACTGAGAAAGCACAAACCACAAGGGGACATAACCCTAACTTGTGAGCAGTTTCATTCATGCAAATACTATAGCAGGGACCATGAAACCCACATAGTCCAAAGATCTATACGAGACGTCAAAATCAGATCTTCCAATCTGACATACCTCACTGTGCGAAGATCAGGCAACGTCATTAATGTTTGTTTTTGTTTTGTTTTCCAGTGTTACCCGAAAAGTTGCACAGTACTTGGGAGATGTGTTGGAAGATAAGAGAGACAAACTGCGTGAAAATCTCAAAGTCAATGATGGTATTGGTTTTTATCCCCCTTGGTACCTAAACACCAGTTAGAGACATTTACTTATACTTATAGTTTGGTTAATGATGCACAGCTATGTTACAGTCATCCCTCGCAATAACGCTCTTCGCGATACCGCAGGATTCGGTTAAACCGCGGGGTAATCCGTGGCTCCCATAAAAGTTGCCCAGTGATCACACATATTCACGTGATCGAAAATAGCACATCAACAAATCCGCTGTTGAGCTCTGGTTAATCACGTAGTAAACTAGTGAAATTCAGTGCGGATTGCAATTAACAGTGTTTATCGTATATAACCATGTTTTTTCAGATGCTTAAAACATGCAGGGTCTTTTTCAATAATAATTGATGAACAGCGAAACATCGTAATAACTTTATCATAAAGACATGTCGATTATCAGCCGAGTACTTACAACGTTTGCTATGATGCAACACACCGCGTAATTGCGCGGGTATACACCGCCATCCGAGAATGTATGATGTCAGAAAACACATTTTATTTGATTAAATTCAATCCCATTTTCATTCATTAAAACTGTTTACAATAACAACAGAGAAACTGTGAGTGAAATGGCATTACCTCATTCCATACAACACCCACTTACCACATTCGTGAGGGTCCGTTTTCAGCGCCTACCGCGATAGCACCAATTTGTTATTTTTCTCAGCAATCACGAACAGATTACTCCCTGTCATCCATTGACCCCAAGACCCGCGTTAATGACTCGTTGAAGTCATATTTGACAATTAATTGCCAACATTTTGTTTTAACAATCAAAGTGGCATGTACCGCGGGAAGTCAGCGGTGACTTGTCAATTTGTTTCCTACGTAAAATGTATCCAGCCAGGTAACCCAAAGTGCGTAGCAATGCTCATTATTATGTTAAATATGTTCGTAGAAAACATGCATTATACTTATACGATAGCAATATATAAGATCTCTGTTAGAATAACTGCTTGACATATCAATTATTCTGATAATGGAATAGAAATTTGTGGATGTTATATTTACGGATCGTTTTTAAATGAATCACCGGTACATTGGACCAAAACATCGGACCAAAACATCGATGTGTGCCCAGCTGATTGCTATTTCCGGCTTATTTGAATAACAGGTAGCATGACAGGAACAACAATTGAATTATCATGTCTTGTGGTGTTTGATTGCAAGTTTCATGTACATACATCTATTTTTTTATTTACAAAGTTGTTGTTTTTTCCACCTCCAACAATACGATATAGTTTTGACTGGGCACAATACACGAAATAGCAGTTTTGTTATGTCCATTGAAAATACGATTTTACTTGGCCTTTGTTCCGCGTTATGTAATCGTTACTTATAACGCGGGTGTCTAATAACGCGGGGGGTCATCCATGGACCCCAAGACCCGCGTTATGGCGAGGGATGCCTGTACTAGCAAGCTCTGGAATATGCAGAACATGGGTATGGAGGAAGAATAGGTCTTCTGTGTCCTGGAGATGTTTTGAGATCTCAATTACATTGGAAGGTGTAATGGCCGTCAGTAACTGCCAGGAAATCATGTAATTTCCAGAGGATGGGTTACTTGGGATTTTTACATACAGTTGTGACAACGTGGGGTGAGACAATGTTCTCGGTGTCTTACAGCTCAGACAAGTTCTCAAGTTACACATATAGCAAGGATTAGTATGAACATTTTGTGTAAATGCCTCATCGGGTTCATGAAGTCACAGATGTCTTAAGATGCATGCAGCTTGATGACCGAACACCTGTGTGTTGTGATGTTTCAGCTCCTCCAGGGAACTACCTGCAGCGCTTCCAGTGGGACCTGGCCAAGTACCCCATCAAACAGTCACTCAAGAATATCGCAGACATTGTCGGCAAGGTACGCAGCGAAGCAGGTTGCAACCAACACCCCACCCACTCATTTGATTTTGTAAAACTGTCTGTCATATATATTTGCATCAATGATGAAAATATCCTCTTGCAAGGAAAGCATGATGTTGATTTTAGAATTTTGTCAGTATGAAAAGGTGTCACATGGTGTACATTGTACTGCATAGCAATTAACATTGAAAATTAACAAGCATGCTAACCTGGTCTGCAGTAAAATCTCTTGCTGAAAGACTTATGAAGATTTTGTCCCCTGTACCAATTGCTTATCTCTAAATTACAGCAAGTAAATCAGATTGAGTCGGACCTGAAAACCAAGTCGAATGCCTACAACAACCTGAAGGGTAACCTACAGAGTCTGGAAAGGAAGGCCACGTGAGTTACCTCCCCCTTGTGGCAATACACACTATAACATATCTGAAAGAGTGTCAGGTTTGCTTTGACCATTTTTGAGGCTGTCATACTCTTGCTGGGATATATGTGACCAGCTCTTCAACCACAAACACGCTGGTAGGGGTTAGACTTGTTGTCATACTCTTGCTGGGATATATGTGACCAGCTCTTCAACCACAAACATGCTGGTAGGGTTAGACTTGTTGTCATACTCTTGCTGGGATATATGTGACCAGCTCTTCAACCACAAACATGCTGGTAGGGTTAGACTTGTTGTCATACTCTTAGGGGTTAGCTGGGATATATGTGACCAGCTCTTCAACCACAAACATGCTGGTAGGGGTTAGACTTGTTGTCATACTCTTGCTGGGATATATGTGACCAGCTCTTCAACCACAAACATGCTGGTAGGGTTAGACTTGTTGTCATACTCTTGCTGGGATATATGTGACCAGCTCTTCAACCACAAACATGCTGGTAGGGTTAGACTTGTTGTCATACTCTTGCTGGGATATATGTGACCAGCTCTTCAACCACAAACATGCTGGTAGGGGTTAGACTTGTTGTCATACTCTTGCTGGGATATATGTGACCAGCTCTTCAACCACAAACATGCTGGTAGGGTTAGACTTGTTGTCATACTCTTGCTGGGATATATGTGTGACCAGCTCTTCAACCACAAACATGCTGGTAGGGTTAGACTTGTTGTCATACTCTTGCTGGGATATATGTGAGCTGCTGGTAGGGTTAGACTTGTTGTCATACTCTTGCTGGGATATATGTGACCAGCTCTTCAATACTAAACATGCTGGTAGGGGTTATATACTCTTGCTGGGATATATGTGACCAGCTCTTCAACCACAAACCATGCTGGTAGGGCTCTTCAACCACAAACATTAGACTTGTTGTCATACTCTTGCTGGGATATATGTGACCAGCTCTTCAACCACAAACATGCTGGTAGGGTTAGACTTGTTGTCATACTCTTGCTGGGATATATGTGACCAGCTCTTCAACCAAACAAACATGCTGGTAGGGCTTAGACTTGTTGTCATACTCTTGCTGGGATATATGTGACCAGCTCTTCAACCACAAACATGCTGGTAGGGTTAGACTTGTTGTCATACTCTTGCTGGGATATATGTGACCAGCTCTTCAACCTAAACATGCTGGTAGGGTTGGAGACTTGTTGTCAAACATGCTGGTAGGGCTTAGACTTGTTGTCATACTCTTGCTGGGATATATGTGACCAGCTCTTCAACCACAAACATGCTGGTAGGGTTAGACTTGTTGTCATACTCTTGCTGGGATATATGTGACCAGCTCTTCAACCCACAAGGGGTTAGACTTGTTGTCATACTCTTGCTGGGATATATGTGACCAGCTCTTCAACCACAAACCTGCTGGTAGGGGTTAGACTTGTTGTCATACTCTTGCTGGGATATATGTGACCAGCTCTTCAACCACAAACATGCTGGTAGGGTTAGACTTGTTGTCATACTCTTGCTGGGATATATGTGACCAGCTCTTCAACCACAAACATGCTGGTAGGGTTAGACTTGTTGTCTTGTTCAGTGCTTGTCAGTGTATCTCAGTTGCAATCACCTTTCCTGGTGTCAGACAATGAATTTGTCAGCAGACCCAAGTACACACCATGGTCATTTGACTGGAATATTGCTGATGGTGGCATTAAACAACCTACATGGAACCCTACACATTTCACTCCTAGTTCACTCTTCTCATTTGTGAAGTAAGCTGTCAACAAGTCACCTGTTGAAAATGTCCATGTTTTCATTGTGACTTGGCTGTGTACTGATTGATTCTCCAACTAAAGTAATGTCGGAAATAGAAAAAAAACCCTGTTTTAGCCTGTTACTCTGTATCCCTTGACAAATTTACAAAAGGCATATATCGAAATAACCCACATCGGCCTAACTGGCGTTCAGTGGGATGCGTAATAGGATATCCAGAAAAGCATGTGTGCTCGTAAAATCGGGCAAAACTTAGAAAAAATAAGAATAGCTTCTCAAAACAATAGATCGGACTAAAGATGACAACTAGGTCACTCAGCCAGGTATGACGACGGACTGTCGACTCACCTGGCATGAAATGCACGTCCTGTCTACAAGCACAAGGGGTCATCTCAAAGATAGTTTATGCTTTTTCATGTGTGTTGAATATGTCTCGTGTATTGATTAATATCTAACGTGTCTTTCTTTCATAACGTTTATGTTGAGATATGTAAAAGGGTATGATACCCATGGAAAAGCTTAAATCAGCCATCCAAAGATCGACAGGACTAGATATTATTTGTAAATTGTTATGACATGCCATTTCCTTCCCAGTTTAATTCCCCTAAAGGAATATCTTATCTCAGCTTATATCTCTATCTCCCATCCCGACCCCAACCACTGTCGGCGACACCTGTCCTGGATTTGCTTTTGAGACGACCCCTCCTACCTGTTTCTATATATAGTGATAGTGAGACTCCATAGTAGCTACATCCTTCATTGTTTCAGGTTTATAGTTATTATTTTTTACGTCAGCTATCGTTTATAATGAAGCTAAGTTTAATTTCAAAATGGTTATATAAAATTTGTCCTTTGTAATATAATATCATCGCACACTAATTTGCATAAAGCCATGGTCTGTTCCAAATAAGTCCCTTTCAACTTAGAAAAAAACCGCATTGCTCATTTCTGCACTAATCTCTCCTCAGTAAAGTCATTTTTCTACGTTTCCTATCTCCCTACCACTGAGACTGTAGTTAGGCCGAACTTAGTTCAAAAGATATTTCACACTTACACATATCAACTGCATAAATTGTAGATATCAATGCGAAAAAAAAGGTTTTTTCTATTTCCGACAGTACTTAATTCTGTTATGCCTTGTATTGCATCTTCTATTCCAAATCAAAGATATCACAAGGACAGCTGTTTTCATGACTTGTACATACTCTTAATTAGTGCAGACACTGGCTTACGTCTACTTATGTTCGGCTGCATGTTTGCTGAGAGCTATACGACTTGTGTCCACTTGTATCCACAGTGGCAGTTTACTGACTCGGAACATGGGAGATCTGGTGAAGAAGGAGGACTTTGTGCTTGACTCGGAATATCTCGTCACCTTACTGGTCGTCATCCCAAAGTAAGAACATACTTTAATAACCACTCATCACAGTGTACATTAGAGCTAATATAAAGGCGAAATCACTTGTGTGAAAGCAAGTCAAGATGGTATGTTTACATGAAACATGAATCACCAAAGAACATCATGCAAAGGTTATTGAAGGTAGTTGTACTGCCACTAGTATTTCACACAAACACCTTGGACATTCAGGAAGTAGTATCTTATACTTATTGTTATTTTTCAGGAACAACGTTAATGAGTGGATGGGAAAATATGAGAAGCTGACAGACATGGTAGTCCCAAGATCATCAAAGTGAGTTGAAAAATAATGTCATCTCAGCATTTAGTCGAAAATATGTACAAACCAAATCTCAAATGGTGACTTGTTGAATGGTTCCATACATAAAAAGCTGTTGCTGTACCAATGTTCTCCACCATTGTACACTGAGGAAATAATTCTGCGATGGCATGGTACTTGTGCCATAAACCACTGGATGCTGGTTGAATTTTAACATTTTTGTAGATGTTGTACAGCTGTCATGTGGCTGGAGTCTGTGCGAGACAACTGACTTCCCACACTGGGACTGTGGTGCCCAGTGTCTGTGTAATTAGGGTAATGGTTAGGTTGACTTACAGCTTGGAGTTGTTACAGTAAGTCAGTGATTTTGTGCGCCTGTATGTCCATTGTCCCTTTTACATGTAATCTGGTTTTAATTCATGTAATGTTGGGTTGATGTGTTTAGGGTCCTGTTTGATGATGGTGAGAACGCACTGTGCTCTGTGACACTCTTCCGACGGGTTGCCGATGAGTTCAAGCATCACTGTCGGGAAAACAAGTGAGTATATTGTGTTGGTATATTGAGTTAGTCTTTTAGCTGGCTTGTGATGCTGTTTGCTGTTGTTAAGCTGAAGTGTCATGTTGTTAAGGTGTCGTGTCATGTTGTTAAGGTGTTGTGTCATGTTGTTAAGCTGAAGTGGCATGTTGTTAAGGTGTCTTGTCATGTTAAGATGTCGTGTCATGTTGTTAAGGTGTTGTGTCATGTTATGGTGAAGTGTCATGTTGTTAAGGTGTTGTGTCATGTTGTTAAGCTGAAGTGTCATGTTGTTAAGGTGATGTGTCATGTTGTTAAGGTGTCGTGTCATGTTGTTAAGATGACGTGTCATGTTGTTAAGGTGACATGTCATGTTGTGAACCTGGCATATCATGTTGTTAAGCCGACATGTCGTTCATAAGCTGAAGAGGGATGTTGTTAGCTGATAGGTGATGTTGTTAAGCTGACCTGTCATGTTGGTGCAGGTTCATCGTGCGTGACTTCCAGTACAGTGAGGAGGAGATTGTTGCAGGACAGACGGAGATCACCAAGTTGGAGGCGGACAAGAAGAAGCAGTTTGTGAGTCCACTTGTCTCATTCTAGCAATCTCATTCCTCTCACCCACTAGTCTCATTCTATCAATCTCATTCCTCTCACCCACTAGTCTCATTCTATCAATCTCATTCCTCTCACCCACTTGTCTCATTCTATCAATCTCATTCCTCTCACCCACTAGTCTCATTCTATCAATCTCATTCCTCTCACCCACTTGTCTCATTCTATCAATCTCATTCCTCTCACCCACTAGTCTCATTCTATTAATCTCATTCCTCTCACCCACTTGTCTCATTCTATCAATCTCATTCCTCTCACCCACTTGTCTCATTCTATCAATCTCATTCCTCTCACCCCCTCGTCTCATTCTATCAATCTCATTCCTCTCACCCACTAGTCTCTGATCAACAGCCGTGTAAATCGGCTGCTTTGAGGTGTTGTTGCACTTTGACTGCCACTGGTGATGAAATTACAGAAAGATTATTCAGTGTAGGGATTCTGCTCAGTGTCTTTGTAGCACAAGTCATGCAAACATCACATGGTGTTCTTGCACATGGTCTATTGCTAGTTATTGAGACAAGATTACTTCTGCAGGCTTGAAACTGTGTTGTATCAACTGTTCATTTACTGTCAGTTACTGTTGAATGTAACTTGTCCTTAGAAAGATGTTTGTGTAAGTGTCAAGAACAGGTTCTCCCAAATTGTTGTTCAGGGATCTGACCAAAGGAACATGCTGAAATGACTTGACGACCTTACTCTGAAAACCATGAATACGCAATGCCATTCTGAAAGTGGTGAAATGTAACATGTTATTTTTAGGATTACACTTGAAAACCATGGACTGACAGTAATTGCACTGTAAAGTTATTTTGTAATCAGGTGTACATACACTTCTTTATTTTCAGAAAATATAGCACATTATCATAAAATTTCATGCTTTCTTTTTGCAAATTCCAGGGCCCCCTTGTCAAATGGCTGAAGGTGAACTTTGGCGAATGTTTTGCTGCCTGGATCCATGTGAAGGCCCTGCGAGTGTTTGTTGAGTCAGTGTTGAGGTGAGAGGAGTGAAATGTTTCTGATTTTGATTATGCATATTCAAGGTATACAGTATACATGGTGTGATAGTTTATAGTACAGACTTGCATACCTTAGGTGTGTCAGAAACTGGAGCCAGATTAGTTTGTTTGTCACCATCAGTCCTGCTTCATAAAGGGCTTTCCTCAGACTATGACTGAAAAAATATTAAACCCATTGAATCTAGAAACTCGCAGACTGGCACTTTTCTATGGAACTGTTTCCCAGTAAAGTATTGAGGCTGTGCCTGATGCCACTACATGTGTGTGCCATCTGTACAGTAAAGTATTGAGGCTGTGCCTGATGCCACTACATGTGTGTGCCATCTGTACAGTAAAGTATTGAGGCTGTGCCTGATGCCACTACATGTGTGTGCCATCTGTACAGTAAAAGTATTGAGCCATCCACTACTTGTACCATCTGTAAAGTAAAGTATTGAGGCTGTGCCTGATGCCACTACATGTGTGTGCCATCTGTACAGTAAAGTATTGAGGCTGTGCCTGATGCCACTACATGTGTGTGCCATCTGTACAGTAAAGTATTGAGGCTGTGCCTGATGCCACTACTTGTGTGTGCCATCTGTACAGTAAAGTATTGAGGCTGTGCCTGATGCCACTACATGTGTGTGCCATCTGTACAGTAAAGTATTGAGGCTGTGCCTGATGCCACTACATGTGTGTGCCATCTGTACAGTAAAGTATTGAGGCTGTGCCTGATTCCACTACATGTGTGTGCCATCTGTACAGGTACGGTCTTCCAGTCAACTTCCAGGCCATGATCCTACAGCCTCATAAGCGCTCCGTGAAACGGCTACGGGAAGTCCTGGGTCAGCTGTATGGACATCTCGACAACACGACACTGGCGGGGGCAGCGGACGTAAGTATTGTGTGGTAGTAGTTCTAAATGACACATGTCCAGTGTTATGTGACACATGGTGGGGTGGGGAGTGTTTGCATGGATATATACACATGCTATGTCTACACATGACGTACTGGAATCCACCTTGCCCCTACAAGCCTACAAGAATGCACTTAGTCTAAGCGAATCCTCATATGAGAATCTGCTGTTCCCATGATGATACATGTTGTCCCCAAAATGGTTAATGATCTGCATCACTTCATCATCAAAGCCAACTTGCCCACCCACCGCCAAGAAAACTCCAATGGTAATTTTCTCTTCTGTGATAATGACTCTCTCTATGAGAATCCACTCTGCTCCCACAAGAGACCTCACTTCCCAACAGTAATAGCTGCTGCCCTAAACATACAACTAATCCACTTCATTTCTATCCACAGGGTGTTGATATACCTGGCCTGAACATGGGCAGTTCCGACTACTACCCCTACGTCTACTACCGCATCAACCTTGACCTCATCGACACCCACTGATCACATATACCTAGTGTAGTCACCCATAGAACACTGTTGAGAGAGGTTGACCATGGCGGCTTAAGTAACCAGGAGTAACATATCGAATATTGAGATACCCACCCAAACCAGACTTCCACATTCGCAGATTTTCTCATGTACGGACTCTAGGATGTTCATCTTGGATGCATCTGCCAGAACCCGGAGTGACCAAACTCTGTCATGGTTGTCCACAGAAAGGGAGGTCACTCTGCAGATGATGTGCAGTAGGGTTGTGAAAGTCTGGTTTGTGGGAGGTATCTGGCAGTTGACACATTGTGATATGTAGCTTCTGTTATAATTCAGACAAATGTGATATTGAATTCACTCAATGCTGACACAGTAGCTTTGTCTTTTAGGATTCAGTTTGTTCGTACTTGTTATCTTAGATTTTAGAAAAGAACAAAGAAGCCTTGTGGTATCTTGGATATTTAGTGTTGGAAATGCAAGATTTTATCAGTTTTAGATGATGAATTGTTGATTTGATTATCACTTGTCGTTATTTTAAATATGTTGACCACAAATTTAGAAAAATATATAAATACAACATGCTTTGGTAAAGGGGTATTCTGGTATATCTGTTCATTCTAAGATTTGAAAATTACAGCAATTATGAAAATCAAAATCAGCCACCTACATGCCTATTTAATCATATGATTCCATGTATATTGTGAAAGTCCCTATAACTGTTATCATCATGCTTCTAGTCAAACTGATCATTGTAATAGATATCAATAGTAGGTTTCATACAATACAAAATGCTGGTCCAAAATTACCATACATAATCAGTAATTGTTAGACATTAAGAACATGTTGGACGTAACAGTATCTGTGACACTGCTCATGATCAAAGATGTTTCCTTGTAATATGCCTCCACACATGTTTCTGTTTTAACCATGTCTGTACGTTCTGTCCTTTTATCTTGTATATATGGTTTTAATCACTCCATGTTATCTTTGGTTTTCTGTCCAGACTGTTAGTATGCAAGATTGGTGTCAAATAACATCCATAGAACTTCAGTCACTTAGATGTCCTTCCATACATTGTGCACTGAGAGGTACTGATAAAAACAATAGATTATCACTTGGTGGGGAATATTGCCACACTGATTATCAGTGAATATAGGTCAAGTTGTGAGATTATAAGAGTGGCCAAATCGTTATCTCCCCATGGATAGGAGTAAGTTCCAGGTATTCTGCTGCTTGATGTTGTGATGAGTGCACAGACTGTCCCAGTTCATGTTGTGATCAGTAGTTTGTGTATATATAGGAGAAGTAAGGCAAGGTTTCTGCTGGTCAGTATCCAGTATTTTGCTACATTAGTCTCAGTCCAAAAGGACGAAGAATTACATCAGTGCCCATTCATGCAATAGAACATTCTCTCTGTGCATTGTGTTTAACATTCCAAGATGGTTTGACTGTATTCTGTATGGGAAGATGAGTAACTATGGTAACTGTATATGTATGACTTGTATTCTATGTTGATCAAATGAGGCTGTGACATTTCTACTTTCAGTAGGACGCTCATGTAACCAAACTATAAGTAAATAAAATGTTATTAAATAACTAGTTTGTTGATTGATATGTTCTAACATATTCTGAATATATGTAGTGTATGTACAGCTGAGCAGGCAGTGTCTCTGAGCTGTTTCTGAAACACAGTGAACTCCGCCCTTGATGGTCTGTGACCTTCAGGTTGTCCACCCACATCAAGTCATGGTACAACTGAAAACTGTTCAAACAGGCATCAAACCAAACTCAATCAAGCACCCTAGTAATAAAGAATAGCAGGAAACACAAAATTCAGATCCAAAACAGTAACAACGTAACCCATTTCACAAACATTTTAATCATTCATTATATATACATAAATACAGAAATTCTTTTGGATTTGAAATGATTTATAAAGGCTTGAGAATTTAATGAAGAAATTCTCACGAGATAGTTAATACTGTAAAAGTATATAGTAATGCACCAAAAATAACACTGTAATGTGAGGTTTTCAAAGGGAACAGTTCAAAGTTTTACATTGGACCAAAGTTCCTGCTGCAGAGAGTGAACAACGTCTCCATGAAGGGATTACCAGCTTCAAATCTTGATGTCCTGATTCACATGACAAAAGTAATACATTAAATATTCTGGGATCCTACAGTGAACCTTTGAACTGCTCCCAAAGAGACAACACTGTATTGGCCAGAAACAACTCCCCAGTACAATCATTGGTCGTTGAGAAGACCACACTTGGTCCACAATATCTTTTAACAGTTGGGCAATACTGACTTCAGCATCTAACATTGTCAGCGGTACTATCATCCAAGACCCTGTACAAAGTAGGCACAGGCAGTACGACACACACTCAGCAGATATGCATTGTTGGCACCAGGGCTCCCAGGTGTCAGAACGCCACAGTTGGCAGTACCCTTGTGGTGCCCTGTTACAAGGAGGCTGGCTGATACATGAAACATGCTTTCTGTGGGTGATAACAAGTAGGAGTGTCACATGCAACAATCTTTATCAATGGATGATGAAGAGGATGTGGCAGAGCCATGATTTAGTCATTAGAGGGTGATAGGTTTAGAGACATGCTTGGACACAACCTTTGGCAATGAACTACCCCTATGGGTGTCTGTGAATGAATGAGATGGATATGCTTGTCCAGCGTGAGTGGCAATGGTGGACGTTAATGGGAGGGCTGTTTGTTGAGCAAGGTCACTATCACAGTTCTCTTCAGTCTAGTTCTTCAAATATGCTCCCTGTTGCAATGTGAGGATCATTGATATCCGTTTCCTCCTCAGTGTTGTCATCTCCAGGGGAGCTGAGCATCTTGCCCACACCTGCCAGTAAGTCGGACGTCAGTTGTGTTTCCAGGTGCTCGGACAAACCAAAGTCTGGGATCACCTGGTCGAGGGAGACAGCATTAGAATCAACTGGAAGGTCACTTTCAGGCTGACCTATCTGTGTGTCTGGAATCTCCTCTATCAACACTTTCTTTGGATTTGACTTTGGAAGTTCTGTTACAAGGGGAGGTAACCCTGCTCTCACATGTTCCAACCCTGCACATTCATCATCGTCATTGAGAATCTCAATCATCGGCTTGTATGACTGAAACAGACAAAACCAGGTAAACATCCTACAATTACAATATTTGGTCAGTTCAAATCCATCACAGGATTGTGTGACATTGGTTACTGCAAATGCATTTGAATGAGAGTATATTCATGGTATGTTTTACTGGCAAAGTGGGTTTGCAACCGACCAGATCATGATTTAAAGAAGTTTTAAATATATGTGACCATCTACATGTATATAGGGATCCTAATCCAAATGTTTGATAAATGTATGTGAGACGCTACAGGGTCACATGTCATGAGACCAGCAAGTGAGGTCACATTTCCTGTGTGAAGGCCAGACACTGGTTCAGTGTTTCAGAGACTGGGCTGTGATGTCATCACACATTCCATGACGTTGGTCATTGATTTTGAAACATTTACAAGTGGGAACAAAAACACATGACAGGTTGATGTGTATCCCTGCTCCCAATTCTCCATCCTTTTTCCCCCTGAAGTCCACTCAGTACTGTAGTAAACCCAAGACAATTCTGTTAAAAATATGTGTCACCTTTTCTACATCTTCAGGTACAAGTTCAGTCACATCCACATCTTCAAGTTCAGGGAGATCCTACACAAAAAACACATCATATATATTCAGGAAATATTACTGTCGAAGGTTCAATGGTAATACGACACTAGAACACAGATGGAGAATGAGACTGTACTCTTTGAAACATGTTCATTTTGTGCTGCTTTTCAGAATGTTTGACCATAAAACCATTTCTGCAACACAAACATACATATACCCAGACATGGTTGACCTCAGTTTGTTGTGTGGCACTGAACCAAAATATCCTGGGAGTCTGACAGCAGCTTGTAGATAATCAAGTCTGGACCAGACAAACCATCCGCTGACAGTCATCAGCAACGTTCAGGGTGTGAAGACATGCCTCAATCAAATAACTACACTTGATCAATGTACAAGCAATAGAGCTAGAGACAGTTAGCTCGGGACACCAGGTGTCAAGCCTGACAACATGCCATGTATTACAAACGACAGCTAGAGACAGTTAGCTCGGGACACCAGGTGTCAAGCCTGACAACATGCCACACAACATGCCATGTATTACAAACGACAGAGCTAGAGACAGTTAGCTCGGGACACCAGGTGTCAAGCCTGACAACATGCCATGTATTACAAACGACAGCTAGAGACAGTTGTAACACCAGGTGTCAAGCCTGACACAACATGCCATGTATTACAAACAATAGAGCTAGAGACAGTTGTAACACCAGGTGTTACACTCGAACCAAGTAGTGTCACTTACATCAGCTGCTTCAGATGGTTTATCAGCATCATCTGGAAGTAAGATTAAGTCTGTGTTACAACAGTGTCATGTACAGGAGAGAAATATAGTGACTGGAGATATAGAGATTCCAGTGTATATTGGAGTCATTTAATGTTTCATGTGACACTTAATACTTTATCAATGTAGGACCTGATGTAATTGCAACAGTGTATTACAGGTGTGTAGGTGTGAAATCTCTAACAACCTGATTGTTCCTTGTATTTGAGGTTGTTTGTCAACAAGGCTTAACTGACCATACTGTGGTTACTGCCCAAATTACAAGTGTCATGTTGGGTCTTACATAATTGGAGCTACTTATGGTTGAGACTGGTGAGGTTTTAATTACCCATTTCTGTTATGAAAAGTCGAGTGCTTCCAGCATCCTGTTGAACTTCTGCAAAGTAAGACATTAAAGTTATCGAAGTTCAAGCACACAGTGATATAAAACATCTCTGAAGTAGAGTTAGAATATGTTTATTGTGTGTGTTTTAGTCTGAGTCATTGACAAAACAGGCCAGAGACTTTCATGTATCTGTATCCTAACACAAGAGCCACCAAGTGATGTAGGTAGTAGATACTGACACTCTGTACAAGCCTACACTGTGGGTATCCTAACCCATGATCACATGATCCTGACACACCTAAGGGAAGTAACTCTTCACAAGAAACAGCAGCACTATAGACAACTCCATCATCCCATGACCCAGAGAACAAAAATCTTATGTACTGACAACTTAATATCCAAAAATCTTTGATTCAAATTCATCACTTCTTAAAGAAGTCGTATTGAGCAAGGTTTGTATCTAATACCTGCACTTGGAGACAAGGACGGAACATATAACAGCCCTGTTGGCCTAAGACCCAATATGATACTGACGACATCTGTGGTGTACTTACTGTCTGTGGAGAAGATGCCCTGGTCTACCTGCTGCTTCCGTGCTCCAACTACCGGCATGTCCTCTGAGGTCAGGTCCTCAATCAACTCATCCTGCAAGATTGTAACAATCACAGATTCAGTGTTAACCTTGTCATGTATTCTGTGCACCCAATACAAGACTTGACCTGTGCTCTTCGTGTGGAGACACTCTCAGTAAACGATGAATCTATTCTCATGTTCTGTATCATTCAGACTGTGAGATTGCCCTTTGTACCTAAAGGTATTTAGTGTCCTTTTCTCTTACATGTCTCCCGTACACCCCTTCTCCCTAATGAGAGATTTGAACATATTATGAGCACATCAGAATGGCAGATTTTCCACACCTACTTCCACTGTGTGTCATCTCTTCCACTAACCCCTTGTTCCCTTGACTTAGGATTCATTTCAGTGTATCCCCTCCTGGGGTATCCTATCCCTACAGTGGTGCCTCCCCCTTCAGCTTGTGGGTCCCATACAGCCAGTCTACAGTGGTGCCCCACTCCTCACCTTGTGTTCCCCCTCCTCGGGTGCCTCCCCTCACCTTGTGTTCTCCTCTGGTGCCTCCCCTTCAGCTTGGGTCCCATACAGCCAGTCCCCACAGTGGTGCCCCACCCCTCACCTTGTGTTCCCCCTCCCCCTCACCTTGTGTTCCCTCCCTCCTCTGCTTGTGGGTCTCCCTTCAGTCTACAGTGGTGCCCCCTCACCTTGTGTTCCCCTCCTCTGGTGCCCCTTCAGCTGGTGGGTCCCATACACCAGTCTACAGTGGTGCTTGGTGCCCCACCCCTCACCTTGTAGCCCCTCCCTCGGGTGCCTCCCTCTGGTGTTCCCACCTCTGGTGCTCTCCCCTTCAGCTGTGGGTCCTCTACAGTGGTGCCTCCCCCCTCACCTGGTGGTGTCCCAGCCAGTCTACAGTGGTGCCCCCACCCCTCACCTTGTGTTTCCCCAGTCTCCCCCTTCAGCTGGTGCCCCCAGTCTACAGTGGTGCCCCTCACCTTGTGTTCCCAAGCTGGGTCCCCTACCCCCCTCCTCTACAGTGGTGCCCCCACCCCTCACCTGTGCCTCCCCTTCAGCTGGTGGGTCCCATACAGCCAGTCTACAGTGGTGCCCCACCCCTCACCTTGTGTTTCCCCTCCTCTGGTGCCTCCCCCTTCAGCTGGTGGGTCCCGTACAGCCAGTCTACAGTGGTGCCCCACCCCTCACCTTGTGTTCCCCCTCCTCGGGTGCCCCTCCCCCTCACCTTGTGTTCCCCCTCCTCTGGTGCCTCCCCCTTCAGCTTGTGGGTCCCATACAGCCAGTCTACAGTGCTTGGATCTACCTCCACCTTCTCCGTGATTCCTTCTGCAGCATTCTTCTCATTCAGCTCAGCCTCAATCCGCTGAGCCTCATGGTGTTGTCTGATCTGGAGGAGAGCTGAAACAATGGGGGAGAACTGACAGGTGCTTGGACACAGCAACACATGTCCAGGGATTGTTGACAGATTGTACACTTTAACACAGACACTGACAGGTGTCCGACTTTGTGAACCAGAACTATATCTGCACACATTTCAGTACTAGGTTTAAACATAGTAATACTATGAGCCCCAGTTCAACACCAGCATGTCTGTAACACATGGTCAGCATAGTCAGGTCTCAGCTCCCTGGGAAGTATCCGACCAGATGCAGTATGTTCTTACCATCAACACTGTCCTGAATCTTCCTGCGCTCCTTGTCAGCCCAGCGCTGTCTCTCCTCTCTCTCTGCCTCTACACCGCCCACAGCCCTGGGGACAAAGAAGCACAACTTGACCGACTCTCACGTTCACCTCTATTCCCGCTCATCACCTTCACAGGGGTGACACTTATTGTCATTTATCCTTAAGATAGGTGTGACTGACATGTTTTTTAGTTGCTTCACAAAAAGTGTTAGTGAGCATGACACGTTTGTTGGTTGCGTGTTTTGGTTTTTGTTGGTTGCTTCTGGTATAGTGTTCACAGGTATGACATGTTGGTTGGTTGCTTCTGGTATAGTGTTCACAGGTATGACATGTTTGTTGGTTGCTTCTGGTATAGTGTTCACAGGTATGACATGTTTGTTGGTTGCTTCTGGTATAGTGTTCTGGTACAGGTATGACATGTTTGTTGGTTGCTTCTGGTATAGTGTTCACAGGTATGACATGTTTGTTGGTTGCTTCTGGTATAGTGTTCACAGGTATGACATGTTTGTTGGTTGCTTCTGGTATAGTGTTCACAGGTATGACATGTTTGTTGGTTGCTTCTGGTATAGTGTTCACAGGTATGACATGTTTGTTGATTGCTTCTGGTATAGTGTTCACAGGTATGACATGTTGGTTGATTGCATTTAGTATAGTGTAAGCAGGTATGACATGTTGGTTGGTTGTCTCTAGTATAGTGTTAGTGGGTATACCATTTTTGTTGGCTGCTTCTAAGATAGCGGTAGTGAATATGACATGCTTGTTGGTTGTGTCTAGTATAGTGCTGTTGATGGTTGCCTCTAGGACAGTGTTAGCAGGTATGACATGTTTGTTGGTTGCCTCTAGGACAGTGTTAGCAGGTATGACATGTTTGTTGGTTGCCTCTAGGACAGTGTTAACAGGTATGACATGTTTGTTGGTTGCCTCTAGGACAGTGTTAGCTGGTATGGCATGTTTGTTGGTTGCCTCTAGGACAGTGTTAACCGGTATGGCATGTTTGTCTGTTGCCTCTAGGACAGTGTTAGCCGGTATGGCATGTGTGTTGGTTGTCTCTAGGACAGTGCTAGCCGGTATGGCATGTGTGTTGGTTGCGTCTAGGACAGTGTTAGCAGGTATGACATGTTTGTTGGTTGCCTCTAGGACAGTGTTAGCCTGTATGGCATGTTTGTTGGTTGCCTCTAAGATAGTGTTAGCCGATATGGCATGTTTGTTGGTTGCCTCTAGGACAGTGTTAGCCGGTATGGCATGTTTGGTGGTTGCCTCTAGGACAGTGTTAGCCGGTATGGCATGTTTGTTGGTTGCCTCTAGGACAGTGTTAGCCTGTATGGCATGTTTGTTGGTTGCCTCTAGGACAGTGTTAGCATATGGCATGTTTGTTGGTTGCCTCTAGGACAGTGTTAGCCGGTATGGCATGTTTGTTGGTTGCCTCTAGGACAGTGTTAGCCGGTATGACATGTTTTGTTGGTTGTCTCTAGAACAGTGCTAGCCGGTATGACATGTTTGTTTGTTGCCTCTAGGTCAGTGTTAGCCGGTATGACATGTTTGTTATTTGTCTCTAGAACAGTGCTAGCCGGTATGACATGTTTGTTTGTTGCCTCTAGGTCAGTGCTAGCCGGTATGACATGTTTGTTTGTTGCCTCTAGGTCAGTGTTAGCAAGTATGACATGTTTGTTGATTACCTGAGGCTTTGTGCAGGTACAACAGACAGACTGATACATACCAGGCCTCAGCACAGGCTCTTTCTTTCGGGAAAACAGGACGGTCATCCAGATGCCTTAGGTCCTTCTGTAAATAGATGAACACATAAATACATGATCTGATGGACATCAGAATGAAATTTTAAATTTATGGAAGTCAAACTATTAATATGCAAACTTGTGCATCTATTATAATTATCTTTTCAACTCATTTGTTGGGTTTTCCCCACTGAATGTGACTATGATATGCTTGGACAGTTACTGAGACTAGGATCAACATCACAAAGACTACATTCAACATCACAGATACTACAATCAACATCACAGAGACTACAATCAACATCAGAGGAGGACAGAGTCAACACTGGCAAGTACTTATCACCAACAGATGCTAGTTCAGTACATATGAAAATAAAGGTTGTGCTTAATTTTTTCCCAATTGTCTATATTGGAAACTAAACTTACCACCCGGACAATGATTGTCTTTCTGTAGTTCTTGATGTCCTTGATGACAGGGTTCCCAGACAGGGTCAACACACGCTGCAACACATACACCACACATGATACAAGGGAGAGCACTCTCTCATCATAGCAGCTGCTTTGTCACTGTCAAGATTCAGCAACCACAAGAGTTAGTTCAATCATGAACAGAATTAGTCACAGAGTAAGCCTAATGTAGGATGAAATTAGTCAATACAGGCTGACCACTATAGGAAACCCATGAGATCAGGTAAGGTGTCGACAAAGTTCAGGACAAGTCAGTATATGCAGATCCTCAGTGGTCTGATGAAAAGTGTGGAACACTGAGGATCTATTCTTCTTCCATCAATCCCATGATACAATGTTACCAACTTGCACCATGGGTACAAACTCACCAGTTCCTCCATCTGCTCAAAGACATCCACAATGGTTGGGTCCTCCAGCTTGTTGTGAGAAAGGTCAAGGACACCCAGGTTCTTGCAGTGAACAAGTTCCCGTATATCATCGGCTGTCTTCAGTCGGTTGTGGCTGATGTTGAGTGTATGCAGGACTGGCAGACAGGCTGTTGAACAGGGAAAACCACCAGTGAATATCATGTCCAAGTCATTCTTTTTTTTTTTTTTTCTTTTTTTAATCCAGCATAATGGGTACAATCACATGGGTATGGAAAGTCATCAGCATGTTGTACTGGCTTCACAACAAAGTTTAAGGAGATGGACATTGAAAGTGTAATGAAGTAATTCTATGGCTGTACAGGTATACAATATTATATAAAACTACTCTCAGGCTGGTACAAACTGGTTCAAGAATGGCACAATGTTTGTCGAAGAGAGTAAACTTCAAGGTTGTATGCCAGTGATACATAAAATCAGATATAGTTAATCTGATTGTTTGAGATGCAAAGTTCAAGAAAGGCACATATGGCTATAGGCTAATAGCATACCAAAAGGCCAATTGTATACACGATCAGATGTAATTTGTCAGCTTAGAGATGTACAAGCATGTTTGAAAATACAATAATTGAACAGTGGCAGAAAGTCTGCAAGGAGAGTCACTCCATGACTATAAGCAAATAGGCTACCATATCAGGTGTGTTTTATCTGACTATAGATGTGTAAACATATTTGACCTGCAAAGGTTCAAGAAGGCATAGTGTTTGCAAATGGAGGAAAGTATATGGCTATAAGCCAAAAGTAAACAACGTCAGATGTAATTTATCTGGTTAAAATTCTACAGACTATGGGTCCTAAGACTCAGAAGTGGTACAAAGTTCTCAAAGAGAAGACAGTCAGTAGCTGCAGTCAACATAATACGCAACAATCATACATATTTTATCTGATTAAAATTGTACAGGTGTGTTTTAACTACAAAGTTCAGTGATTGTACATTGTTTACATTTAGCAGTAACTGTGGCTGAAAGCCAATACTAAATAACATCTATATGTAATTCGTCTACTTAAAGTTTAAAACTATTTGTGAGTGGAGACCATTTTTTTTCAAAGGCATTATATTTGTTGTTCCTACAAGCAATGAACCTTTCAATGGCATAAACTTGTCTGATGTTATTTATAACCTTATCCACTGATAGGGTGTTGCCCTTTAGACTGCATAGAAAAATTTGCCTTTTGCTCAGTAGGATTAGGTGATTCAACAAGTTATATTGGTCTGGATAGCAAAAATGAATTGCATTGGTATCCAGAGTTATACCCATATTAATGTGGGTATTCAAAAATAGTTCCAGACTCACCCAAAAATGTTTTACATATTGACATTGAAGGAAAACATGAGCTAAGTCTTCTCGGTCAGTTTTACAAAAAGTGCAGATATCATCGTTTACTAGGTTCATAACCTTTAGTTCCCTCTGAGTGTAGACTATGCGGTGAAGAAATTTAAATTTAAATTCTAAAAGTTTTACATCTTTTGTACAACACCTGTACCAGAGAAATATATTTTTCCAGTTTAGAGAGGCAAGATTAAAATTTTCCTCCTATTTTTTACACACTGTGGGGCACGTATCACAGGTGATGATATTATCATAAAAATATCTGGAGCCCTTTCCAGGCTTAAGCAAGTCAAGTAAACTGTTTCCAATAGTCAGGTTAGATTTCATAATACACGTTTGCTGGTGGATGCACTGTTTCCACTTAGGGGGGATGCTACATAGCAGTCTGTGATAATCTAAGAAAGTTCCCCGGATATCATATACGTTTTTCAGTTCATTGAAAGTCACTAGGCCTCTTGTGTTACAAACATCCCTAACACAATGCAGCCCTTTGTGGTACCAGTTTTGTAAAAAGAAGGATTTATCTTTAAACTGATGATTCAACCAAAGGTGTTGAGATAAGATGTAGTTGATATTATCAGGATATTCTTTCTCGATTCTTAGATAGTTTGACCATGCATCCAGAACACTTCTCCAATAAGGATTTTTTACAGTTATATCGGATATTAATATTTGCTCCCAATGAGAAAATTTCAGATAAGGGAAACTGGCTTGGGTTCTTAAAATTGGGATTTGGGCAGCATTTTCTTAAATGAGAAAGTTTCAAGGCTTGAATAAAAGAATTGACATCAATCATTCTTAGACCACCTTCATCATATTTCCTGATCATATTAGTCCCTTTTATTTTGTCCCTTTTCCCATTTCATAAAAAATAAAAAAATATTTGATTTAATTCTTTAACAAAAGCTTCAGGGGGAGTAGGCAGGGCTAAAAATATATGAACTAACGTAGATAAGGCTAAGGATTTAATAACTGTAATTTTGCCAATCAAGGTCAGTGATCTATGTTTCCATGATGCAAGGATTGTTTTTATGGTTTCGATTCTCCTTCTTGTATTTAGGACCCAGAGGTCTTGTAAATTGGCATTAAGGATGATGCCAAGAACTTCAAAGTTGTCTGTGTGCCAATCCAAATCTAAGTTTTCACAAAACTTAATATTTTTACCAGCCATACAGCCTATCAAAATAACTTTTGTTTTTTCCATGTTCATTCTGAGGCCAGACATTTCATAAAAGGAATGTAACGTTTCAATAGCAGTGTTTAGGCTTGATTCAGATCCGTCAAGAAAAAGTTGGGTATCATCTGCGTACTGTCTTGTCCAAGTCATTCTTAATGAAAGCTGATCATCAGATTCAGATACTGACAGGTAGTCACTCACCTATGTTCTCGATGCGCCTGATGCTGTTGTTACTGACGTTGAGGGAGTCCAGCTGCTGGAGCGGCTCCAGGTTCTCAATGTGAGTCAGTAGGTTCTGCTGCAGGTACAGGCATCGCAGCTGGGTCTGATGCTCCAGGTTTTCAATCTTCTGGATGCCATTACACTCCAGCCACAGACACTTCAGCCCTGTGTGCGCTTCTAGCCCTGTATGTAACACAATATTCCAAAACATCTTAGGTTCTCACAGCCTCAAGTATACCTAACACAATATTCACAGATAAAAACATCTTAGACAAGTCACAGACACAGATACATCACAGACAAGTCACAGATACATCACAGACAAGTCACAGATACATCACTGACAAGTCACAGATACATCACTGACAAGTCACAGATACATTACAGACAAGTCACAGATACATCACACACAGACACAGTCACAGATACATCACAAGACAACAGTCACAGATACATCACTGACAAGTCACAGATACATCACAGACAAGTCACAGATACATTACATGACAAGTCACAGATGCATCACTGGCAAGTCACAGATGCATCACTGACAAGTCACAGATACATCACAGACAAGTCACAGATACACCACACACAAGTCACAGATACATCACTGACAAGTCACAGATACATCACAGACAAGTCACAGATACATCACTGACAAGTCACAGATACATCACTGACAAGTCACAGATGCATCACTGACAAGTCACAGATACATCACTGACAAGTCACAGATACATCACTGACAAGTCACAGATACATCACAGGTCAACACAAAGGAATTTGATATTGCCAGGGGCGTAACCAGAGCCTATGTCAGTGACAGGTGGGAGGGACTGTGTGAGTTAGACTGTGTGAAGTCTGACACCCACCTTTATAGTGCAGGTACAAGACATCGTTGAGTTCAGGGGTCAAGTACAGCTTGTTGTCCTTGCAGTGCTGCCGTAGGAATGCCTTTGTCAGAATACTGAAACATTGGTACAACACAGGCTAACTCGATAATGTCATACATGGCCTCCCAGAATCTACAGAATAATTGAAACGAAAGACTAAATTGATGCAGCTCTAGAAATCAAGCTTTTGTAGGCTAGATTTGGATTTTAAATTCTATTTTGTACACATGAAATTTCAAATCAGATTACTTACACTGATGTCTTGAATTTTACATACACGTACATAACTGAAATCATAGTAGTGGTGTTCCGATTAATTGAAATAATCAAAGATTGGTCACAGTGACCAAACGACCAAGCAATCGATCACATTTTCTCATAATCGAACACAAACGATTTTAGAACTGCTGTTTTCATCTTTGAAACACTTGACGATGGAACATATCTTCGAAGTTGTCAGGGCCTGCAAACTTGTTTAATTCTTAGAAAACTCACTTCACTAACTGAAAAGTCATGACTGAATATTTCTTGAAGACTCCGGAAAGTTTATGTTCATAATATACAAGTCATCACTTTAAAGTAGCAAGTTGCATCATGTTATACTTATCTGCAATAACAACCTGGACAAGAAAATCTGAAAAATGACGCTAACCAATTTTTTTCGATGATTGTTCGTTGGTAATGAAGCAATCATCAATTGTGAGATTTCAACCAATTCCCAACACTAAATCATAGCCAATGAAAATCTTTCACACCAACATTTATTATCTAGTGTAATCTATACCCAATCTATTGTGACAAATACCTTGGACAGTCACTATGATAACTATATTGTGTTTGACAACAGATGTTAAATAGAGCTGTACAGTTACATTACTGGGTACAATCAATTATGTAACAGTTGCTGGACAGAGAGATGGTGATGACATTTCCCAAACAGGCCTACACCCGAGATGGTGATGTCATTTCTAAACTGAGCTACAACATCGACAGTAATATCATTTAACAAAGCGGGCTACAACAGGTACGGGATGTCATTTCCATAACAAAGATACAAGAGGGACAGTGATGTAATTTCCTGAACAGGGCTGCAACAGGGGCCCATGGTAATCACCATTATAAGCTATGATACACTGGATAGACAAGGAAATGTTCACTAACTTTGGTATTTTCTTCTCTTCCACCTCTGTGTTGTTCTGAGAAGAGTTCTCCTTGTCCTCTGTGTCTCCAGCGCCAGTCACCTCTGTCACACCTGTTACCATGGTTACCATGAATTACATTCCTCACTCATGTACTGTAGAATACTGACACAGTATTTACCACTTATGTTCTGAGGTGAAATATTGATTACATTTATCCTGTAACAATATGAGAATACAGATACTTAATGTTTACCCAAGCTTTCAAACCTGATCAACAACCAATTATTGTATATTGAACAGACTGGTTATCTGATCAGATCCAGCTTGTAATGGAGGAAAGAACAGTCACCAGAATGTTTATTTACCATTTTAAATGTGTTTTGTGTATGTTGTAATTATGGAGACCAGAGAAATAATACTGCTAGTTTCTATTGCTGTAGATTACCTGTAGATTTAACACAAAAAGACTGAACTGATAACCAAGTATGACTCAGCATATCCTGAATTTCAATGTTTCCAGTTTACAGAACAAGTGAAGATAAACACAATGAAGGAATTAACAAATTAATCTGAATACATCCTCCTGCAGTATACTAAGGCAAGTGTTTAACTTGCTTAGTTTTAAGACCTACAGACCCTTCTTCCACAAGAGATACAGCTATAAGCTTCAGTCAAAAAAATCCATAAAACTTAGTGACTAAAATACACCTCAATAACTTTAACTTTCAGGCTGAGTAAACTAACATCATGATATCTAACTCACTTTTCACTTTCTTTACATCAACAATTTCATCCACCATCTTTATATCCATCTTGTTGCTGGTCTCCCCAACTTCAGTCAAACGGACTGATGGGTCATTTCTGAGGGGAAGGGACTGGATCTCCTCTATTGATGGCATGGCTGTCACTTGTTATATCACGATCCTGAATCATACAAACATGCATTTATTTCATATTAAAAGAAATATTTCTAATTCGAACATTTATCATACGCCTGTTACTTTGGTTTTAACACCATTCTTTGAAAACATCACGGAGATAAAACATAGAAATTCGATTGGTCATATTCGTAAATAATTGCTAACTGGAATAGTCCTATTCTACAACGGTCGAATGGGACAATTCAAACTCTACGCAAAACGTTCCAAATCAGTTGAAATAGCAATAAAGCAATAATATTTCGGCTCAGATTCGTGCATCCTATTAATATTCAAAGTGAACTACAAAAATCAACTTGAAGAGTAGATCTAACAAACACAAAATCAAAGGTGCTAGAATGTGCATTTATGACAGGCTGGTCGTTTGGAATAATTTCATTTCAGATCGCTTGTCCTTCGTGTTTTTAAACTACTGCAACAAATATCAACGAAAACAAACAAACACAACAAACGGCCAACAAACCCTTTGAGTACGTCTTGCTGTCTGAAAATTCAGTTGGAAATGTTCCCAAACCGCTGTCGATTACGCAAATCAGGACTGAACATGTGCTTCGTCACAAACGTAAACATCAAAGATGGCCCCTTAACAATTGTTGCTAGGGACAAAAACATAGATCAAGGGGAGGTAATACAAGGCAGGTGCACGGAACAGAAAAACGTTAATTGTTGATTGTGTATAAAATATTTCTGTTCATTAATCTCATGTCTATATAAAGTCGCCATTGTTCAATAAATATAAACTGAATCAAATTTAACAGATTTAATTTAATTTGGAAAGATTCTAAACAAACCATAGCTTTCTTCTTTGTATTGATATATTGTATTTCCCAACTATTTGCGAAATCAGTTATTTTTAATGAAAGATCAGCTAAGTGCTGGACTGATGTACCAAACAAAATGTTAACTAAGCTGTCCAGGAATTTTAGAGTTGTAAGAAAATATGCTAGGGCTGTCAGCAGATGGAAGTGTTAGTTAACTTTGAAACCATGATTTATAATTTGTAGTTTTTGTGAACAGAGTTGTAAGTTGTCATTTGGTAGAAAAATAATAAATTCCAAATTTATCTATTTCCACTTTTCAACTAAATACAGAATTATTCCTATCATCTGCTTTTCAACATCACAGATGGTCCCATCTGTAAACATAAACAGCCACACAGACAAATATAAACTTCGCTGAAAGAGATATTACCTGTAACCATATTCATGTTGTTCATGGTCATGCTGTAGAACCACAGGTATGATGAATGGTGTTCACGTCACATTCAGAATTACTTAATTTCTACAGCTATGTGCATGTAAGTGTGTGTGTGTGTGTGTGTGTGTGTGTGTGTGTGTGTGTGTGTGCATGTGTGTGTGTGTGTTGTGTGTGTGTGTTTGTTTCTATGGTCAGCCCACTGATATGCCACTCCACAGTTTAAGATGGACACCTCACTCAGACAGTGTAATGACTAAAAAGCAGAGTAGCCCATATTTTATCACCTAAACACCATGCACAGGGTGACAAGAAGAATCATAGTTCATCTTTTGATGATGCGTCTGAGACTGAATGCTCTAACAGCAGATGCTTGCTTTGTCCACTAGAACAAAACAGTGGTCGTATCACCCAGAGACTGTGACTAACTATCAAATGGTATTAATTACATGTCTCAACCTAGGCATACACTTCCTGGTTAGACTAGGTTCCCAGCCCCCTGTGCATGCGTCAGAACAACTACCCGTGAAGGTCTGGGTTAGAATATTGATCTTCAGTAACCCATGCTTGTCGTAAGAGGCGACTAAAGGGATCGGGTGGTCAGGCTCGCTGACTTGGTTGACACATGTCATCAGTTCCCAATTACGCATATTGATGCTCATGCTGTTGATCACTGGATTGTCGGGTTCAGACTCAATTATTTACAGTCCGCCACCATATAGTTGGAATATTGCTGAATGCAGCGTAAAACTAAACTCACTCACTCACTCAGAACAAACTACATGGCTGAGGATCTCAGGTATGGGGTCTCATTTCATTTTGTGTCATTTTACCCTGACAATGTGGGTAGCTGGTCATAATATCCATCACTGGATTGTCTGGCCCAGAGTAGATTATTAATTTCCAGTCACCATCATGTCTGGTAAAAAGCTGTGTGTTGCATTAAACAACAAATAATCTCAGGTGGAATTTGTTGGCTCACATGCAAGACCAGTGTTGTTTTGGAGATTATCTGTCTTAACATGTCCAGAATCAGCCACAGCGTGTAGGTATTGTGCAGCTGATGTAGGTTCTGAACAGTTGATGTAGGTCTTGTACATTTGATGTATGCCCTGAACATTTGATGCAGATCTTATATATTTGCGATAGGGCCTGAACATTTTATGTTGATCTTGTATATTTGATGCTGATCGTGTACATTTGATGAAGGTCTTGAATACTTACCACTGGGAAAACCCATAAACATAAACAAAAGTTATAAAAATCAAGGCAAATCTGTGATTCGACCCCATGAACAAAGGTTTCTGTAAGGGACTGTACATAGTATCTCTCTTCCCCGAGTTGACCAGTGTGTCCTTCCTAATCTATAATCTGGAGAATGTATCTTGATCAGAATCACGTCACAAACAACAAAAGACATAAGATGCAAAGATGTATCATTTATTTTCATATATTGATGGTAGTAAAATATTTCAGCAAAATAATTGTCGTTCACAGCAAAAGCTGTTTATGTTATGTATGATCAGGATTACCTCCCTTGCCGGAACCGTACATATTGCAAAAATGCTACATACCATAATGTTGATGTACAAGCACTATCTGTCACATGGCCACACTTTGGTTTAGCTTACATTTACCGTAATGCTCAGAAGTAATAAGGATGGGCAGGTGCTTCATTAAGTGGAGAATACGCTATGTTCATGATGATCCTTATTTTCACATTTTCCATTGTAATAAGCCCTATTTAAAATCTTTTAATAGATCATAAAGTGTGGCCAGTAGAACAGTTGATCACATGCTGATGACTGTGGATGCCTCGAGACTAGAACATACATAGCTACAGCAAACCTGTAGTATCAACTCCACGGATGATCAAGTCAGAATGGCAATATCATGCTAAAATTCTAGAAAATCACAGGATTAGCTTTTGCCAGAACAAGATGTACAATCTTCCTAGTAGGAATTAATGGGGAAACAAAAGACATCAAGTGAATTGAATCTGCACCATGTTTTGTGATAAACATTATGAGGATCAAAGGAAAGCATATGACTCTTTAACTTGCACATTCCTGCTGGTTAGAGAACCTGCAGAGTACGAGGAAATGTAAATTGTTTAAACTTCAGAGAATTGTGTATGAATCAGTAAACTAAGACTTTATTGAGAAATAAACAAATAAAAAAGACCGTATTTAATGGCTGAAACTGCATGCAACTCACAGGTAATGTTCCTAGACACCACAGAGACACCACAGAGACTACATGATGAAAACACATTGTTCCCATGCACATTAATTCAACGACCATTTCTCAGAAAGAACCTCATCTTTTTATGACAGTTTCTTACATAAAACCAGCTTCTGTTACAAACAAGTTTAGCAAACTTTGATCAAAGTAAGATTGTGACAAACAAGAGTTATATTTACACAGTCCTGCTCCTGGTGATATGTTTCACTAACGAACACATGATGTAAAACTACACATAAAACTTGCTCCTTTATCACAGATCTCATCAGCTCTGTATCACCCAACATCACCTGGCAGCAGTCAGAGACAGGTCAGACAGGTCGGGGCTCACCAGCAAGTAATATCCAGACAGGTGATCGCTGCCCAGAATAGTGGAGCATCACATGTACTAAGCAAAGAGTGTTTGTGTTGAATCATTTACAGATTTCTTGTATCCAACGTGCTCGGATAAGTCAAAATGAAGCTGAACAGTCTGCAAAGTTTTCCAATGGTCAAGCCTGAGTCAAGTAAACTTTCTGGTAATATTAGATAAGAAGACAATTGAATACTGAAGATACTCCAAAATGCACGTTCAGACGCACACTCAAACATGACTAGGCCGAGGAGGGAATGATATGTTTTTTGGTGTGTGAGTTTGGTCAGAAAAAGACAAATGATTTTACTTCTTAAAAGCTTTGTTCTCATTTTGACATGTTTCATTGGCCAAAGAACACATACAGAAGGTTTGAATCATTATTTTCAAGATATTAGAGGGACTATATGTTTTGTCAAATGTTTGAGGTCAGCTTCTCTAAAGATGTGATGGATGAAAGGTAGACAAATCAACTACTGTCTACATGACCTGTACCGAGTTATCTACATGACATGTACTGGGTGGGTTGACCTGTCCCACAAAAACCTGACTGCTGACAGACCATGAGGGTATTGCTAGTAAACATGTTAGCCTTAACACAACTAAGCTATCTAGAATCCACTAGCTACAGAACACTCTTCATGACTAGGTTTTAGGATCCTTCCATCTGGACCCGCAACGACAGTTGTTTACAACACACCAAATAGTCCCACAGATCCATATGGAATCACTTTTCCTCATTTACTAATGGGACACATGTAAAACTTTGTTAAAATCATATGTTGGAATGTAGAACTATTCAGTCACGATGTGAAACAAGGCTGGCTTCCTATACACTTAAAGCTGAAGCAATAAATACTAGGATATACACATCAGTAACATCTGATACTTGCAGTACTTGATGTCTAACAGCAGCGGGACAGTATTAATAATGTTGTATACAGACTGCTACCATGGGTCATTGATCAAGTTGTGGTACTTGATGTCTCACAGCAGCGGGACAGTATTAATAATGTTGTATACAGACTGCTACCATGGGTCATTGATCAAGTTGTGGTACTTGATGTCACCAGCAGCGGACAGTATTAATAATGTTGTATACAGACTGCTACCATGGGTCATTGATCATTCATCATATGTCCAATAGAACCTAATAAGGTCACTATCCCATCGACAACAAAGCCAAGTCAAGGCTATATGTCCAATACAACCCATCAAGGCTATATGTCCAATACAACCCATCAAGGCTATATGTCCAATACAACCCATCAAGGCTATATGTCCAATACAACCCATCAAGGCTATATGTCCAATACAACCCATCAAGGCTATATGTCCAATACAACCCATCAAGGCTATATGTCCAATACAACCCATCAAGGCTATATGTCCAATACAACCCATCAAGGCTATATGTCCAATACAACCCATCAAGGCTATATGTCCAATACAACCCATCAAGGCCATATATCTAATACAACCCATCAAGGCCATATATCTAATACAACCCATCAAGGCTATATGTCCAATACAACCCATCAAGGCCATATGATCAATACAACCCATCAAGGCTATATGATCAATACAACCCATCAAGGCTATATGTCCAATACAACCCATATATCTAATACAACCCATCAAGGCTATATGATCCAATACATACAACAACCCATCAAGGCTATATGTCCAATACAACCCATATATCTATGTATAAACTAAACATCAAGGCTATATGTCCAATACAACCCATCAAGGCTATATATATCTAATACAAACCCATCAAGGCTATATGTCCAATACAACCCATATATATGATCAATACAACCCATCAAGGCTATATGATCAATACAACCCATCAAGGCTATATGATCAATACAACCCATCAAGGCTATATGTCCAATACAACCCATCAAGGCTATATGTCTAATACAACCCATCAAGGCTATATGATCAATACAACCCATCAAGGCCATATATCTAATACAACCCATCAAGGCTATATGATCAATACAACCCATCAAGGCCATACATATCTATTACAGCCCATCAAGGCCATATATCTAAAGTACTGTCGGAAATAGAAAAAAAAATGTTTTTAGGCTGTTATTCTGTATCCCTAAAATTTACACAGTTGCAAATAGCATATGTCGAAATGACCCACTTCGGCCTAACTGGGCGTTCAGTGGGATGCGTAATACGATATCCAGAAAAGCATGTTTACTCGTAAAATCGGGCAAAACTTATATAAAATACGAATAGCTGCTGAAAACAATAGATCAGACTATAGATGGCACTTAGGTTGCTCAGCCAGGTATGACGACGGACCGTCGACTCACCTGGCATGAAATGCACGTGCTGCCTGCAGGTACAAGGGGTCAACTCAAAGATATTTTGTGCTTTTTCATGTGTGTTGACTATGTCTCATCTAGTGATTAACATCTTTCGTGTCTTTCTTTCATAAAGTTTATGTTGAGATATGTAAAAGAATATGATATCTGAAAACCATAGAAACGCATCGTAGTATATAGGTGGCATGACCACCCGAAGATCGACAGGACTGGATATTATTTGTAAATTGTAATGACGTGCCGTGTACCTCCCCAGTATAATTGCCCTAAAGGATTATCTTATCTTAGCTGATATCTCTATCCCCCAGCCCGATCCCAGGTTTTGCTTTTGTGATGACCCCTCCTATCTGTTTCTTTTTATAGTGACAGTGAGACTCCATGGTAGCTACATCCTTAATAGTTTCAGCATAAAAGTTATTATTTTTCACGTCAACTATAGTTTATAATGAATCTACGTCTAATTTCAAATTGGGCATTTAAATAGTGTCCTTTGTAATACAATATCGTTGCACACTAATTTGCATAAAGCCATGGTCTGTTCCAAATAAGTCCTTTTCAACTTAGAAAAAACCGCATTGCTCATTTCTGCACTAATCTCTCTTCAGTAAAGTCATTTTTCTCCATTTCCTATCTCTCTACCACTGAGACTGTGGTTAGGCCGAATTTAGTTTAACAGATATTTCACACTTTCACATATCAACTACATAAATTGTAGAGATAAATGAGTAAATACAGTTTTTGTCTATTTCCGACAGTACTATAATACAACCCATCAAGGCTATATGTCCAATACAACCCATCAAGGCTATATGATCAATACAACCCATCAAGGCCATATATCTATTACAACCCATCAAGGCCATACATATCTATTACAGCCCATCAAGGCCATATATCTAATACAACCCATCAATGTTGTGTAAAGCCCTTAAAGGCTTCATGTATACAATGCAACATGTCTCATACAGCCAAGCTAGGTAGTGTATCATGTTTGACCAAGCTCAACATACATTTGAATGAACTGATCAATACCATCCACACAGTCTGGTATATAGAGGTATGTTTACAGCTATTATGTATTTCCAAATATGTGTAAGAGTAAGACAGAACCATACATCTACAGATCACATAGAGATCCATAGGACTCTCACGCTACAGGTGCTCAAAGATCCACTGCACACCTATATTCAGTGTGCTCAAAGATCCACGGCACTCACAATCAGGTTCTGCAAAGTGTTCCGTGCTGAAATACAAAAACAACTGATGACAACCTCCCACTAAACTTTATATCAATAGTTATAATGAATTCTCAGAACACGTTGTAGCACAGAAAGTCCAACTGACAACGTCCAGATCACCAATGAGCTGTTTATTCTACCTTCAAAGTAAGTTGTGTTATGTTTTACCTTACCTTCAAAGTAAGTTGTGTCATGTTTTACCTTACCTTCAAAGTAAGTTGTGTCATGTTTTACCTTACCTTCAAAGTAAGTTGTGTCATGTTTTACCTTACCTTCAAAGTAAGTTGTGTCATGTTTTACCTTACCTTCAAAGTAAGTTGTGTCATGTTTTACCTTACCTTCAAAGTAAGCTGTGTCATGTTTTTTACCTTCACCAAAGTAAGTTTGTCTGTACAAAGTAAGTTGTGTCATGTTTTACCTTACCTTCAAAGTAAGCTGTGTCATGTTTTACCTTACCTTCAAAGTAAGTTGTGTCATGTTTACCTTACCTTCAAAGTAAGTTGTGTCATGTTTTACCTTACCTTCAAAGTAAGTTTGTCATGTTACCTTCCTTCAAAGTAAGTTGTGTCATGTTTTACCTTACCTTCAAAGTAAGCTTGTCATGTTTACCTTGCAACCTCACCTTCAAAGTAAGTTGTGTCATGTTTACCTTACCTTCAAAGTAAGTTGTGTCATGTTTATGTTTTACCTTACCTTCAAAGTAAGTTGTGTCATGTTTACCTTACCTTCAAAGTAAGTTGTGTCATGTTTACCTTACCTTCAAAGTAGCTGTTGTTTAATCTCATGTTTGTCCTGTTTACCTTCAAAGTAGGTTGTGTCATGTTTACCTTACCTTCAAAGTAAAGTCATGTTTGCTTTACCTTCAAAGTAAGCTGTCAAAGTAAAGTAAGTGTGTCATGTTTTACCTTACCTTCAAAGTAAGTTGTGTCATGTTTACCTTACCTTCAAAGTAAGTTGTGTCATTTTACCTTCAAAGTAAGTTGTGTCATGTTTTACCTTACCTTCAAAGTAAGTTGTGTCATGTTTTACCTTACCTTCAAAGTAAGCTGTGTCATGTTTACCTTACCTTCAAAGTAAGTTGTGTCATGTTTACCTTACCTTCAAAGTAAGTTGTGTCATGTTTTACCTTACCTTCAAAGTAAGCTGTGTCATGTTTACCTTACCTTCAAAGTAAATTGTGTCATGTTTACCTTACCTTCAAAGTAAGTTGTGTCATGTTTTACCTTACCTTCAAAGTAAGTTGTGTCATGTTTACCTTACCTTCAAAGTAAGTTGTGTCATGTTTTTACCTTACCTTACCTTCAAAGTAAGCTGTGTCATGTTTACCTTACCTTCAAAGTAAATTGTGTCATGTTTTACCTTACCTTCAAAGTATGATGTGTCATGTTTTACCTTACCTTCAAAGTAAGTTGTGTCTGTCTCGTTATCTGGTTGAGGAACAAAGGCTGGCTCCATCTCCAGGACATGGTCCCAGTCGACAGCGGAGAACAAGGGCAGCTGACGCACCTCTACATGGACCATCACAGACACCAGCTTTAGTACCATCACAATATCTCACCCACAGTGTGATATATAATCACCACAATAATATATACATATATCCACACAAATCAGGTTACAGTATATATTACAACAATATAAAATAACCACCCCATTATCTGACAACAATGATATATATACCACTTCAATATCTAACCCTCAATGTGACATATATCTCCACAATATCTGAAGATCCAGACGTCATTATAACCGAGAACTCCGTGCCCCTGTGTATAAATGGCTGCCCTCAGTAACACCTGACATACCCTTGGCTCCAGGTCGGTCGTCAGGGTCCATGGTGAGGAGATGGTCAATGGCATCCTGGGCACGCTCACTCAGCGCTTCCTCCTCATCTGGCCATGGGATATCTGCAGCACGAGCATTGTAGTGGACGGAAAGTGAGACTAATTTTACCTCAGTCAGCAATATCACAATGACCTCCTGTGACATACACCACATCCTGTGACATTACTACATCACAAGACAAATCAGGTTATAGCACTACATCGTGTCACACCACTACATCGTGTCACACCACTACATCATGTCACACCACTACATCATGTCACACCACTACATCGTGTGACAAATCAGGTTACACCACTACATCATGTCACACCACTACATCATGTCACACCACTACATCGTGTGACAAATCAGGTTACACCACTACATCGGGTCACACCATCACACACCACTACATCGTGTCACACCACTACATCACATCGTGTCACCACTACATCGTGTGTGACAAATCACCACTACATCATGTCACACCACTACATCCACTCATGTCACACCACTGTGGTGTGACAAATCACACATCATGTCACTACACCACTCATGCGTGTGACAAATCAGGTTACACCACTACATCATGTCACACCACTACATCATGTGACACCACTACATCATGTCACACCACTACATCGTGTTACAAATGCACCACATGTCACGTACACTATGTCACACATCCTAACCTCCACTACATCATGTCCCACCTACTACTACATCATGTGACACACCACTACATCGTGTGACAAATCAGGTTATACCACTACATCATGTGACACCACTACATCATGTGACACCACTACATCATGTGACACCACTACATAGTGTGACAAATCACTCATCTCAAGACACACCCTAACCTCATGTGACCCACTATTACATCATGTGACCCACCACTACATCATGTGACCCACCCTTACATTACATAAGACACCACTACACCATGTACTCGTCATTTGTTCTCCTCCGAGAATCACAAGGATGAGGGTCATAGGAGTCTGTTCTTCCCAAAAGAATCGCCATGCATATTCTCAGTGGACATCAGTTACACGCATTCATGATGAACAAGTCCTCTCATAACATAGATACATTTATTAACTACATTTGTGTTTTATAACCTTTGACTTATGTATAAGCATCCGCCCAAAACAGACCAACCAGTGACAGTCACAGTGAGTGAGGGAGTGCAAAACTGTGTGCATGTGTGAGTGAGTTGGGTTTAAAGCCACTTTATATTCCAGTTATATCAATATAGTCAATGTAATATTGGAGCAAAATCTGAAGTGTCAGACATTTACCACCTTGGTGAAACCAATGAGTTTGATGCTGATCAACCTTGAAACATTATCACTTCAAACCAGCATTGAACACATGAGCACAGGGTTCTGGAGGACCTAAGGAACACAACTCTGCAATCCAGAGAACCAGGAGATGACTGGTCCAACCATGCCCCCTGTGCAGGTGAGTCTGTTGAAATCCTTAACACAACTGGCAAGAGGGAGAGATAGTGTGTGTCTAAGCAATATTACTGCAACATGTAAACAATCAAGTCTATTGATCCATCAAGGTACACCTGACACCACAGTGTATGACCTCTTACAACCAGCGTAGGTTCCAGTTCTCCCCCACACTGACACACAGGGAGAATGTTTGAAGTGAAAACAGCACCAGGTACTCACCTCTGTTGAGGATGTTTTGAAACACCGACTCTGGATTTTGATCATTGAAAGGCGGGACACCAGTGAGGAACTCGAACAGACAGACCCCGAGAGCCCACCAGTCGACAGCCACTCCTGCAATACCACAAACAGTACAACAGTGATGAGTCGGGGGTACTAAATTGCATGAGATATTAGTTTCTAGTGATAGCTGTATGATAATAATGAACAAATTAGGAAAACATTAAAACAGGTAAGTATGACAGCAGATAAGGAAGAATACACTACCATGTTCCTACAGACAAAATACACTACCACGTGGCTACAGACACAATACACTGCCATGTGGCTACAGACACAATACACTACCATGTGGCTACAGACATAATACACTACCATGTAGCTACAGACAATACACTACCACATAGCAACAGACACAATACACTACCATGTGGCTACAGACAATACACTACCACGTGGCTACAGACACAATACACTACCATGTTGCTACAGACACAATACACTACCATGTGGCTACAGACACAATACACTACCATGTGGCTACAGACAATACACTACCATGTGGCTACAGACAATACACTACCATGTGGCTACAGACACAATACACTACCATGTTGCTACAGACACAATACACTACCATGTGGCTACAGACAATACACTACCATGTGGCTACAGACACAATACACTACCATGTTGCTACAGACAATACACTACCATGTGGTTTCTGAAGTAGAATCTCAGGAGCCAGATAGTCCGGAGTTCCCAGAATCCTCTGCTCCTCCTCTGGTTGTGGGCCACCTCTACGGACACTCTTGGGTGTTCTGAATGGTGTCTTCTGGGCTGCTGCCCGGAAGGGTGTCAGGAAGGGTGTCTTGTGAGGGTTGGCTGGTGTGTAGGCCGCAGGGAGCAGAGACTGGAGACACAGGGGTACATATATCATACTTATGTGAGGGTTGGCTGGTGTGTAGGGAGGAGAGGCTGGAGACACAGGGGTACATATATCATACTTTATGTGAGGGTTGGCTGGTGTGTAGGGAGGAGAGACTGGAGACACAGGGGCACATATATCATACTTTATGTGAGTGTTGGCTGGTGTGTAGGGAGGAGAGACTGGAGGCACAGGGGCACATATATCATACTTTATGTGAGTGTTGGCTGGTGTGTAGGGAGGAGAGACTGGAGACACAGGGGCACATATATCATACTTTATGTGAGTGTTGGCTGGTGTGTAGGGAGGAGAGACTGGAGACACAGGGGTACATATATCATACTTTATGTGAGGGTTGGCTGGTGTGTAGGGAGGAGAGGCTGGAGACACAGGGGCACATATATCATACTTTATGTGAGGGTTGCAGGTGTTTAGGGAGGAAAGGCTGGACACACAGGGGTACATATATCATACTTTATGTGAGGGTTGGCTGGTGTGTAGGGAGGAGAGGCTGGAGACACACAGTCACTCCGAGTGAGATGAGTTAACATCACTTTAGTACTATCTCTCACGACACATCGTTTATGGAGCCATGTCTATGGCACATTCATGTCGGTCAGTCTCGTGAAAACAGCATGATTTTCCCCCTAAACAGTAACAATAAATAACTGAAATCATTTAAATTAGTGAGATTTTGTATGGAAACTCTGTAACCATGGTAACTGACCACTCTTCTGCGTGCAGCTCTCTCTGGCGTGATCATAAGGCTGTCTTTGAGGGAGGACTTGCTGTTGAGATGCACTGCTGGGATGGGACATCCACATGAGCTCTGTGGCATCGGGGACTTGAATACAGTGTCGTCACCATCGAAGAAACGTTTCTTCTGTTTCATAAAATATGCATGACATTTGGAGAATGAGACATAAGCAGGTATCCTCTATATAGGTTGAACAGTGTAAACTCTTACGACAGACAAAATCAGTGTAACAATAATGTAGCAATGTAATGGAGGTGATGTGGCACTGTTGTTTATCATGTTTTGGGAGAAAAAGTATGTACGACAACAATTCAAACTGATTGCACTGAAATTTTTGAAATTTATATCCCTCACTAATTTGTAAGTGGTAATGTTACTCACACGTCCCGAGCCGTACACTGGGCTGATGGGCAGCTCCTTCTTCCTGTGTATACAAGGCAGCGGGGCGCTGGGGAAGGGGGGCAGACTCACAGGGGAAGGATCAGGGGAGGTGTGCATCACAACCACTGTGAATGGAGGACTCTTTATGGCTCCTGACTCTGAAGCAACGACATTAGGGGACACAAGGGGAGACGATTCTGATGAAGAACCATCACTCGTATTACTGCAGTCATGGCAACGGAAGTTTCCTTCATTGAGGTCAAGGTCAACACAATCTTTACTTGTAACTGACTCGACATTGCTTCTTTTACGTAAATGTTCATCTCCATACAGCAGTTGTGGAACCTCAGTGCCTTCAGTGGAGGAGTTCCTACAGTTCTCTATATCACCATAGCTTCTTTTCCTAGACTTGGACATTTCAATGACATCATTCACACGACGTGTATCTGACAAGCTTGAAGTGCTGTCAGCCCTCTTGAAGCGTATGACTGTCTTCCTGGACGGCTTCATCACATGATCTGCCAGATCCAGCCCCGAGAAGTCCTGGGTCAACCCAGAGCTCCGTGGCACAGACATCAAGTCTTTCTTCAGCTTATTGGTTGCAGCGGATATCATGGCACCCTTTTTCTTGTCATTAAAATCCTCTAGATTATCTTTCTTGTTGACTTCACATTTCTTCCTGGCTGAACATAATGCAAGTGTTTTGATCTCCTGTGTAAGTCCTGTGTTGGGGACTCTGGGAGAGCTAACAGCACTGATGCCTGGCATAAAGGATTCGGAAACAGCTCCTTGAGAGGGAGCCTGCACATCTTCCCTGGGCCGGAATGTTAGCGAACTGATTTCCTGGGTTAGACCCGTGTTGGACACACGAGATGGAACGTGACTGTCTTCACTGGAACTGCTGATGAACGTCAGCTGACACCGCTCATCCTTCTGCCCAATACTCACATCACAGTCACTGAGGTCACAGTCGTCCATGTTTCTCCAGTCCTGGTTGTCTCTACTGCCCTGCCAGTCTGATACACTCCCACCCCGAGAAGACAGCTTCTCTTCACGGATCACCCCCATCACATGCACGCCCATGCTGCTGCGTCGAGACAGAGCACTGTCGTCTGAATATTCGAAGCTTCTCCTCCGCTGAGCACGAAGTCGCAAACTTTGTTGACTGGCCTCTGACTCGTCATCAGAGGGATAGCTGTAGCCACTGCTGCCTCTGTTGGACATGCTGGTGAAGCGGCCAGACTCCACTGAAGAGTCCAGGTAGGAGACACTGAGGTCAGCATCAGAGAATGAGTGACCTCTGGGTTCAGCCTCACTCTCTTCACTGTAGGATCCCTCTCTCATACTCCGCAGGTTACGAGCAGCATATGAGTTCCACACAGCCTCATCGGTCCGATGAAGTTGTGGAGTTTCCTCTGAAAAGCTTTCCTGTCTGGAAGAAGTCTTCTCATGACTCTGACAACCATCATCCTGAGACTGGTCACAAGATGACATTTCTTTGTCCACCTGATCTGTTTCTGTGGATGAGAACACACTGTCACTTGACTGACCGAACAGATTAGCTTTTGGTTCTGAAGACTCCAGATTACTATCAGTGTTGACTGTATTCCTGGATCTGATCCCAGTGCTCTCTGATTCTGACTTGCTCCAATTCAGGGAATCCTGTAAAGTTGGTGTGAGACTCTGGATGGGTGCAGGTGGGCGGTCGTCGTCTGCGGCAGTGGAGAGGTTCCGTGTTCTCTCCGTGTAGCCCCTCCTGGAGGGAGTTAAGGAGATGCGTAGCAAGGGCGAAGTTGTGCTGTAATTCCGAAGGGGACTGCAGAATGGGGACTTTTCCATGAGAGGACGGGGACTACAATAGGTTGACTTTTGACCTGAAGGCATTGGACTAACAAACAGAGCAGGTTTCTTTGCTTTTCTAGCTGATGGCAGGTTCTGAAACAATCAATGAGTATATCTTGCAGCCATCACATCTATATCATCACAGTTCAGTTCTGCACAGCCAGGTTTCCGACACCCTGGTCAAAGGCACTTTGTTACAGCAGCCCTCTGAGTTTGCCAGTTTAAGAAAGTCCCTTGTATCACTGTACCTGCTATATCTGGTGTTACATAGAGAATCTCACCCAAGTGTCTTCTGATATCAATTATATCAACACGAGTTGATGGAGATATCGTTTGATCTCACACAAGCGATATCTCCTGTGGAACACAGTTTTGGATGATAAATGCTAATAGGCTAATGTGAATTGGTCAAAACTTCAAAAGTAAGTTTTCATATAAGTAGGCATCATGTGCACCCAGCTATGAAAACCATAGCCTATAAACCAGACCAGAAGACTGAAATTATTTACATATAATACACATACACATCAGATTAAAGTGGTTACTTACAAACGCCAGGGAGGATCTGAGAGACAATATCTGTCCGGGAGTGCGGTAGATGTTGTACTTGCTGCTGGGGTCATACGAAGGTTTCATGAAGTCGTCCACTGAAATATCAGAGAAAAGGCATCACAATGAGAGACAGAGTTGTTTACACCACAGTCAGCCTTTTGCCAACTGTATGCCTGCTGAACGTAAATTAATGACTATTGACGGGGACACGGGCAGGGATCAGGCAGGATCACACATGGCCAGGGATTAGACAGCAGAGCTCAAGAAAGGTTTAGCTCATGTGGGTACTGTACCCACTGTATTTTTTTGGAGTGAGTATTATGAATGTTGAGTTGGTATTTCATTTTCCGTTACCCACTGCTTTCAAATATGTGCATATTTCAGTCATTTTACTCACCTTAGTATTATGTCATTGAGTAAGTTTACTAAGCAGGTATGTTCTGCCTTATGTCATACCTAATCAAAACCAACTTAAACATAATGTAAATGATTTCATAAGAAATCACTGATCCTATACTGAGAGTACAACACTAGGCCTATACTAACAGTACAACTTGATAGCAATTGATGTCTTTTTCATTACGCAAGTGATTTTTATAAATATATTCCGTAGGCATTTGTTTTAAACTTTTTGCGTATCTAACATTTTAAATGCGTAATTGGTACGCAACAATTATTTTTCAATGCGTAATTGGAAATTTTCTATGCGTATTTTACCCAGATACGCAGCTTATCTGGGCCTCTGAGACAGGATGACACATGGCCAGGGATCAGACAGGATGACACATGGCCAGGGATCAGACAGGATGACACATGGCCAGGGATCTGGCAGGATGACACATGGACAGGGTTCAGACAGGATGACACATGGCCAGTGTCCAGGCAGGATGACACATGGCCAGTGTTCAGGCAGGATGACACATGGCCAGTGTTCAGGCAGGATGACACATGACCAGTGTTCAGGCAGGATGACACATGGGCAGGGATCAGGCAGGATGACACATGACCAGTGTTCAGGCAGGATCATACATGGACAGGGTTCAGACAGGATCACACATGGGCAGTGTTCAGGCAGGATGACACATGGCCAGGGATCTGGCAGGATGACACATGGACAGGGTTCAGACAGGATGACACATGGCCAGTGTCCAGGCAGGATGACACATGGCCAGTGTTCAGGCAGGATGACACATGGCCAGTGTTCAGGCAGGATCACACATGGCCAGTGTTCAGGCAGGATGACACATGGCCAGTGTTCAGGCAGGATGACACATGGACAGGGATCAGGCAGGATGGACAGGGTTCAGGCAGGATGACACATGGACAGGGTTCAGGCAGGATGACACATGGCCAGGGTTCAGGCAGGATGACACATGGCCAGTGTTCAGGCAGGATGACACATGGCCAGTGTTCAGGCAGGATGACACATGGCCAGTGTTCAGGCAGGATGACACATGGACCAGTGTTCAGGCAGGATGACACATGGCCAGTGTTCAGGCAGGATGACACATGGCCAGTGTTCAGGCAGGATGACACATGGCCAGTGTTCAGGCAGGATGACACATGGCCAGGGTTCAGGCAGGATCACACATGGCCAGTGTTCAGGCAGGATGACACATGGCCAGGGTTCAGGCAGGATGACACATGGCCAGGGTTCAGGCAGGATCAGGGTTCAGGCAGGATGACACATGGCCAGTGTTCATGGATCAGGACAGGGTTCAGGCAGGATCACACATGGACAGGGTTCAGGCAGGATCACACATGGACAGGGTTCAGACAGGATCACACATGGACAGGGTTCAGGCAGGATCACACATGGCCAGTGTTCAGGCAGGATCACACATGGACAGGGTTCAGGCAGGATCACACATGGACAGGGTTCAGGCAGGATCACACATGGCCAGTGTTCAGGCAGGATGACACATGGCCAGTGTTCAGGCAGGATTCATGGCAGGATCACACATGGACAGGGTTCAGGCAGGATCACACATGGCCAGTGTTCAGGCAGGATCACACATGGCCAGGGTTCAGGCAGGATCACACATGGACAGGGATTCAGGCAGGATCACACATGGACAGGGTTCAGACAGGATCACACATGGACAGGGTTCAGGCAGGATCACACACATGGCCAGTGTTCAGGCAGGATCACACATGGACAGGGTTCAGGCAGGATCACACATGGACAGTGTTCAGGCAGGATCACACATGGCCAGGGTTCAGGCAGGATCACATGGACAGGGTGGACAGGGATCACACATTCAGGCAGGATCACACATGGACAGGGTTCAGGCAGGATGACACATGGCCAGTGTTCACATGGCCAGGTTCATCACACATGGACAGGGGTTCAGTTCAGGGATCACACATGGCCAGTGTTCAGGCAGGATCACACATGGACAGGGTTCAGGCAGGATCACACATGGCCAGGGTTCAGGCAGGATCACACATGGACAGGGTTCAGACAGGATCACACATGGACAGGGGTTCAGGCAGGATCACACATGGCCAGTGTTTCAGACAGGATGACACATGGCCAGGTTCAGACAGGATGACACATGGCCAGTGTTCAGGCAGGATCACACATGGACAGGGTTCACACATGGACAGGGTTCAGACAGGATCACACATGGACAGGGTTCAGGCAGGATCACACATGGCCAGTGTTCAGGCAGGATCACACATGGCCAGGGTTCAGGCAGGATCACACATGGACAGGGTTCAGGCAGGATCACACATGGGCAGGATCACAGGGTTCAGGCAGGATCACACATGGACAGGGTTCAGGCAGGGATCACACATGGACAGTGTTCAGGCAGGATCACACATGGCCAGGGTTCAGGCAGGATCACACATGGACAGGGTTCATCACATGGACACACATGGCCAGGGTTCAGGCAGGATCACACATGGACAGGGTTCAGGCAGGATCACACATGGCCAGTGGGCAGGATTCAGGCAGGAGGGGATCAGGGCAGGATCACACATGGCCAGTGTTCAGGCAGGATGACACATGGCCAGTGTTCAGGCAGGATCACACATGGACAGGGTTCAGACAGGATGGCACATGGACAGGGTTCAGGCAGGATGACACATGGCCAGTGTTCAGGCAGGATGACACATGGCCAGTGTTCAGGCAGGATCACACATGGACAGGGTTCAGACAGGATCACACATGGACAGGGTTCAGGCAGGATGACACATGGCCAGTGTTCAGGCAGGATGACACATGGACAGGGTTCAGACAGGATGACACATAGACATTGAGCCATTCTACAAAAACAACCTTGGTACAAAGACAATCACAAGGCTATGTTAAGGTTTGGGAGTATGATCAAGAACAAGAACATCTGGGTCAGATATACTTTAAAATAGCATAATCACTGCTCACTATCACAGAAATTTGTTTCCTGATGAATGACAAAAATCACTGCTCTCATACAAAATCAGTACACCCCTCGATATATATATTTATCTGTGTATTTGCTCTTACTAACCTGTATCTAGAGGTCCCTACCAAAGTAGACAAACAACATTATATACAGTCATAACATCACTACCAACATAGACAAACAACATTATATACAGTCCTAACATCACTACCAACATAGACAAACAACATTATATACAGTCATAACATCACTACCAACATAGACAAACAACATTATATACAGTCCTCACATCACTACCAACATAGACAAACAACATTATATACAGTCCTCACATCACTACCAACATAGACAAACAACATTATATACAGTCCTAACATCACTACCAACATAGACAAACAACATTATATACAGTCCTCACATCACTACCAACATAGACAAACAACATTATATACAGTCACAGTTCACTACCAACATAGACAAACAACAATATACAGTCCTCAAACAACATTATATACAGTCAACATATATACAGTCATCACTACCAACATAGACAAACAACATTATATACAGTCATAACATCACTACCAACATAGACAAACAACATTATATACAGTCCTCACTTCACTACCAACATAGACAAACAACATTATATACATAGTCAATAAACAAAACAACATTATATACAGTCCTCAAACAACATTCACTACCAACATAGACAAACAACATTATATACAGTCCTCACATCACATCACTACCAACATAGACAAACAACATTATATACAGTCATTCACTACCAATATAGACAAACAACATTATATACAGTCCTCACTTCACTACCAACATAGACAAACAACATTATATACAGTCCTCACTTCACTACCAACATAGACAAACAACATTATATACAGTCCTCACTTCACTACCAACATAGACAAACAACATTATATATACAGTCATCACATCACTACTACCAAACAACATATATACAAACAACATTATATACAGTCCTCACTTCACTACCAACATAGACAAACAACATTATATACAGTCCTAACATCACTACCAACATAGACAAACAACATTATATACAGTCATAACATCACTACCAACATACACAAACAACATTATATACAGTCCTCACTTCACTACCAACATAGACAAACAACATTATATACAGTCCTAACATCACTACCAACATAGACAAACAACATTATATACAGTCATAACATCACTACCAACATAGACAAACAACATTATATACAGTCCTCACTTCACTACCAACATAGACAAACAACATTATATACAGTCATAACATCACTACCAACATAGACAAACAACATTATATAGTCATAACATCACTACCAACATACACAAACAACATTATATACAGGCCACACATCACTACCAACATACACAAACAACATTATATACAGTCATAACATCAGTGTGGGTGTACTGACCTTTATTACCCTTAAGATAAATTTGTCGAATTCTGATTGGTCAATAGCCAAAGCATACCAAACCATGTAGGCAGATTTGCCTGGGTGTATGAACCGTACACCCCGTCAAGTCTGTCATGTGACACACTTCACGGATTGAACAAATGACCTTGACCTTAGATGGAAAGGTTGCCAAACGGCTGATTGGAAGTTTTACAGTGGGCGTATACAATTATGAGCATAAAAAGAGACCTGTGAATCATGCCCTGAATGTGAAAGTACTGACCTGTGTATTATGGCCTGACTGTGGGTGTACTAACCTGTGTATTATGGCCTAACTGTGGGTGTACTAACCTGTGTATTATGGCCTAACTGTGGGTGTACTAACCTGTGTATTATGGCCTGTGGTTGTACTGACCTGTGTATGATGCCCTGACTGTGGATGTGCTAACCTGTGTATGAAGCCAAGACTGTGGGTGTACTGACCTGTGTATGATGCCCTGACTGTGGGTGTACTAACCTGTGTATGATGCCCTGACTGTGGATGTACTGACCTGTGTATGATGCCCTGACTGTGGATGTACTGACCTGTGTATGATGCCCTGACTGTGGATGTGCTGATCCTGAGTATGATGTGATGTCCTGACTGTGGATGTACTGACCTGTGTATGATGGCCTGACTGTGAATGTGGATGTACTGACCTGTGTATGATGCCCTGACTGTGGGTGTACTAACCTGTGTATGATGCCCTGACTGTGGATGTACTGACCTGTGTATGATGCCCTGACTGTGGATGTACTGACCTGTGTATGATGCCCTGACTGTGGATGTACTGACCTGTGTATGATGCCCTGACTGTGGATGTACTAACCTGTGTATGATGCCCTGAATGTGGATGTACTAACCTGTGTATGATGCCCTGACTGTGGATGTACTGACCTGTGTATGATGCCCTGACTGTGGATGTACTAACCTGTGTATGATGCCCTGACTGTGGATGTGTACTAACCTGTGTATGATGCCCTGACTGTGGATGTACTCACCTGTGTATGATGCCCTGACTGTGGGTGTACTAACCTGTGTATGATGCCCTGAATGTGGATGTACTGACCTGTGTATGATGGCCTGTGGTTGTACTGACCTGTGTATGATGTCCTGACTGTGGGTGTACTAACCTGTGTATGATGTCCTGACTGTGGATGTACTGACCTGTGTATGATGTCCTGACTGTGGGTGTACTAACCTGTGTATGATGCCCTGAATGTGGATGTACTGACCTGTGTATGAAGCCCTGAATGTGGATGTACTAACCTGTGTATGATGCCCTGAATGTGGATGTACTGACCTGTGTATGATGCCCTGAATGTGGATGTACTGACCTGTGTATGATGCCCTGAATGTAGATGTACTGACCTGTGTATGATGCCCTGAATGTGGATGTACTGACCTGTGTATGAAGCCCTGAATGTGGATGTACTAACCTGTGTATGATGCCCTGGCTGTGAATGTACTGACCTGTGTATGATGCCCTGAATGTGAATGTACTGACCTGTGTATGATGGCCTGACTGTGGGTGTACTAACCTGCATATGATGCCCTGAATGTAGATGTACTGACCTGTGTGTGATGGCACGACTGTGGGTGTACTTACCTGTGTATGATGCCGTGACTATGGAGGTACTCCAGTGCCAGAGCCACCTCAGAAGCATACATAACAGCCATCTCCTCATCAAAGTATCCATAGATGGCAAGTAGACTCTTGACATCTCCTCCAATCAGGTACTCCATGATCTACAGCAAGCACAAGCAATATACAAAACCTTGTCTTCCTGTAATCTTTCACTTTTCACTGTACGGCTGGATTTGAGGGGGAAGATTGGACCTACAAAAAAATGTTCTGTTGAGACTGGAGGGAGGGATGTTCTGTTGAGGAAATGTATCAGGAAGATGTTCTGTTGAGAGGGACTGAAGGAGGGAAGATGTTCTGGAGGCTGGAAGATGTTCTGCTGAGGCTGGAGGGAGGGGGAAATGTATCAGGAAGATGTTCTGTTGAGACTGAAGGGAGGGGGAACGTACCAGGAAGATGTTCTGCTGAGACTGGAGGGAGTAGTACAGTTGAACCACAAAAGGACTCCTTGAAGCAGCCAGAGCATCTCTTTCAGCCATCACTAGAGAAACACACAGAATCATCAGAATATATTCTATGTTTTTCTTAGGATAATATACACTGACTTGTAAGAGTCTTTGCCTTAAAATGTCAACTATTTGCAAATTAATCCAGATTTCATTAACATTTCCCAGATTCAGTGGAATGTCTATAGTCTATCCTCCAATTTTTAACCCCCTTAGTTGTAAGACACCTGTGCCTAATTACCTACCCTGCTTCATGAGGTTCTTGTTCACAAGATCAGCTTTCTTCATGACTTTGATGGCATACAGTTTATCTGGGGCCAATTTCTTTTGGCCAAGAAATACCTTACTGCAAGATGAATAACAACTGGTTTCAGAAACATCTGCAGGTAAAGTAGGACATATTTCCAGTACACAGGTTTTGGACAATAAAAATGTTGAATATGACACATTTATGGAGAAAATAATCTAGTAAACACAACCACAATCATCTTCATAATGGATCAGTGTGCAGCCAAATGTATTCTCATCTCCTTGGGGAGTAGCCAACGCATGTGTTTTATTAGATGTTGGAATGTTTGCAGTCACATACTATCTCATCCTATCAGGTACCCATTCACTGCTGTGTGAACTCAGGCACTTGTTTCAGTGTGGGGCAGGTCCGATGACCTAGAAACTCTCAGGAGTCAAGCTTACCAAACAGGGTCACATCCACAGGGTCCTCTCCACAAGGAACACTGCTGAACATCACCTGAATTGTCTCCCATACACAGGACTTCATCTTTTTCATCTAAATACACTTGTATACGTACACCAATTTACCTCAAATCTTTCTTCTTTGATGGGCATTTTTAGAAGTTGAGTTGATGAAGAGTGATGACAATTTTTATGGATATAGAACTTCTTTTATTCTGTGAAGGGCGACGTTTCAACATACATTCTAATGTCGTTGTCAAGCAAGTGATATCAAGTGATATCACTTGCTTGACAATGAACATTATATACTGTGGACACAAACCTGATGTCAGGTGATATCACTTGCTTGACAATGAACATTATATACTGTGTACACAAACCTGATGTCAGGTGATATCACTTGCTTGACAATGAACATTATATACTGTGTACACAAACCTGATGTCAGGTGATATCACTTGCTTGACAATGAACATTATATACTGTGGACACAAACCTGATGTCAGGTGATATCACTTGCTTGACAATGAACATTATATACTGTGCACACAAACCTGATGTCAGGACAGGTAACACATCAACTTACCCAAATGCTCCTTTGCTGATTGGTTTGATGAAACTGAAGTCTGTGATTGAAGGTAGCTGCAACAAAGTGGCACTTCAATAACAATAGCAGCTTGCAACACAGTGTACATTAGTGACTGGTGTTGCATACGTTTTGCCCTCAGCAATATTCCAGCAGTATCACGAGGAATACCAGCAATGAGCTTCATACATTGTGCCTTTGGGGAGAATCACTGGGCTACCTCCTAATGTACATGAAACGAACGTGGCTGATAACTTCTATAATTCATCATTGAGGTGAGGTAAGGTGATTTGAAATCAAGGAAACTGGTGCAGGAATATTACATTTTTGTAGCAAAGTATATCCATGTTTGTGTATATGTGTGGCAGCATGTACTGGTCAAGACTATTTACACTAAAATTACAGGTTTATAGTGCTAGACCACTGAGATACTAGGCTGCAGTTTAACCATGTCAACATGGATACGCTGCTATATGCACTGGACCACGAAGACAGTAACTAGTAACTTCCACACTGAACTTAAGATAAGGCAGTTTCTGCCAGTAGAGACATCATGCATGCTACAAGCGTCACTGACATTTGTTGATGCAGTGGCTTTCAGTATCAATAGTTAGAGGGATATTATCACGGTAAGCTGATAATAATCGATAATATAGTTATCTTGTTTGGCATATCACCTTCAATGTTTCATAACACTCAATGTCAGTGACTGGCAAACAAACGGGTTATAGCTAAAACGGCACCACAGCAGAACAGCACCAAATTTGTTTTGCGAAAACGGCACCATATTGGTGAAAACGGCTACTGATTTCTGAGTTAAAACGGCACCATATATTAAACAACGTATGACGTTGACTTTTATGTTTTATTTCATTTCATTATAACATTAGAAAGATTATATCAACATAAATAAAACATTGGGGTTTAATTTATAGTTCATTTCATTAACATTTCTGGTGTCCCCCGTCGTGATATAGCTGGAACATTGCTAAAAGCGGCGTAAAACCATAACTCACTCACTCACCCATTGCATTAAAATAACAAGATTAGCAAGATGATAACAACAGCACCGTCAACATAACACAATACACATGTTTTTATACAACTGTGAATCTACCTGTCTCACGGGCCATATTTGGGCGGATGCTTATAAATCCCTGTAAGAATGAATTTTCATGAATTGCAGCTTGTGACACTCTAATTGATTCACTGAACGATTGGTCCATGGATAATTGCAGTTCGAATACCTCCTACTGCAATGTTTTCACGCTAAATTGGAATGCCTTTCCAATCACTGTCGGCACAGTAGATGTATTTACCATCTAAACATTCTGCAAGCTGATTATCGGCTATGGGATGCACTTTCCAATCACTGTTGGCAGAGTAGACATATTTATTATCTAAACATACTGCAATCCGATTATCAGCTAATGACAAACTTTCCAATCACTGTCGGCAGAGTAGACGCATTCCAAAATTCTGTATTCCGATTATCTAATGACAAATAAGATTTTCCCTATAATTAAGATTTTATTTGGTGCCATTTTTCGCCATAAGATTTGTAGCCGTTTTCGCCAAGTCGAGGTTTCTTTACGTCCAAATGGTGCCGTTTTCGCCAGGTGCCATTTTGCTGTGGTGACGTTTTACCCTGAACCCCAAACAGAGACATGTAAAGGCATGAAAACTCTTTTAATCCTCCCCGTGCTGCCAAATACATATCACTTTTAATGAAACATTAGGTAAGAGTTCCGCCCGTAACCCCTGCTTGAAATGTATTCTATTTATTAGGATTATTTCGAGGGTTTAGGGTCAGGTTTGGGGTTAGATTTTAGGATTAGGTTTAGGGTTAGGGTTTAGGTATAGCCTGTTTAAAAAAACAAAACATAGGCGTATATTCTTAGGCATATAATGATTTAAAAAATACGGGGGTTACGGGCGGAAATCTTTCCAAACATGATTCAAGCTGAAGCTTACTGTATTCAAAGTTGTTGTTTTTATGTTAATGTTATGAACACTGGTTTAGAAAAACAAAAAACATGGCCTTCATTTTACAACTGAGATACATGTAGTATTTCTTCAATTTATTGACGTCTTGTCTTCATATGTGTTGTCACTGAAAATACGAAATTAACACAACACCATAATCATGGTAGAGTGCCAGGTAAATGTCCACAAATCCAAACAAGCAACGATGACCCTAGCTCAGTGTACGCAGCTTTTAGTTTTACCTTTGATGCGCCTCCATTTTGAGGATTATCATCTACCTCCAACAATCCGTCGACGTGGTTCTCTTTATCGTTCCCGTTATGCTTCATATTCAGTGAATATGTTATGCACAAGACTCTATTATGGTGGCATTATGTACACCACAAGAGCAGAAACAACCTTTCTCAGTTCGTATCAACCGCCTTTGAATTGGCCGGAAACCCAGGTTTTCTCGAAGGGAGGTAACTTTCATTGTGTTGTATGCGTTTCCCACAATAAATATTTTTCAGTTAAACGCGAATATAGGTACAGTCTGTTTTTATGACATTATTGAGGAATGATATTTTTTTGTTCAGATATTATCGTGAATTAGTGATATATTTTACTTTTTCTCATAGCAAATGAGCAAACTATGGCCCCCAGGGAGTTGAGATTGATATTACAATGTGCCGTTTGAGATTGGCATCCAATGATCGACGGAAAAACAAAGCGCCTTTGAGCAGCTGAGTTGAGCTGGATATTGGCGTTATACAAATATATGTAAATAAATTAAAAACAAACAAACTATAAACAACACCTTTCTTCCTAAACTGTTCAGAGTATTTTCTAAAAGCTACCTGTGCATGCGGAGGCCATAATGCAAGTGTAGCATGTTTTTATTTGTACTTACATTCCATATTACTCATAAAATACAACCAATTAAATATTCACATGTGTCTGAAAGATATAACAGTTTAACTGTGTCACTCTACACTAATTTTGCAGTTACTTTCCAAACCATCATTGTGGTATAAAGCGAAACAAAACCACTTTGAACATGTTCACAGATCTCAGAATGTGTGAGGCTTCCATTCTGGGTTTACTGACTACACGCAGATTGAAAGAAATATCCGACAACTATCTGCAACCTTGTTTTGCGATACACCAGAGACCATATATCTATTATATGGTCTCTGGATACACATTTATCCCTTCTAACTGCAACAAATGTATATTTATTCCAAATTGGTAAGGGCGAGAGTCCTTTGTGCAGTTCTTGTAATTGTGATCAAGAAAGTATTTTGCATCTTTTTGCATGAAGTGAAGGCTTTTGGGAATAAGTCAGAAGTTACTTCTTTGGATTACTAATATCTGTAATCATGAATTTAAGTGCAGAACTCATTTTATATGGGGGATAATGTAATAACTGATTGGGGGTTTGACGTGATTTTATTTCTTTCAATTTTTTTAAACTTATAAATGCAAATTAAATCAGATTAACCTATCTCTTAAGAATTTCCAATATGAATTGAAAAATAGATATACAAGAAAAACAACAAGAAATCTTTACTGATAAATGTGAACAAAATAAATGTTACTCCCAGTGGATGTCCTACCAGTCTTTGTTTCAAGACTCCAGTTAACTGATTTCAGATTACCGAATCTTCTTTTCTTGTCACTACACAAGTCCAGCCATGTTCATCTTTTAGTTTATAATGTATCATTATATAATGGTTGTTTTTTCCGCCATACTTCTTGGTTAAGTGTGAATGTATGAATGAAAGTTGTCACTTGTATGAATGAAAGTTCCATCTAAGCTTTACTTGATATGCAAGTACGTATTCACACCAACAGCTTATTATCACTAGTCATTGTTTTGGTATGCATGACATTGCGTGTGAGACAGTTGTCTTAATCCTTCATTATGTTGGGTTTATTTAGTCAACGAAGACAAGGAATTCCCCGGCTCCTTGTCCTCACCGGTAACTGGGATTCAGCAATAAAATATTGATTACAAAAACAAACAAAAACAGAAACTTTTCTCATACTCTGAATCCAGGCCGAAACGGCATCCATAACGTCGTATGGTTTATTATTGACTCACCAACTTCTAGAATGTCGATCAAACAAACATGGTTTATTATTGACTCACCAACTTCTAGAATGTTGATCAAACAATTACTCATACTCTGTGTTCCGTTTCTCAATCGAAATATTATGAATGAAACGATACGAAGACATTGATTGTGTTTTGTTGAATTGAGGACCCACAGAACCAGTAATAAATGCCATTATCAACATGGTGAACAAACTGATTATCTTATGTGTACAACAAGCATAGAAAAGAACTGGTATGACAGTCATGTGGATTTATAACTTCCGACAAAACGCCACCTGTGTAACCGATGTGACTTTAGTGAGCAGAGTTTATATGTGTCAAGCTTACGTCAGCATTAGTACTGCTCAGTATTGGTGCAACATAAAGCTGCACAGACCGTATGTGGTACAGGGGCGTAACGATATCTGGTACAGGGGCGTAACGATACAGCTGTTAATGTGGTACAGGGGCGTAACGATAAAGCTGTTAATGTGGTACAGGGGCTAAAGCTGTTAATGTGCTACAGGGGCGTAACGATAAAGCTGTTAATGTGCTACAGGGGCGTAACGATAAAGCTGTTAATGTGCTACAGGGGCGTAACGATAAAGCTGTTAATGTGGTACAGGGGCGTAACGATAAAGCTGTTAATGTGGTACAGGGGCGTAACGATAAAGCTGTTAATGTGCTACAGGGGCGTAACGATAAAGCTGTTAATGTGCTACAGGGGCGTAACGATAAAGCTGTTAATGTGGTACAGGGGCGTAATGTGGTAAGAAAAGCTGTTAATGTGTGCTACAGGGGCGTAACCAGAAGGCTGTTAATGTGGTACAGGGGCGTAACGATAAAGCTGTTAATGTGGTACAGGGGCGTAACGATAAAGCTGTTAATGTGGTACGGGGGCGTAACGATAAAGCTGTTAATGTGGTACAGGGGCGTAACGATAAAGCTGTTAATGTGCTACAGGGGCATAGCAAGAAAGCTGTTAATATACTGCTGGGGCGTAGCCAGAAGGCTGTTAATGTGGTACAGGGGCGTAATGAGAAAGTTGTTAATGTGGTACAGGGGCGTAGCAAGAAAGCTGTTAATGTGCTACAGTGCTGTAGCAAGAAAGCTGTCAATGTGATGCTGGGGCAGAACCAGAAGGCTGTTAATGTGGTACAGGGGCCTAACAAGAAAACTGTTAATGTGTTACAGGGGCGTAACAGGAAAGCTGTTAATGTGCTACAGGGGCGTAACAGGAAAGCTGTTAATGTGCTACAGGGGCGTATCAGGAAAGCTGTTAATGTGCTACAGGGGCGTAACAGGAAAGCTGTTAATGTGCTACAGGGGCGTAACAGGAAAGATGTTAATGTGCTACAGGGGCGTAACAGGAAAGCTGTTAATGTGCTACAGGGGCATAGCCAGAAAGCTGTTTAAGTGTCTGTCTTTGGGTTGTGTTGAGTCTAGATGTCCTGCTCTGGCAGAGTGGATGTCATCACGTAGCAATGGTACTGGACGATGCGTATGATGTAAACCACCGTTTTTTTCTGGCCCAGACCCTTGTTTACCCTCTGCAGTGATATATCTGTAAAACCTCTGTCTGCAGAGTAAGCCAACATTCATTCCTTGAGGAAGGCATGGTCTTCATGGAGCTGGAGCTGAATGAGTGAGCTGAAGTGAGTCCAAGAGTGAGGAAGTTTACTATGAGAACAATGCTCTATACCATGAGAACAATGCTCTATACTACGAGATGCTCTATACTATGAGAACAATGCTCTATACTATGAGAACAATGCTCTATACCATGAGATCAATGCGCTATAGTTTGCATTACTTTATTGACAGTCAGCATTTATGGCTGCTTTGAATAGTCCTTCAGTTATGTCACATTAATTTCTCTCTGAAGTGAAGATCTTAGCAATTGTCACTGTGGTACTTGAGGTTGTGTGCTACCAAATCTTGAAACATAAGCAGGTTGAATCTGTGAAGAGTGGTTTGTGGAATGCCTCGGGGAACCACACGTCTGACTCAAGTTGAGACAAAACATAGCTGTATCCTTAGATAGTCATTAAGTTCCCAGATTTCGGAATACCTTACCTCAGAAATGAAGACAAATAGCATTGACAAGGAAGAAATGTTTATTCACACCAAGAAATCAAACATGAAATGAGTTATTCATATGACCAGGAAATGTACAAACAGAAAGTGATGGAGATGACGAGGATGATCAATACAATCACTGAGTACTGACCTCCACTACTGGGGAGGAAACAGTTACCTCCCCTGGCAGTGCTGGGTACTTTGGTATACACATCATACATAAGTTACAAACAAAATGTACCAGAGGCTCAAAGCAAGTGTAGGTTTTGGTTTCTAGAGGATTTAGCATTTAAAGGATATATACAAATACACAAACACAAATGCAAGTGATTCCGTTGTTTGAATGGCTGACCAAGAAATTCTTTACGAGTGTGTTTCCATGATGGAAAAAACGTCACACCCACTAATGAACTATTGTGTTTTGATAGGCTGGGCAGGGTTTGTGTTGTGTCTGATGATGTCACCGATTCCATACTGTCTGCAGTGTTGGTGTTGATCAATAAATTATCAGCTGGAAAGTTACTGTTTACATTTATTAAAAACCTACACTGACGTAAACAGAAACTATATAGAAAATAATTCTTAAATAACACAAAATACAGAAAGGGAAATAACTGTCTATGGTAGTTACTTTTTAAAAGAAAAGGTACTGATTTCAGATCTAATACACAATATAAAAAAAAGTTGTTAATGCTTTTACCAAACAAAGGATGCGGAAACATACTTGACAGTTTCTGAACAACTGATAGGAGGAAGTATTTCATAAAAAAACACTATTTGGAATCAGATTTTTAATACTGTCATAGCTTTCACTTCGTGGAAGTGTTTCAAGTCTCTTTGAGAAGAATTTAGTTGATGAAGGGAACTGGATGGACGGACAGGCAATGTGCTGATTATACAACCCATTCTGTATTTATTGAGAAACAAATCAGCCCTTTGATGCACAAACATAATGCTTTCAGTATTTCTAAAAAGAGTATAATTCAAAGAAAGTTCTAAGTCAAACCAATCTTTGAATGACATTTAGAAGCGATACACATAAACCCAGCAATTTATGTATATGTATTCTCTATCATGAGGAACATGATGCTAGTACATGTATACCGAGGTTCATCAAGAAGACAGAAACCTTCCCTATCATAACATGTCTGTCATTCACCGGATGAAGGAATACTCCAAAACATCACACTCCTCACCATACAGAAGTTGACATCCATGAATTTCCATATTATTCCCCAAAGCGCTGAAGGAATCTGGCAAGAATCTCCCCTA